CGTCGCCCATGGACATCAGCAATGCCAGGGGCAGAGCCAAACCGCTGCCTACCGTTAAGATATCTCTCTTTAATCTAACACAGTGACTGGTATAGTGGCGGTTACTCAGTTAACATTATTTCATTATTTATTGTATTAGTTTATTTATTTAATTTTAATTTTAATAATTTTGATTCGGTTTCGTTTGATTTGATTTCATTTTTGTTTATTTTTAATTTTAATAATTCTGATAAATTGTAATTTTAATTTTATTGTATTTTGATTTAAATATTATGCAATTTTATGTGAAATGTTATGGACTTAGGTTGCCTGAAATAAACACATCATATCATAATCCAGAGAAGGATAATGGGAGAAGATGGTCACGATCCACGAGAAATGAGGAATGCGAGTCAGGGAGGAGGAGTACCAGAAATCGACATAATGATCTGAGTGCGACACGTACTGCACTGGTAACCTACATGGCACTCAAAGGGTTAATTATCTTATTGCGTGGCCTGTCGGTCACTTCAAAAGCCAATAATAATGCGGCGAGGCCTAATTAACGTTTTACAAGGATCATATTTATTTAGTTGATTGATATTGTTGGAGTTCTTTTCTTTTTAGGCAGCACGTGGGTGGGGTTATTTATTGGTGATCGATTGAATGGAGACTGCTTCGCGAATACGTCTATAGTCTACTACCGGATAGGAATCACGACCCGTTGTCAAGATCCGACGGGAAGTCTAAGCGCGGGACGCTATCGAACCATTCACCATCAGGTGGATACTCATCTGTCTACTAGGGCAGTAAAAAGAACTCTTCCACGAGATATTCCAATATAACCCCTATTATTATTATTTTTTTCTTCCTACCTAAGCTGATAGTCTTGAGAGGCTATATCAGCGTAACCTTAACTAGTAGGTGAGCTCACGGGTCTCAAACCGGAGTGATGCTAACACTGACCCTAGCAAGAGCAGTGCTTCGCAGAATCTACCACCGGATCGGAAACGCGAGCCATTGAGAAGATCCGGCGAGAAACTCAGTGGGCTATATCTATCTATATCCATGTATGCGCTATAATAAATGATCAGCTCCTATTTCAAACGTCTACATTGAAAATTAAATCCAAATTTGAAACACGAGCGATACAGTGGAACATCAATATCCTTGTCTAGCCTCGCCTTTATTTACAAAAACATTTGATAGATCTCGCAAAACTAAAACTAACTCTACATTTTATCTCTATTTCACTAGGTCATTCACCTTATTAAACTATATAGTAACGGACTCAGCCGAAATAGGAAATAATTATTTATTTGAATTGTTGATCACAAAACAAAAATTGACCTTTCTTTCAACGTTTTAAAGGCTTCAAAGAGCGGCATCTAGTGTGGTGATTTCTATACGTTATTTAGTTAATTAATGGCCCCGCAGTAGTCGAAATTCGACTATAATTAATTGAAATTAAATGTTTGTACACTATTATGACTCTATTGTCAAAGACTATTATACTTCTATAATCACAGATTTCGCCAAGACTACACTTTAGACAAATATTGATAGAGACAAACAATATTTAATCTATTCTCAATTTGACCACAGACTATAAGCAACAAGAAAAGTTTGACAATAAATAAATAGTATGCATGCGTGTGTGTGACAAATACATTATAGTGTGTGTACTTAATGTTTTTATTTATTGATTTAATGTATTTCTCATGCATAATTTCATAAAAAAATATTAACATTCTACACTCCTCAATATTCTATATCTCTCTATATTCTCTATATTTATATATAATTTCATAAAAACATTCTACACTCCTTCTCTATATTGCGGGAAATTTCATACTTTTCCAAAGTTTTCGCTTCACGTATTAATATATAGATATATAAAAATGAATTGCTGTTCGTTAGTCTCGCTAAAACTCGAGAACGGCTGGACCGATTTGGAAAATTTGGATGTTGAATTATTCGTGAAAGTCCAGAGAAGGTTTAAAACGTAGATAATATGAAAATGCTCGGAATTAAATAAAAATAACAATTTTGTTTTTTCCTTTGATGTGTCCCCCGTCGGACGGATGCCTTTTGTTTGTTTGAAGTTTATTTTATACAAAAGTTTAGGTCTTTTATTTATCGATTGGGGCACTACGAAGTCTGCCGGGTCAGCTAGTTAATGTATAGATAAACGAAAATAATCGCAGACGAAGTGACGTCGTATCGTTAATGCACCGAGCAAAACTCTGTAACCGCAAAAGAAGGAAATTGAGTATCATTTCGATGATACGCTCCAAATCATTCTCTCACCGGTTCAGCTTCAATAGCTCTTGATTATAGTTCGTTTAGGATCATCTAACACTAGATCTGCTACACGATTTTCATGTTGCATTCTAACAAACAGACAAAGCTTTTTTTTTCTTCCCTACCTGTGCTGATAGCCTTGAGAGGCTATATCAGCTTCTCCTTGACGTGTATGTGACGTGCTTACGGGGCTCAAACCGGGTGTGTTGTTTTTATTATTGCCCTTGTAGGCAGATGAGCAGATGGCCCACCTGACGGTGAGTGATTACTGTCGCCCATGGACATCAGCAATGCCAGGGGCAGAGCAAAGCCGCTGCCTAAAGTTAAATTTGATATGTGAATCTATAAATTTAATATTCAAAGAGGTTTATTTGAACAACTTATCTCATGACGGTTATGATTTGTTTTTTGATAACATTTTAGCTGTTCAGACAATACGGAAGTTTTTTTAGTCAAAATCCATAAAATAAAAGGTGCCATCTTTATTTTTACGACTAGTTTTAAGCTAAATCGTTAAGCTGAAATGGCACTGACTAAGTATTGCTTTGTCTCAGCCCACTGAGTTTCTCGCCGGATCTTCTCAGTGGGTCGCGTTTCCGATCCGGTGGTAGATTCTGCGAAGCACTGCTCTTGCTAGATAGAGTCAGTGTTAGCAACACGCCCGGTTTGAGTTTACCTACACGTCAAGGAGAAGCTGAAATAGCCACTCAAGGCTATCAGATTAGGTTCGAAAAAAAAATCATACTCATATCTCAAGGTAACGTTGTAGATGTCTATGGGCTCCAGTAACCACTTAACACTGGGTGGGCTGTAAGATCGTCCACCAATCTAAGCAATAAAATGAAATAAAAAAAAAATGTGTGAAAAAAAACGCTTACTCTCCTTTTTTGAAATGTAAACTCAGAGCTAACAATCAATTTTTTTTTTTTGCTGTTCAACGCCAAATCGGTGCAGTTTCGTAACCACTTCCGGTCTTTTATGGGTCTATTCTCTCAATTAGAGATTGGACGCGGGCGCTCGACCGCCGGTAGATGCAAAAAAAAAAACAGCCATCGAAGCTCTGTCTTAGAAATGATCGACATTTGACAAACTTTAGATACTAATGGATTAACGTTAATGTCCAAAATATCATTTTAACATAGATTAGATTTAATAAATAAATAAATAAACTAGGTGATATCTAAGTACGCAATTGAAAAAAAAACGGTTATATTTGGATGAATATATAAATTACATAATCATTATATCAACCTAAAAAGCAAACCTTGAAAATAGGTAGAATATCCGGTAGATAAAAAAAAACATTGAAATCTTATCGTATTTTTTTCTGATCTGCCGGGTGAACGAGCTCACGGCTCGACTGACGTTAAGTAGTTACCGGAGCCTGAAGACATCAACAACTTAAATGCCGTCTAATCCGATTGATACGTGAAGTCTATTCTGAATCTAATTCTATAGTATACAAGGTACTATCTATAGTTTTAAATTCAGTAATTGTTGACATGAGAGATGGATATGTCACAGACTTACTATTGCACTGACTCTATTTCCAGACAAATTGTAAGATAGTTTTGTAATTTTTGGAAAACATTAACAAGAGATGTACTTTAAAAATTATATTCTAAGCGTTTGCCATGACTGGTATACCTACCTGATCTGTAATACGTAGTGTATGAAATGTAAGATTTTAAAAAATTATAATAAAATTCTTTTTTATCAAGAATTTATCTTCTAAATTTATAGAAGCAAAAAAATATATTTCACAAGTATTTTTATTATTAAAGAAATTTATATAACTAAAGATTTATTTCCTCTCGATACTCAATAGTTCAACAAGTCCGTTCACTTCTCTATCACGGTAGTGTTGTAACAGGAAAAACCCGATGATAGTCGTTAATAAAAAATCGGTCCCTAATGTCCGACGGAATGGCGACAAATTAGTGGACAAGGCGCCTGTAATCTCACCTCGCCAAATAATGGGGCGCCGAGTTAAAATAAATAGTTCGCTGTGTGTGTCATCGCACGCAAGGGTGAAATTATTACGGAAGGACATCGCTAATCTTGGCTTCGGTTAAGGAATAATAATTTTATTATTGGTGGTAGGACCTCTTGTGAGTCCGCGCGGGTGGGTATCACCACCCTGCCTGTTTCTGCCGTGAAGCATAACATGCCTTTCGGTTTGAAGGGTGGGGCAGCCGTTGTAATTATACTTGAGACCTTAGAACTTATATCTCAAGGTGGGTGACCACTTAATACCAGGTGGGCTGTGAGCTCGTCCACCTTCTAAGCAATAAAAAAAAAAAAGAATGCCGAAAACATGCGAACATTTCGTCTTTTCACATTAAAAGTGTACAATTTCCAAAAATATTCGAAATTGAGTTAATATGCGGAATCACTTGGTATCACCAGTAGTTTTCTCATAAATAGTGTCAAAAGAGCGTAATTTAGTTTTTTTTTTTTTACTACTATTAACAAAATTAATACATAAAACTTATCTTACTTTAAAATACAGATATCCTACTGGTAAAGATTAAAAAATAAGTGTTGCAAAAATGATTAATATTAAAAATATCACATGCTAAACCTTTAAAACACTCTCCTGTAAAATTTGTACGTTTTGAGATTATACAGTTTTAATACGAGAAGACGATTCGTCAAGTGGTTTCAGTATGCTGATTTATAGAGATAAATTACAAAAGCCTCGGGAAAGTACTCACCGTTTAATCTATCTTTGACGACCTGGTGAGCAAAAGCAGCCGCGGCCGCCTGTCTCATGGGGTCTAACGCAACACCCCAAGCCCCAAGCGCACCCAACGCTCTATGAGCCGGAACTCTCACAACACCGGGATTACTAGAAAATCCATACCCACCACCCAAACCCAAGCCCGGCCTTAACAAGAGTCCGGAGTTATGATAGAGGCCCGGTGCGTGTGAGAAATTCAATGCCAAACTAGAACTGTCTTTAGCGTCGTCTTTGGCACTTTCCGATTCAGTGTCCTGGTCACTTCTGTCATCACTCTCGCCGGAATTCCTTCGCTTATCTATATCTTCGAACTGCTTCCCCAGCAGCCGGGATATACTGAACGGCAGATTGACTCTAGGCTGGGTCTCTGTCATGTGGTCGTTTGGCGAATCACGGAACCTCTCGTGGTAGCTGTGTTCGGAATCTCTGTCTTCCGAAGCGATACTTCGGTCGCAGTGCCCCGAGAGTCGGCTGTCAGAGTCCACGTTGATCTCCTCCTGGTCATCGTCTGAATGCACCGATGACATTTTTAATCGATATTCAATACGTCACTAGCACATAACCTTGTCCGTAAATTTAAGTGTAACAATTTTCACTTTTACGGTAAAATGTTAGTTCCGAAAATCGGATTGCAACTGTCGTACGATTCAAAAAACGATTTATTCTGAGGAGCGCGTCACTAAACGCTCGACCGCACGGCTCTGTATCGTTCAGGACAATATGGGGCAAAACCGGCCAATCACCACTATCCCCACTTTTCTGATTACAAACGCAATAGTTCGGCCGCACAAACGCCTCAACTATGCGCGCTGAGTGGAACAGTTTCCAACAAAAGCTTAATACGATTTCCGAACATAAAAACTCGTTTGGACTCACTAACTTAAACGTAACGATTCGTTCTATCTCTCTCGTTGAGTCTCGCTTCAATTGTGCCCCCCACTTTTGCGCTGACAAGTGACTTTGTCTTTTAATCTTGAGACGACAGAGCTCATTTTGGCAGCGCAAATCGTTCCACTCGGCATATTTTAAGTGCCTTCGTAACAAGGTAAACATGCATGCTATGGCTCCGTGGAAAAAGACAGAGAGCGAAACGCGATCCGATCCGAGAACGCGGTAGAACAGGACAGGTATACTTCTGACAATGGGCGTGTTCCGGTTTCTTGTAACGCGTCATTTAAATCCAGTTATGGCCTGACAAATGGTGTACATATTAAGGGGGCAATGTTAGGAAACTATTTTTGAATCTTTTAAGACAGTTAAATTATTTACGTTCGGCGGTAGACCGAGCTCTTCCATAGCAGACAATGCACTTTATAATAAAATAGTTCCCAAGTTCCGTGTTATGGGCATAGATAAGTCGGGATAATGTATTGTCGAAGATAGCCACTTTACGTTATCGAGGCTGACAGAAAAAGGCAAGGGGTGTTAGATTATTGTTTCCCTGTTCATAACACAATGATGCTCGGCTTGCGATTTAATCCAATTGAAACTTAATAAATATCGGTATTGTGGGTTGCTATTAACGAATTTGGGATTTATTTAATAGATTATCTTTATTATTTAGTTTTATCTATATCGACTCTTTGTTTATTATTAACTTTAGTGAAGCCCATTCAAGTTCCGATGTGACTATCGATATCTATATATTAATACGTGAAGCAAAAACTTTGTACCCCTTTTTACGAAAATTACGCAGACTGAGGAGTATGAAATTTCCCACACTTATAGAGAATATAGAGAAGAAGTGCAGAATGCTCTTTTTTTTTAAATTATGTATTAATAACACATTAAATCAATAAAAAAAACATTACACACACTACCATGTATTTGACACACACACACATATACACTTTGTCCTAACCCATGCATCAGCCCGCTGAGTTTCTCGCCGGATCTTCTCAGAGGGTCGCGATTCCGATCCGGTAGTAGATTCATTCGCAAAGCAATTGCTCTTGAGTTGTTAGGTCTCCTGCGGAGGCGCTCGAGCAGTTGTTAGCAAATCCCACTCCTCCTGGCTGAGCCTTTGCTCGCCCACCTGTCCTGGTGAAACTGGAAAGGCCTTCGGGCCACCAGTAAATTTCAATCATTAAAATAAAATAAAAAAAAACATATACACTTACATATACTCTTTGTTTATTGGCAAACTTTTGTTATGGCTTAAAGTCGGTGGTCAAATTGAGATGAGCTTACTTAATATTGTTTATCTTTAATATTATTTGTCTATAGTGTAGGTAGTCTTGGCGAAATCTATGATTATCGAATTAAGACAATAGATTAGAATAGTATTTGACAATAGAACCACAATAAAGCTCAAACTTATAATATAATTTCAATTAATTAAAGTCGAATTTCGACTACTGCGGGACCACTAGTTAGTATAAACATTTGATTGAAACTCCTCGGAAAGTAGTCGTATGTAGTAGGTATATTATACCTATATACGTATACGTATATTATATTATTTAGGTAGATTATATTATTAGATTATATATTAGATAGGACTATTCTGATGTTCGAGTTCGAATTCCCATAAAATTTCGCATTCATAATATTGATAGGATAATCTTTAATTATATTGACTACATATATCTAACACATTATCTATATTTATTATTGGAGACGTGGGGGTTTGTATTAGAAGATCATTTAAAGGAATTAAAATGTTCAATCGTCAACAATTTGTATCTAACAAACGCAAAGTGAAATTTTTAGATTTTAATTTAAATTAATTATAATTTAATTTTTTAATTAACTATTTATTTAAATAAATAAAAAACAAATTCCGTACAGGTCGAGCTAAATAAAACCGTTTAAAAAATTATTTACTTTACAACTATTATTTATTATTATTAATACTTTATTACAGTTTTCTTTTCTTTTTTTAAACCATAACATTTTGTTAGTAATAATTACTTATAATCTATGTTAGTGACTTAAAAAATCTAACACATAACTATCACTATATACATTTTATACCATTACATTTTTTTATTATTTTTTTTATTTTTCTCCTTCCATGTGCCTACTGCAAAGGCTATTGATCAGCAGTCCCTCGATCAATGTTTTCATCGCTTTTCGCGAGACCTTGATAATTTAAACATCCTCCAGATACGATTTAATTTCGCACTTATTACTTTGATATTACTAAACATTTGAATACTTTAAAGTTTACGGGGCTACTCGATATTTATGTTTTTATATATTTATTGGATCTAGGGTTATAGCCGAAATCGGGAACGAACGAATACTTTTGTATAGTCAAAACGCAATTATTTCCTTTTTAAAACCCGAGTGTCATAATTTACCTACTGATTAACCTTTTGATATTCCATAAGTTACAAGAGTAGGTTACTTAGGAAAGCATCCATATGTGGTTCGCCGATATTCGCTTTTGAAATGAGGACAATTTAACTCAGCTTTGCTGTCTAACTGTTCTCAAGATTTTAAAAATTAGCCTGTAGGTACTGGATCATACCAGCGTTATTCCTATATAACACTTCTAATGTCCCAATCCTCCCTCATAATTTTGATATGAGCGACCCCGTAATTTTGCCAATTGTGTGGTGTTTGTGTATTTCCGATTAGGTATATTAGAGTCTGCTAGAAGTTCTTCAAATCTTAATTCTTTACTGGTGGTAGGACCTCTTGTGAGTCCGCGCGGGTGGGTCCACCACCCTACCTATTTCTGCCGTGAAGCAGTAATGCGTTTCGGTTTGAAGGGTGGGGCAGCCGTTGTAACTATACCTGAGACCTTAGAACTTATATCTCAAGGTGGGTGGCGCATTGACGGTTGGATGTCTATGGGCTCGAGTAACCACTTAACACCAGGTGGGCTGTGAGCTCGTCCACCAATATAAGCAATAAAAAGATAAAAAAATCATTGATCTTTTATTTTGAACCTGCTCCTATTTTAAGTTTACGATCTATCAGGAAGGAGTATATAATTATAATATCATTAAAATATTACCACGATGACGGATTTATCGATGACAGCAAAAGAAAACTTTTTTGAGTAACAAGAGAACTAATTTTGAAAAACGGATGGAAGATTCCGAAAAGCGCTAAACAAAATAATGATTCCAAGAATTCTAAAGGCCTCCAAATGCCATCATTTAAGAAAAAAACCTTCGGAAAATACGTACTTAATTTGAAATACTGAAGTAATTTAGACGTCTTTCTAAAACTATGGTTAGCGACATCTATTAGCCACTGGCAAAGGTCTCGAGAACTTTGGAAAGTATAGTCATCTAGTGTCGAATAGAGTGAAATAAATGAACGCCATCTATATCTAGTAAAACAAAGTATTTTTTTTTTATTGCTTAGGTTAGGACGAGCTCACAGCCCACCTGGTGTTAAGTGTTTACTGGAGCCCATGGACATCTACAACGTAAATGCGCCACCCACCTCGAGATATAAGTTCTAAGATCTCAGTATAGTATACGAATAGTTTGCGGTAGGCAGCGGCTTGGCTCTGCCCCTGGTATTGCTGAAGTCCATGGGCGACGGTAACCACTCACCATCAGGTGGGCCGTATGCTCGTCTGCCTACAAGGGCAATAAAAAAAAAATATAATTTTCAGTTGAAGTTTTAATAATGAAAAACCAATTAAAAATCAAATTATTTATTCCTACGTAACACTGTTGCTTACTTCATACATGATCATTTGCTCGCCGATGTGATTGAATATTTTTGTAAATCTAATACTATACTTCACCATAAAACCAATGAAACATGAAATTACTTTCTAGTTATTTCGATAATTCAATCTGGGAACAACAACGACATTTAATATCGATATACCTTCCCTAAATAAAATTAAGCAAGCATGAAAAACATATCTTTAAAATAACAACAAGAATTTATTTATAGTAAAAATGATAAAATTTTTAAATTTGTGTTTGTCGATTCTTTTACTGAATTACGTAACTTTATACATCAGTAAGTTTAATTTACTTTAACATGCATTACGTTGATACATTAGGTAACTAAATGGCCAATATTTACCATTAATCTCATCATTTTGTCTTTTATTACCGTGAAGCAATACAGCACATAATATTTTTTTCTTCAAAATTATTTAATTTAAACCCAAATAATAAGTTATTAGGTACCTTCGTCTATTTTCTACTTTACGTACATCAATATATCAGGATAAAATTAATTTTATTTTAATGATTTGTATCTATTTAGGTTCGGCAAAAACCATAGAAATTCCACAAACAAGAAGAATTCTGAGAGGCTCTCAAGTCACCGATACAAGGCCTTATATGGTAACATTGACAATAACAATAAAAACACATTCGGTTTGTTTGTGAAATGCGTATTTGCAAATATTGTTGACTAGCTGACCCGGCAGACTTCGTAGTGCCTCAATCGATATAAATAAAAGACCTAAGCTTTTGTATAAAATAACACATCAAAAGAAAAACAAAATTGTTATTTTTATTTAATTCCGAGCATTTTCATATTTATTTAAACCTTTTAAACCTTCTCTGGACTTCCACAAATAATTCAAGACCAAAATCAACCAAATCGGTCGAGCCGTTCTCGAGTTTTAGCGAGACTAACGAACAGCAATTCATTTTTATATATACTAGTGGTTCCGCAGTAGTCGAAATTCGACTATAATTAATTGCAATTGTAAGTTTATACACTATTATGATTGTATTTTATACTTCTATAATCACACATTTCGCCAAGACTACACTATAAAAAATATTAACAAAGACAAACAATATTTAATCTATTCTCAATTTGACAACAGACGTCAAGAACAAAAGTTTGACAATAAATAGTATGCATGCGTGTGTGCGTCAAATACATGGTATGTGGGGTGTGTAATGTTTTCTTTATTGATTTAATGTATCTTTTATGCATTATTTAAAAAAAATATTAGCATTGTGCACTCCTTCTCTATATTCTCTATAAGTGTGGAAAATTTCATACTCCTCCGTCCGCGCAATTTTCGTAAAAAGGGATACAAAGTTTTTACTTCACGTATTAATATATAGATAGATATAGGATATAGATGGAATGAGCTCCCCTCCTCAGTGTTTCCCGAGCGCTATGACATGTCCTTCTTCAAACGAGGCTTGTGGAGAGTATTAAGCGGTAGGCAGCGGCTTGGCTCTGCCCCTGGCATTGCTGAAGTCCATGGGCGACGGTAACCACTCACCATCAGGTGGGCCGTATGCCCGTCTGCCTACAAAGGCAATAAAAAAAAATAAAAAAAGATAATGATTGACGAAACCTAATGAAGAAAAATTGTGACGAGTAGTAGATATGATGACTGAATTATTTTGTGCCGTATAAATTTCGATTGGCGATCCTAGTGTGTAGCTTAATCTACTAATTTTCTCGCCGGATCTTCTTGGTGAGTCGCTATTCCGATCCGGTGGTATATTCAGCGAAGCACTGCTCTTGCTAGGGTGCGTGTTAGCAACGTCGCGTCGTCAGGCTTAAGCCCTACTAGTTAAGGTTACGCTGAAATTGTCTCTCAAGACCATCAGCTTAGGTAGGAAAACAAAACTAACAAAATGTATTGTTTCGTTACTGATATAAATATACTTAATAATAATAATTACTGCTTCACGGCAGAAATAAAACCAGGTTGATGGGAAAAAAAACCTAGTTTTATACTCAGACATCGCTCTGTATATTCTCTACTGAATCGCTTAGCAGTTTTCCATAATGCACACGAGAATAGTTCCCAGTGTGCTTAGTGCGAGTTTTTGAAGTGAAAACTTCTTTAGAATCGTTGTGATTTCAAACCGGATGCAACGGAAAAAACGACAGGTAAGAGACACAAATACAAAAATGTGTAGGATGAAGCCAGCAAAGAATGAGACAGAAATATACATACTATTTAATACAGCGCCATCTGTGAGATTTTTTAATACTAACGTGTGTATGAAAGCTCTTGTAGTGAATTTTAATTTAGGATTATACGTGAAATTAAAATATCAATTCACAGAGGGCGCTACCTTACAATTATTTACTAATGACAAAATTTTACATTTACTTAAGACGTTTAGGATAATTGTATTTTAATTTTGGAAGGTTTCACTTCTACCACGTGTGAATTGCACACATTTTGTTTTTTTAACGTTCTCGATAGCGTAAAAGTTAGCTCATATTTGTATGGAATGGGATCGTTTGCCTACGTTTGCCGCTAGGGGCGCTGTTCCAACTGCATACTAAAATTGGGTTAACTTTTACACTATCGAGAGCCTTAAAAAACTCACACTAAGCACACTGATGTTGAATGTATTCAAGCTAAATGAGACGGCGAGTCCTAATGCGGTTGAAGGGCATTCCAGTCTAAATTCGGTCACCGCATTCCAAGGTATACCTGCGTCCGGCTCCTTCGTCAGACCCTCAGACAGATCCTAACTGGCTGTGCGGCGGAGTGATCATCCACGAGCGTTTTATTCTCACTTCGGCCGCCTGCATCGAAGATGTTCAACAATTCTACGTTGTCTCCGGAATTCACACGTATGTTTTTGTTGTTTTTCGTATTTTTCTGTTGTTGATACGCTTTTATTAGCTTCATATGTTATGTTAGTAGTGTAACGGAATTTTTGAACATGATTTTGACCCCCTTCATTACGTCGGATTAATTCGAAATTTGGCATACTGATTAAGGACCGATGACAATTCAATATTTTTTCTCCTACCTACGCCGAAAGTTCGTCGGTTTTCCTCCCGCTGTACAGGGAAGAAAGTCTAACTTTTCCTCCCGCTGTACAGGGAAGAAAGTGTAACTTTTCCTCCCTGGGTACTGACAAATGCGCACGCGCATTAGTATCTACGTCTGCTCTCACGCACCTAAAATTCTCCGCCATTGTTGTGCTCGGGTAATTTGCAATATTGTGTTTAGTGTAAAAGTGAAATAAACAAAAGGCAATAAAATTTTATAGTGAATTATTAAACAAAGATGAGTTCATCAGACAGTTCTTATTTAATTAGTAGTAGTTTATTTAAAAATTAAAAAACAGTTAAATTGTCTACCCCCGGCCAGGGCTTCACCCCTGGACCCTGGCTCAGTACCCACGAACTTTCGGCCTGGTAGGAGAAAATATAGTATGTGCACCGCGGGAAAAAAGTAGGACATCTCATCCCGGGTGTTTGCCAATTTTACACGCGGGAGGAAATGTCCTACTTTTCTCCCTTGGTGCACAATGTACTATTAAACAGTTTGATCCGTTATCCTTACTAGGATAATCAGGATTAGCGATTTTTTGTTTTCCTTAGACCCGGAGTGTCTGCGTCAAGACCAAGAAGTGAAATATTTCATTCCCATAATGGTATAAATAAAAGTGAATTTCACGAAAGCACGTAAACCTCTTAGATGTTCGTTAAGATAATGTATTGTTTCAGGTTAGTACCGTTTTCAGATAATACTAATGAATGCATCAAAAACGGGGCAAAAAAGGCGGTTTGGAAATGTGTTCCTAAAGGCAAGCATTGTTCCTAAAGGCAACATTTTACACTTCCTTGCTTTATTTCCACGTCAATTTTTTATTAACGCAAACTGTAATAAGTAGTTGTTATTCAATAGGTTACTTGCTGTAAGATTAAGATAGAATTTTCTTCGGCTTTCGTGAGTCGTAGACGCAATTAAAACTAATTTTATGGTTCAATCTCCCATTTACTGGTGGTAAGACCTATTGTGAGTCCGCGCGGGTAGGTACCACCACCCAGCCTATTTCTGTCGTGAAGCAGTAATGCGTTTCGGTTTGAAAGGTGGGGCAGCCGTTGTAACTATACTTGAGACCTTAGAATTTATATCTCAAGATGGGTGGCGCATTTACGTTGTGGATGTCTATGGGCTCATTATTCCCTATTCCCTCAGACTCTGTGGAGAAACGATCTTTGCAGGGTGACTGTTAAGAGCTGGATGAGAGAATCCGAGGGTCGTGCTCAGTGACGTGCAATTGGAAAGGACTATGTCCAGCAGTGGACTGCAAGCTGATGATGATGATATACCATGACCATACCATGATTATGACCATAAATTATTCGTAAATGTCGGAAATAGATATTATTACCATAAATTATTCGTAAATGTCGGAAATAGATATTATTACCATAAATTATTCGTAAATGTCGGAAATAATATCTATTTCCGACATTTACGAATAATTTATGGTTTACGCGTTCAGAAACAGCTGAAACTGAAAAAATGGAAGATTAAACATTAAAAGTGGTTTTAAGAATTTCGCACAGCAATGTCGCTATATTAATTTGACAATTTTGGGTCAGAGGATCAGGAACTTGACTCAAAAGATCCCTCAGTACCTACTGAAACTGTAACCTAAATGTTAGACGGAAATTGGCACAGTTTGTAAAGCCCAATTGCAGAATGCAACTTTCCATTTACAAGATAATCGGTTAGAGATAATTAATTATACATGGTTGCATCGGCTAAGGCTTTTACAGTCTTAGTACGTTGTAATTCACGAAGCCTTCGCTTAGGACGTCCATACTGGCTCTTGATCAAACGCTGCCCTAAAAAAGTATTTATAGACTACTAACGCAGAAGCTATAGAACGAGCCTTGAATGAGTGCCAAAGTAACCATTTAAAGCCCTAACCATGTTATATTAAGGCAGATTTCAAGACTGCTTGTCATCTTTTTTTTATTTATTTTTATTGCTTAGATGGGTGGACGAGCTCACAGCCCACCTGGTGTTAAGTGGTTACTGGAGCCCATAGACATCTAGAACGTAAATGCGCTACCCACCTTGAGATGTAAGTTCTAAGGTCTCACGTATAGTTACAACGGCTGCCCCACCCTTCAAACCGAAACGCATTACTGCTTCACGGCAGAAATAGGCAGGGCGGTGGTACCAACCCGCGCGGCCTCACAAGAGGTCCTACCAGCAGTAAAGCTATGGGACGTGCTTGAATTAGTGCCAAAGTAACCAATTAAAACCCTAAGCTTATTATATTAAGGCAGATTTCAAGCTTATTTGTCTCGTCCAAATTAGTTCCAATAAATAATGTTCCGTAAACATTGCAGATTATTTCTTTGATGGCAAAGACTTCGACAACATGCGCTGGATGGCAAATGACATTGCCGTTGTCAAAGTTGAAGACGACTTCAACTTCCAGAAGAGAGTGAAAGGTTGCGATTACGTCCCTAAGATGATAGCCTATAATAATCAGAGTGAGGAGTTAGAGAAGCCCGGTACAGTCGCGTCCATAGCCGGTTGGGGATCAACGCAGAAGTTTAGCGATGGTAGGGTACGTAGTATCTTTGAAAAATAATTTCCCGATTTCGTATGACCCGTACACAAAATTAAAGGGTTTTTTTGGAGCTGAACGTACTTAAACATATACATCTGAAAATTTTAAGTTCCGTCCGGTCTGCATCATCCAAGATCGCATAGGGATGTATCAAAAGCGAATTAAAAAGACGAATCTGTTTAATGAATGACGATATGAGAGAGAGAGAAGTGAGTGAGTGTTGAAATGACGGCTGATAGAAGAGAATGGAAGAGAAAAATTAGCTGTGCCGACCCCACCTAGTGGGATAAGGTGGAGAAAAAAAGAAGAATCTGTTTAATGCGAGCTTTTTAACTTTTTAAATTTTTCTTAAGTGTATATAGGGTTTGAATAGCTTCGTTTGCCGCTAGGATCGCTGTTCCAGTTCCATACAAATTAGAGTTAACTTTTACACGATCGATAAGCTAAAAACCTCGCACTAAGCACATAAAAGAATCTCTTCATAGTAAATGTTCTATTTATTGAAGGTCCTTTTGAAATCTCTTTTCGACTTTGATTTTTTTTGGTCAAAATTAACGATTGGCCAAACTTTTAATTTTATCAGATTTTGACAATAGTATGAATAATAGACAGGTAGTGCTTGAAGGTCTGGCCGGAAGATAGCAAATCGTTGCGCCATAGTGAAATAAACTAGTATAATAAAATAATCTCTGGAACTAGAAACTACAAAAAAATATGATACGACAATGATAATGAAACATTTTTTTGTCGCATAACTGTCATTAGTCCGTAACTGGTATTTTTGGAACTAGAAACTACAAAAATTTATAATGCGACAATGATAATGAAGCATTTTGTTTGTCGCACGACTGTCATCAGTAAAATGTATTTTTTTAAATCGCATACTTCTACTGATCTTCTATAGGCAATAGGAAGAACCAATACGAATTCTCCTTCCCTGCTAGAAACAGATGTAGTTTTGATCTCGAAGAAAAACTGCAAGAAGCGCTGGGATCCGCGCTATCATAACGTCATTGAAGAGCATATGATATGTGCGAAAGACAGCTTGGATTCTGAAGCAATGAGCAATATATGTGCTGTAAGTTCTCTTTCTCTATACATAATTTTCCTTCTACTTTACAATTTTGCGGCCCATCTAATATTAAGTGGTCACCATTGGGCATCAGCAAGACCAGGGGCACAGCCAAGTCGTCCTACAAAACCTGCTTATCATTTCGATAGTATACCTTACTGGTAACAAGTTTTTCTTTTGTATTTCATTTATGACTTTTCATAAAATCACTTTTACGGTTTAATTTTTGCTTTTGAATAGTTTAATACAGTTTAAGTTTTCAAGATCGTGGTCGTCCAGATACAGAGAATTGTCGACATAAAATATCAGATACTTCGGATATAATTTAACAATAATAATAAAATAAAAAGACCAAATATTTGAACCTGGCGCACGAGGTGACCGACATGTGGAGGGTGGTATCTACAGAAATAATCCCGGTAGTTGTGTCGGTGAATGGTTTGGTCCCTAAAAGCCTATCAAAACATCTCGAGAGGCTTGGTCTCAACAAAAAGTCGGTGGTGGGCCAAATGCAAAAAGGAGTCTTGCTCGACAATGCCCGTATAGTTCGCCGGTTTCTCTCCCAATAGTCCCTAACGCTCCGGTCGATTGTTGCCCACCTCGCCGGAGTGTGTCCTGCCGTCTTCCCAGGCGTGGCAGTGCTTAATACACATAATAATATTATTGTTCGACACTATGAAGTTGTCGAAACCTAAAGTAGAAAACGCCGATTTTAAAACTATAGGGTAGTATATTTTACTGGTGGTAGGGCGTTCTTTGAGCCCGCAAGTGTAAATACGATCACCTTGGTTTTTTCCTGTCGTGAAGCTGTAATCCCTTTGGGCTTGAAGGGTGGAACAGCCGCTCTCCTATAAAACTGAGAACTCGTGTTTTTTCTGTAAAAGAATGAGTACTGGTGGCTCGAAGTCCATTCCAGTTTCACCAGGACAAGCGGGGGAGTATGCACTCAACCAGGAGGGGAGAATTTGCTAATAGGATGCCATAGAAGACCTAACAGCTCAAGAGCAGCTATTTCGCAAATGTATCTAGTTCCGAATCGGTATCGTGATCCGCTGAGAAGATCCGGCGAGAATCTGAGCAGCTGATGTATGGTTTATAATTCATGTGTCTAGGTGGCTCGCAGCATTTTTTTTTATTGCCCTTGTAGGTAGACGAGCGTATGGCCCACCTGATGGTAAGTAGTTACCGTCGCCCATGGACTTCAGCAATGCCAGGAGCAGAGCCAAGCCGCTGCCTACTAAAGTTTACTTAAATTACTAAAGTTACTTTAATTGTGTACCTAATAGTCGTAGTCGTAGTCGAAGTCGACGTGGCCTAAAGGATAAGACGTCCGGTGTATTCGTATCGAGCGATGCACCGGTGTTCGAATCCCACAGGTGGATACCAATTTTTCTATTGAAATATGTACTCAACAAATGTTAACAGTGAAGACTAGATTGGTTTATAGTGCTTAGATGCGTGGACGAGCTAACGGCCCACCTGGTGTTAAGTAGTATCTATAATTTAAATGCCGCCACTCACTTCAAAATATGAGTCCTAAGGTCTCAATTTTTTGAGTGCAACGGCTGCCCCGCACTTCAAACCGTAACGCATTACTGCTTCACGAATACGTTATATGAGTCATCTATTATCAAAGGTGGCAATCTGTGCATTTGGACAAAAAAATGTTATTGATATGTCAATACAGATTGATTTGAATATAATCGTCTCCTTCAAAGAATACGGTTCAAAACCTGCATTAAATAAAGGTTAATACTTAACCTGTTATTTATCTAAGATGTCGATCAGAAGAGTTTTGCGACTGCCAATGGAATACAAAGTCAATAATTCGTTTTTCTGATTTACCAATAATTGTCCAAAAGTCACATTGCCGGCTTTGATAATAGTCGACTCATATAATATAATAATATCTGTAGGAGCATCATGTGAACTGTAAAGAATTAGTATATTCAGACGAAGAAGAAGAGGAAGAAAACGAGAGCCCATCTCGTAGATTAATGGCTGATGCTGACCAATTGGAGGTGCATACCGCGGCTCATTACAACGGCACGCGAAGATCCAAAACGATTTCTGGAGGATTCTGCGAAGTGTGTAACTTTGATATTAAAGGCTCCGTCAAACAGAACGCGTACTTAGCGCGCGTCAGAGCGCTAAACTGACGGCGCGCCATGACTGACGCCGAGATGTCTTGTATTAATATGGTAATATACTGTCAAACACGCAACGCTCTGTCGCGGCGTTAGGACGCTTTGACGTCAGACGTTGTAATTTACAACTTTTATTTTAGCGACCGAGCGATACACATTTAGTATTAAAATACTGGATAATGCCCGAAAAATTGATAGAAATAGTTAGAAAATACCCATGCTTATACAATGCCACATCTGAATCACTCGACATCTTAATACTTTTAAATTTTCAGACAGCTATAGAAAGGCACTATGATTTGGCGGATGTTACGTTGCGTCAAGAAGGGTCAGGCTCATCTAGTCAATTTGTGTGACATGAAAAGAGCGCGACGTTAAAACGCAGCGCTAAGTACGCGTTTTGTTTGACGAAGCCTAAAGGCTATTATCCAGTATTTTAATACACATTCACTCGGACGCTAAAATAAATATTTGTAAAAAATTACAACGCCTGAAGTCAAAGCGTCCTAACGCCGCGACAGAGCGTTGCGTACTTATAACGCTGGGGCTCTGTTTGACGGTACGTTACCATAGTAGTACAACACATCTCGGCGTCATAGCGCGCCGTCAGTTTAGCACTCTGACGCGTTTTGTTTGACGAAGCCTTTAAAGGTTTCGTTTTAAACAACCTATTTCAGATTGGACTATAAATACCAAAGATTTCATCAATAAGCAACACATTGTTTGTGTTTCTAAGCATTTATGTTGCCATAGATGCAAATATATGGAATTTATGGATTACCTACTCATCAAGAAGTAGTTACCGGAACTTCTAAAGATCACAATGTGAATGTCACCTCTTAAATGCTCGTAATCACTATTATCTTCAAAAATGAAAAATTAAATTAGATATGTGCAATTCACACGCGGTAGAAGTGAAACATTCAAAAATGTTGGCTTTAAGATTATGAGAAATTAAGAGGGTACAATTTCGGGAAGAGGATAATTGTAGTGATACAAAGTTTGATAATTATTTTACATTTTATTCGTATATCTATGTATCTATTCAGAACGTATTGAGTACGAATATTAGGTACGAAGCAGTGCATAAAGAGAACTATGAATAATGCATCTTGTACTGCTGTAGGTATAATGCTACTTATCTCATTTTTCCCTCATTAAATCTTATGAATTGATGTGTCTATCTCTTTCGTTTCATCGTCTTTCGAATCACAAAGAGGCTAAAAAAGTTTTCCATTCGACAAAAAATTAAATTTATTATTAATCCCATTATTTGCTACACTAAGACAAGCCTTTGTCACGAGTGATGCGAGATTGAGATAAACTATATATAAATTTTCGTCAACCACTATTGGATTGTTCTATCATCATGAGACTTCGCAGTTGTTGATTGATTCTTCTGACTAACCCAGACAATACGGTCTGGTAATATAAAGCTATATATCTATCTAGATTATTTACCTTCTATGGGCGGTTTGGTCTGGTCTACGGATTTGCAACAAAACGCCTTTCTTCTAACCTTTAATTTTCGTTGTCCATGTTATTGTTTATTGTTTGATCAGAACGACCACGGGGGTCCTCTGGTAGTGGGACAGGGGAAGACCTCTGTGGTAATCGGGGTGATCTCCGCCTGCATGACGAAATACCTCACTAACACTTGCTACGGTCCGTTTCTCTACACCAGCGTCTGGAGGTACAGGCACCTCATTGAATGTTCTATCAATAAAGAAATCGGGTATGTACAATTTTAGCCTTCTTCTTTGTCTCCACTTTATCCCACTAGGTGGGGTCGGCACAGCGAATTTTTCTATTTCATTCTCTTCTATCAGCCGTCATCTCAACTCTCACTCCTTTCTTTCTCATATCGTCATTTACACACTCCATCCGTGTCTTCTTCGGTCAAATTTAACCAAATTTACAATTTAAACCAACTTAAAAAAATATGGATGTTATCATTTCGCTGAATTTTTTGTTTTTTTTTTATATGTTCAGAACTTTTTTCTACGTAAACCGATTTTAATGATGCTTTTATTTGAAATCTGATGCTTCGCAAATGTGGTCCCGTCTGGCCGACATTTTTGAGTTATTCTTAATAAGGCATTTTTAATTGATTTGAAGTCGTCATGGCCTAATTAATGATAAGACTCATTGTGCATTCGTATCTATTGATGCAACTATGCCGGTGTTCGAATCCTCCAGACAGATACAATTTTTTTCTAATGAAATACGTAGCGTAAATGGTGCTTATGCATATTTAAAATGGAAACTTGAAGTGCAAATGTTCAAGATAACTAGACGTCTGTCGGCGCATGTTCTAACTCTCAGTTTTTATAGTACAACAGCTGCCCCACCTTTCAAACCGAAACGGATTACTGTCTCAGGGCAGAAATAGCCAGGGTTAATGTTATGTATATTAATAATGTTACCAATCTGTGTGGGCTCATAAGACTCTACACGCAGACGCAAATTAAAATTTTTGGCGGGTTTGATTTTTATTACACCGATTTACACTTTCATTTTAAACATAATATAATCCGTCAGCGCTTAGTACGTATGTAGGTATGTACGTATGTACTATTATAAAAAAAATATTAACCGCCCGTGGGATTTGAACATCGATACGGTCGCATCGTTCGATACAAGCACTCCGGACGTCTTATCATTGTGGCCATGACGACCTAACCTATTCACCAAACATATAATGTCGCTTTCGTAAATAACAGGAGCACATGTAGGAGACTCTTGAAGTCAACGAACACAAAGATGGTAGAGACGAAATTCGAGTGGAAGCCTGAAAATGGGTATAAAACTTTTGTATTTTTACTCATTTTTCAGTTTTTTTTATTTTTTTATTGTTTAGATGGATGGACGACCGCACAGTCCAACTGATGTTAAATAGTTACTGAAGCCCATATAAATCTACAACGTAAATGCGCCACCCACCTTGATATGTGAGTTCTAAGGTCTCAGTATAGTTACAACGGCTGCCCCACCATTCAAACCGAAACGCGTTGCTGCTTCACGGCAGTCATAGGCAGGGTGGTCGCACCTACCCGTGCGGACTCACAAGAGGTCCTACCACCAGTAAAAAACCTATATGGTTTCAGTGATTCCTACCGACATGAAGGCCATTCTCCTCAAATTGGATTATATTTGACTTAATGGTCTTACCATATCACTTGCTGACACAAATTAGTAGGGTTAATGTATGTATTAATCAATACTCCTACCTACCTTCTAATTCCTACCCATTATTCCCTCTCTAAAATACTGATGACGAGTATGCATAATAAGTATGACCGATCTCCCTATTTCTGCCGCGAAATTACGGAGCTCTGAATATTATCGTGCTCATATCGAAGAAGTTATTAGCGCGGTTTTTATCAAATATATTTCTTTTGAAACCTACAGCAGCAATCCTGCTTTATATAGTAAGATTGATTGATCTTATGTCTCTGTCTGTGGACATCAGCTATCGTTAACATAATATCAAGATAGACGGCCAGTTCTTTGCCCGTTATAAAAAAAAAAAAAATTACAGTTTTATTTACATGTACTAAACATATTTTTTTTCAGACAATTTAGAAGCAACGAAAGCCAAGTAGTACAACCAAAATCGGATTCAATAGTTCGATTGAAATCAGCTGGCAGTTGGTATCTTTTTAAATGACATCTTCTATTTCGCAATGTTCAAATGCTTGCTAGATGTATAAGCATAATATGATACAGGTAAACACGTACAGTACCCGAAGATAAATATTACACGACTAGCTTTTGCCCGCGACTTTGTCCGCGTGGAATAGATACTTTAAGCATAACGCTAAATTTTACCCGCCTCCGTAAATGATTACGTGTAGAAAGTGAAAATATTTTTGAATAATAGAATTTTAAAGAGTTATTTAAGATACCAAAATCACGCTTTTTAACCGATTTCAAAAGAGACTCTCATACATTAGACAGATACACAGAGAAGACTCTCAAACATTACTTTAGTGAAACTTTAACTGTTCCCGCAGCGCACGCAGTGAAAGCTCTCAAAAGGGATTAAAACCCCGATTTTGAAACATTCTTTATTGGTGCTCCATTTGCGTGTTGTTATATAGCCTTCCTCGATAAATGAGCTATCTAACACCGAAAGAATTTTTCAAATCGGACCAGTAGTTCCTGAGATTAGCGCGTTCAAACAAACAAACTCTTCAGCTTTATAATATTAGTATAGATTGGCTAATTATCACTTGATTTGATGATTATCGCACTTGAACGACTACCAAACGTTACATAGATAGTATGCGATAGAGACAGCGCTCTACGAAGCCGAAATTAGTCGATTGTCTCTTTCCAAAAGTCGATGTGCAATATTTAACGCCGGGTACTGTATAGGAACAATCCTGCGTATTTCTGCTACGAAGAAGTTCTAATTTGAAAGCTAGCACAGGATAGCCTGTATATAAGTTCAGGGAAGTCGTCGTGGTGTAGCCCACTGAGTTTCTCGCCGGATCTTCTCAGTGGGTCGCGTTTCCGATGCCGTGGTAGATTCTGCGAAGCACGACTCTTGCTAGGGCTCTTGTTAGCAACGTCATCAGGATTGAGCCCCGTGAACTCACCTACTAGTTAAGGCTACGCTGATATAGCCTCTCAAGGATCTCAGTTTATGTAGAAAAAAAAAGTGGTCCAAAAGACGCGAACTTTTTTTCCTACCCGCCTATGCCTATTTGACCTCAAAAATACAATGGGGACTTTGATCTCGTGTCCTAAAGAGGACCGTCGTTGTAATTATGTGAAATACACTAGTCCCTTACTTGAGATCATATAATCCGGAGTCGTTTGACGCACATTTAACTAAAAATAAAAACTTTTACAATTCCAGAAAAGTCAAAATCGAAACGCAATCGAGAAAAAATTTTAAGTCTATGAAAATTTCTGATCCATTTTCTTGGTAGTCAAATTAAAGAATATAATTAATAAAACATTTCAAAGTTACGTGTTTTTTTTTATTGTAGATTTAATCGGTCATTTGCAGGTGTGATCCTTTTCATTTCCTACCGCCCGATCAGTCTCCTCTCAGTGCTAGTGCAAAGTATACGAGCGACTATTACGCAAACGCCTCTAGGACTTCATCGCCTCGAAAAGCGTCCTGTGTGCTTAGTGCGAGTTTTTTAACGTTCTCGATAGCGTAAAAGTTAAGCCAATTTTGTATGCAGTTGGAACAGCGATCCTAGCGGCAAACGTAGGCAGACGATCCCATTCCATACAAATATGAGCTAACTTTTACGCTATCGAGAAAGTTAAAAAACTCGCACTAAGCACACTGATCGACGAACAATTCGGATTCCGCGCGAATTCCTACCCGGTAGATTCTACCCCATGATCTGCAAGCGAAGTAAATTGTCCCTTCATAACAAGGTGACACTCTACAAAACTTGCATACGTCTGACCTATGCAAGTGTAGTGTTCGCTCACGCGGCCCGTACACACGTTAACTCCCTCCAGGTCATCCAATCCCGTTTCTGCAGGATAGCCGTCAGAGCACCGTGGTATATGAGGAATGTAGATCTTCACGACGACTTAAATTTAGTACCGATACGTAAGTATCTTAACGAAGCGTAAGAGCGCTACTTCGACAAAGCGGCGCGACACGAAAACCTTCTTATCGTGGCCGCCGCTAATTACTTATCCGACCGCGACGGAACAACGCAAAGTCACCGTCGCCGGAAACATGTCTTGTCGGATCCCCCAGATTCACTCTCGGTGCTTTTAGGATTCTCAAGCACCGGTCACCTTCCTTGTCGAACTCGTCGATTACGACGAAGAGTTCGGCGAGCGAACTAACCCATAGACACAGCCCACTCAGTCTCTCGACGGATCTTCTCAGTAGGTCTCGATTCCGATCCCGTGGTAGATTCTGTGAGGCACTGCTCTTGCTAGGGTTAGTGTTAGAAAATTCTCTCAGGTTGAGCCCGTGAGCTCACCTACTTGTCCGGACGTAGCTAGCGTAGGAATAGTCTCTTAGGCTACCGGCGAATAAGTAGGGGAAAAAACGAGAGTCCGAATCATTTGGGCTATAATAATAATATGTAGTAATAGTTACAATTCTGACAGCAATGCAACCCTTAAAAAAGTTAATATTGTTCAGGCTTCCTCTAAATCCTTCTGAAACTATTATTATAATTTCATTATTAAATAAACTAAATTTCTTTTAACCTAAAGAAACATTTCAATTGATACTTATTTCTAAAATCGTTTTAATACATAACGTGCTATGACGGAGAACCTATAAATTTCTATTTTAAATTCTATTTCTACTTTAGACCGTGAAATTGGATTCTCCGGTGTTTTAAAAAGTCTCTTTTATTTTCAACCAATAAACCAACATGAGAATTGTGTTACTTTCGTATATTTTTAGTTTAATTTCGACACATTGTTCTAGTGAGTTAAATGTTTCGCACATATTATAAATAACTGAAATGAGAAATGAATGGTTTCTAAAAACAAATTAACATATTGTGATCCATGGCCTCCAGTGTTTCGATAGTAATAGCAAGCAATGGACATCAAAGCGTGAATACCCACATATCACATTAGTTCGAAGTCTGAATTGTATTTGTATAAAAGTTTTCCGGCCATTCAAAGCCGACCACCGATTCAACTCATCGTGGCCTATAGGTTAAGACGTCTGGTGCATTCGTATTTAGCGATGCAACGGTGATCGAATCCCGCAGGGAGGTCCCGATTTTCTAATGAATTGTACTTAGCAAACGCTCACGATTGACTTCCACGATGAAGGAATAACATCGTGTAATAAAAATCAAACCCGCAAAATTATAATTTTCGTAATCACTGGTGGTAGGAGGTCTTGTGAGTCCGCACGGGTAGGTACCACCACTCTGCCCATTTCTGCCGTGAAGCAGTAATGCGTTTCGGCTTAAAGGATAGACCAGCCGTTGTTAGAACTCATATCTCAAGTTGGGTGTCGGCATTTACGTTGTAGACGTCTATGCGCTGCCAGGTGGACTGTGACCTCGTTCACCCATTTAAACAAAAGCAATCTCCATCCTCTAATAAAAACTAATCGCAGTTCGCTTCCAGTGATAGAAGCGTTTTATGTGTCTACGTCGGTCCCTGGACACGTAGCGGATATACTAAAAGGTGTAAACGATACAGATGTTAAGTTACATTTAAACGAATCAAGGAGGATAATTGAAGGACACGAAGTCAGGACTGAAATGCCTTATATGGTAAGAAACACAATTTTAAAGTTATAGCCACATAAAACCGCGACTGAATCGGCAGACAATATTATACTCCATCACTAATAGAAATATAATTTCATACAACATCTCTTAGCCGTTTTACAGGTGATGATAAGACGACTTGTGAGTCCACACGGGTAGGTACCACCTCTCTACCTAGGGGTGGTGCAGCCCTTGTACTGTAAAAATTGAGACCTAAGAACTCATGTCTCAAAGTGGGTGGCGGCATTTACGTTGTAGATGTCTATGGAGTCTGCTAACCACTTAACACCAGGATCCCTGAGCTCGTCCACCCATATCTATACATATAAATAAAATTGGAATGTCTGTTTGTAATATTGAAATAACCGCTTTTTACTACATGCATATGAATATATATACGGTACATACACCAAAATTAAATTTTTTACAATTGTTGTCTGTGTCTGTCTGTCTGTTTGTTCCGCCTAATCTCTAGAATGGCTGGACCGATTTTGACGGGACTTTCACTGCCAGGTAGCTGATGATATAAGGAGTAACTTAGGTTAGTCTAACTTTTTTTAGACTAGCTTCGCCACGCGGCGTCAACCGCGGTACGACAATAATTGCTATTAGAGTGCGCAAGATTAAGCCGCAAAAGGAATTTTAATTATACTTTCTTATTTATTTACATATTTCAATCGCCCTGTAGGTGTACCTGAAACTTCCATCCAATAATCCAAAATACAAGGACTACCGCCGATGGATCTGTGGAGGCGTCATTATTCACGAGGAATACATTCTGACGTCAGCGGCGTGTATCGAAGACGCTAAGTACTTCTATGTCGTATCTGGCACTTACAAGTATGTAAACATGTGTTTTCCTTCCTATTCGTACACCCTTGTGTATGTGTCACAGTGGTCGTGGTCATGCATCAGTCGGATCCTGCGATACCGTTACTCTCGCGATGCGACGCCATGTGGCACGATGTTTCGCAGAGTCAGAGCAATCATTTATGTTGGAGTGAGTCACAGATTTTATGAGGTCGGTCATCGTGTTGGAGATCGTCCGCGAGATCTTTTGCCTTCGACTTTCCCTTGCTCCCACCAACCACTCAATGGAGTCCTCATTAAACGTGTGTTAGATAAACGCTATTTTGAATTCTGGTCAGGTTCGTGGATTTTGGTTGTACAGTGATTCCTCACTGTGAGATATGAGGTTGACATCTCATATATGCTGTGTAAGGGCGATACCACAGCTTATATCAAAACGCATAGCTGTTTTCCGACAGAAATAAGCTAGGATCTATCCATGTGAGCATCACGTAACCTGCAATCTATCTAAGTGTTCCACCTATCCAAAGAACCAAGAAGTTTCCGGTAATACTTATTCTAAAAAAAACATTCTACCTCCTAAAACAAGATTTCGGTGTTTCAACTTCGTATGAAATTCACAGCAAAAGAAAAATCTTATCGTCATTAGACTTACATTTTCGACCGATTTCGAAATAATAATAATGAAAGATTCTCAATTCGGTTTGGGTTTTTTTTCAGACACGACGAGAGAGACGATCGGTTCAATAACCCATGCATTAAGAACGGTGCTAAAAAGGCAATTTGGAAATGTATACCAAGGAGTAAGGCTAAGTCATAAACACATATAAATTAGGCTGCCTGTGCAACGGAATAAGGTGAAGCGGCGTTGCGTACTGTGTCTGTCCACCGGGACGGAGCGAGAAAGTAATGCGGAGCGGAGTTTAGTACCTATGCGACGAGTCAGTTCACACTGCGGGTGCGCCTCGCGCCTGCGTCCGCACACGCTTCCCTGCTCCGCTGCCTCGTTCCGCTATCCCGCTCCGCTTACTGGTTTTGTATGAATTTTTAAACTAGTTCACAACTCCCTGTCCACTAAACAGGAGCGGAGATTTTGTGCAATCTTATTAATTAATAATTCTTCGTTTCTCCGCTCTATTGCCTCGCTCCGCTCTGGTGGACAGGCAGCCTTATAGCCGTTTATCAAAATCCGTGACTGCCTCTAAAGCCACAGAGAAACCAGCCCAAAATCTCTGCTGTGGTGATTAATTGGCGAATAAAAGGAAAGCAGATTAGTTTGGACCTAGGTTAATGAAATTTTCATATCGAGGGATGAAATGTGATTTAAGTGAATTTTTTGACTATTTTACAGGAAAGCCATTTAAACTTTAAAATTTGGAAAAAATGTCATGACAAAAAACTTCTTCAACTATTTCAATTGGGTAAACATAATTGAAGTCCAATAAAAAGCATCGAACTGTTGATGCTAATACCAAACAAAACGCACCTTTAATTACAAATAGAAAGGTCGCGTATTTAGCGAAAGGTCGTTTAAACCTTTAACCTTTCATCCCTCGATATTATCTGATTGTTTGTTTTCCAATAAGGGAAATACAAATGCTGTTGACAGAATCATAAATGGTATTTCGCGTGTGCACTCTCTCATTGAAAATGACGCTATTTAAAATAATACACTGGTATTACAGCTAAATAAATTACGAATAAAGGCATACCTACATGAACAAAAGAAATATAATCAAAGACGAATGCTATTATAATAAAAAAGGAATATTTGACATCCAAATTAACTTAATTATGTAATAGAACACAAACAAATAACAACTGTAACTTCCATCTATAATAATATTTCCTTTACTACTACAATTACATTCAGCCATACATAGATTATCGGCCCGTGAAACACATTAATAGTCGCAGAAGCCTGAAATACGATAATACTAACAATAAAACTGAAGCATATTTGTTTAGATTACGTATTCGACGGTCACGAAAACGATAACATAAGATGGATGAACAATGACATTGCCATTGTCAAAGTTGACGAAGAATTCGACTTCACTCGACGAGTTAGGGGTTGTGATTTTATACCAAAGCCCGTCGCTTACAATAATTATAGTACCAATCTTGAAGAGCCAGGCGTTCGGGCCAATATCGCCGGCTGGGGTACTACCAAGCATTATGACGGTGTAAGTGAATTTTATTTGATCTGTCGTATAATAGCTTTGAATATCACCTCGTATTTTCAATAAGAGCCTTTCTCACAATTTTTGATGTGAAACATCTATAGCCGCACGTAAAACCGATTTCTGGCGTGGCGACGCATGCCATGAGACGCGTCGCCATGCGCAATCGACTGTGCGTTTCTCTCCCACTCGATCCGGCGTTAAGCCATCTCTCTCGCTACACTGAGCTCGGATACCTATAGTGTATAATCCGTAGTGTATACAGTGTTGTTCACTACAGTACACATAACCTGTGCTTTACTTGAAAACAAATTATTTTTTCGTAATATTTTATCTTATCAATAAGACATATTTAGTTCCTATCACAATCTGTTCTTTTCTGCATATTACTTTTACAAAATAATGTCGATGTTTCACATCTGCCAGGCGTCCCGTGACGGCTCACATTTATTTTAAAAATTAAATTAAATCAATTTACTAACATATAACAATAGTGTAGCGGCAATAGATATGCCACACCTGATATTGCTATTAATATTTGTGGACTTGAGATTTCTGTGAAATTAGAATATGCGTATTTCTCGAAAAACCAGTTGGCGTGTGTATTTCTGAATTGGCAATCGTACAGTTTTAAAAGATAGTGGGGTCAGGGTATAACTTTATTAACCAATTGCAACCGCACACGTTTCTTGAGTCACACACAGCTCGTCCGGTCGCCGTTCTCGTCGAACCGGGCGAAAGGCTCGAAGAGTAAATTAACCTCAGACACAGCCCACCGAGTTTCTCGCCGGATCTTCTCGGTGGGTCGCGTTTCCGATCCGGTGGTAGATGTTACGAAGCACGGCTCTTGCTAGGGTTCGTGTTAGCAACGTCATCAAGTTTGAGCCCGTGAGCTCACCTACTAGTTAAGGCGACGCTGATATAGCGTCTCAAGGCTATCGGCTTAGGTAGGGAAAAAAAACACAGCTCGATTCTAATTGGTGGAGAAAATTAACACAATAATACCAATATAATAATTCCAATAATAAAATACAGATACAATGATCGACATCCTAAGCATGGCAGATGCGTGAACCAATAGTTTATTTCGAAATATAACGTTCTAAGCTGTGTACCTCCGGATTGCTGATATCTGCGAGTGATGGCGACCACTCTCCATTTGCTAGGATGTTTGGTTATCTGTCTTCGAATGAATTAAAAGCCCAATTAGTACTATTGTTCTGGTTTTGATTGACTATATAACAGAGGAAGTATTGTTTATTTTAAAAAAATTTTATGAAACCAAATGAGTATCGAAAAATTACTTAATTTATTAATTTATAAATTATATAATTAGTATATAATAATTTATTTAATTAAATATTAATTTATTTAATAACTAATTAATAATTAATTAATTAATTTACTGGTGGTAGGACCTCTTGTGAGTCCGCGCGGGTAGGTACCACCACTCTGCCTATTTCTGCCGTGAAGCAGTAATGTGCTTCGGCTTGAAGGGTAGGGCTGCCATTGTAACTATACTTGAGACTTTAGAACTTATATCTCAAGGTGGGTGGCGCATCTACTTTGTAGATGTCTATGGGCTCCAGTAACCACTTAACACGAGGTGGGCTGTGAGCTCGTCCACACATCCCAATAAATAAATAAAAGACGTGTGGCACTCGGGGACTGCCGCGGTAAAGCTATTGCAAAGCATTCTTTATCAACTTATGCAATTACAATTATACATACATTACATTATACAATAATAATTTTATATTAAAACAATAATAAAAATAAGACCACGCTATACATACAAACATTAACAAAAGCAAAACATTAACTGTCCCCTTCACACTCATAAGCTAGACCGCGTGAGAGAGAGATGGGCAGACTTTTCATGATCCTCATGCAGTGCGACGTCACGCCGCGCGCTTATTCACAAACACTACATCAGCGCAACGTGTGAATGTGTTGAACGCGAGCTACATAGTAGGCGTAGTGGGGGTGTCAGGTTATTTCTGTTACGAAATTTCTTGATTCAGTCGCCGCGCTCAAGGCCCGCGATAGAAGCTATGCAATACCTTAAAAATAAAAAAAAAATATACCATAGCAAAAAGCAAAATTCATTCAAGCCTTACGCGTTATTATGTTTAAAATGCTATCCTGTTATTAAAATCTTTTAGTCCGAAGGCGGGAAACCGACTCAAAACTTGCTTCAAAGCGAAGTGGAGATAATAAATAAGGACCGATGCAAAAGAAGATGGGGCAAACGTTACTACAATATCATCGATAACTACATGATCTGTTCTAAAGACAACGCGCCGGTGCTGAACGAAGTGTGTCGGGTAAAAGTGATCCTTTGGAATAAACAATCTAGCGATAAATAGCGGTCGTATTGATTATTGATACTATGAATCTTCTGGAATCTTACGTACGAAAGTCGAAAGATTTCTTCAGAGGTCTCAGTTAAAAGTCAAACTCGTAGCGTTTGCATAGCATTATCTCAAAGTATTATAGAATTGTTAATCTATTTACTATATACTGATTATTCAATCACCAGAAGATCAATGTTATCCATCAAGTCAATTATATAACTTGACTGAATATAAAAGCGAATCAATTGTTGATGCCGCATTTGATGTATCTGAATATGGTGTGTTTTTCTTAATTTACAACAACAAGTCATGATGATTGTGTATTATGAGTGGTTATTGTCGTCCCTAAACTAACGAAAATATTATAAGCGACGAAAAAGTTAGTTGGTTCAGTCATTTCAGCTTAAATAATAAACAGATTAGAGAGAGCTCGTTATTGTTCAATTACAAATCGCCTTAAAATATTAAGAATGCTTTTATTTTGAAGTTAAAGAAAGAAGCTGAAATTTAATTTATTTGAACGTATGCAGATCGTTATGCTGCCTACTATTAAGTTCGATTCGCAATTAAATCTCACTTAATGAAAACAATAACAAATTTGCAGGAGAAGTACGTGGATTGTACTGATATAGATTATTCGGACGAGGTTGACGGAACAAGACGTGTAATAAGTCCAGAGAAATTAGAGCTACATTCTGCTCATCATAATATATCGGGGAGGAGAAACGTAGACAGCGGTGGATTCTGTGAGGTACGAATCAATATCAATTGGGCGGCTACAAAATTCGACGAGTTGTTCAATCCAATTCTAATGCCGCTGTGTAATCTAACACAATATCTTCAGTTTCACCAAGTTCCCTTAAGCAAATACCCGATTTTTTTAAAGTTTTTAACTATATACTTTTTCTATTCTCAGTCAGTTGAAATTGTTCTTGTTTGCAAGATTAATATCTTGATTAAGAGCACTTTTTCAGAGACGAAATTCGCCCGTGACCACGAAAGCTGGTGATGGTCGAAAGATGTGAATAGATGGTCGAAAGTATTATAATATGATATAAAACGGAAGATTAAACCGTAAAAGTGCTTCTAGTTATGTTGTTAGGTTGTCTAGTTATGTATATTAGGACTCTCAAAATACTGCAGGATTAATGTTGTTTTGGAAAAATATTTTTCCTATCTAATCTTTACTGTGGTTTTTTTAAGGATTGATTAACTACAATAAGACGGACATAGCTATTTCCTCTGATCGATTTGAGGACGATAATATCGGTTAACAGGTCATATTTATTGCCAAGTAAAATCAGAATTTGTTAGTGAGCATTTTGCCATTCAAATTCAGCTAATTGCTTAGTGCCCAAAAATGTTCTCCTGTAAGAACTGCAGGACCTAGAATCCGAAAACCAAACGTGTTCTTATTATTTTCTCGAAAGTCAATGGTACAGTCTAGTATAGTAGTCTTAAGAATATCTGGCCACTGGACACCAATTGCCATTGGAGTACTAAATGTAACTGTTGAACTGTTTCTAGAACGACCACGGTGGTCCCTTGACATATGGGACAGGAGTGAACTCGGTTGTCATTGGTATAATCTCCGCCTGCCTCGTCAAACAGAGATCCAATACATGCTATGGCCCCTTTTTATATACCAGTGTTTATAAGAACAGAGTTCTCATCAGTTGCGCTATCTATAAGGATTCCGCGTGAGTTGCATTCATATAATACAAAAAAAAATCAATTAATCATTCAAAATAATATCTAAAGAATACATTGCAACTTTAGTATCACTTCCCATAGACACAACCTACTGAGTTTCTCGCCGGACTTTCTCAGTAGGTTGCGATTTCGATCCGGTGATTGATTCTGTGAAACACTGCTCTATCTAATAACACTAGACGCCTTAAACACGTCATTACGGATCCTCCCGTTCCACTAAGGGTGTTTTTAGGTACCTCAAGCACCGGTAATCTCCTCGTCGAACCCGCCGCTTGCGACGTAGGGCTCAAGTTGTAAATTAACCCATAGACGCAGTCCACTGAGTTTCTCCCCGGATTTTCTCAGTGGGTCGCGTTTCCGATCCGGTGGTAGATTCTGCGAAGCACTGCCCTTACTAGGGCCAGTGTTAGCAACCCTCTGGTTTGAGCCCCGCGAGCTCACCTACACGTCAAGGAGAAACTGACTCTCAAGGCTATCAGGATAGGTAGAAAAAAAAAACAAAAAAATGGTAGCACTAGTACTATCATGAGATAGGCCCAAGGTCAGGAGATATATTATTTACTAGCTATTGATGCACTTTAATGTTGTCAATGATATAAAATGTAATAAATAAAATGAATCCAACTCTTCAGGTATCAGTGATTTTTCTTAAATTTCGAGCAAAAGACGAAAACTATTTATTAAAATGACTAGATTCAATGTTGACTGTTGTTTGAATAAAGACATTAAGTAGTACTTTTACCTTGAGCCGTGTATTCGAATCATCATTAATTTGCGATTTCTTCGATCCGACATTAGAAATTCAGGCAATGATTATTTATTTTCCGAGATATTTCATATTCCATTTCAGATCGGGTTGCCAAAAACTATTCAGATCCAGCGAAACTCACCTGGAGGTCAACATAAGTTGGGCAGATCATCCTGATGGGTAATTGGGAATCAAAATATTTATAGTTTTTATCATTAGTCCTAATTATAAATGAACTTCTAAAATTTCTATAACTTTAAGAGCTAGTCCATTTTAAGTATATTTTTCAGACCTGCAAAAAATGAAATTGCAAATATGCGAAGAAAAGATGACAAGGAAAAATTGCAGAATAGAGCCGCGACAATTCGTGGCGATGTCATCAGTACAAACATTACAGAAGACAATATAAAACCACGTGAAGGAATTATTGTTAGAGCATTTAATGTAACTAAATCGCCTTCTACATTGAACACGACTATTGAAATAAAACAATCTTAATGAAAATACCTTTGTTGTATAATATTTTAAACCCTCTTATTAATTTTAGGTATACACCGATGACAAAGAAATAAAGTATCACAGAATATTTATGGAAACCATTTTATTCCTCTATGATTCAAAAGAATATTTTTTGCATAGCGTAGACCCGAAAAGTAATATCGTTTTTTTAATCATTTTTTTATTGCTTACATGGGTGGACGAGCTCACAGCCCACTTGGTGTTAAGTAGTTACTGGAACCCACAGACATCTATGACGTAAATGCGCCACCCGCCTTGAGATATAAGTTCTAAGGTCTCAGTATTGTTACAACGGCTGCCCTACCCTTCAAGCCGAAACGCATTACTGCTTCACGGCAGAAATAGGCAGGCCGGTGGTACCTACCCGTGCGGACTCACAAGACGTCCTACCACCAGTAATACGTTATCTTTACATGATTAAAGTTTAACAGTGGTTGGAGTAATTTACACGTGAACTTGCCTAGCTTATGCTATTTTACATGTAACTAATGTATCATACTGAATATTTAGAGTTTTGGGGGTTAATTTTAAACCGCTTCAGAATAAAATAAAGGCTTAGAATAGGGTTAAATGTCATATGTATATAGCATAGTCCACCCTTCAATAAGATACCTGAATTGGTCGAATGACAACCTTCGTTTGAAATATTAAGTTTAATTCGAATCTTAAGCTTTAACTGTACTAAATTGATTATAGCTTCGCTAAAGACGTTGAGGCGACAATACTAAGCCTAGTGGGCCTAATAATAGTACCTTATATCATTAAATTGAATATTCTTGGAATTGTGGGCGTCATGTTTCTTGATACTTTACTCTTAACAAGCACTAATTGATTACAGTGAATCAATTAGAGAAAATATACAATTCAGAGTTTTAAATATGAGCTTTCATATACAAAACATTCAAAGAACCTTATTTTGGTCACGAAACACAAAATAGAAAATATCAATATCAACTCGGGATTTGTATTCACGGAGATCAAGTCACTGAAGGCAGACCTTATAATAATATGGTAAGATCGGAACGTTTTCCGTAATGGTAGATAGCCTATGTGTGTGTGCGCCGGGCCTCGGTTCGCAAACTGTGGAAAACATCTGTCAAAATGAGCAAGAATTCCACATGACCACGACTGCTCTGCTCACGTCCTTACGGATCCATCAGATCCAATAACCTTTGCATTAGATGCCTTCAGCTCTAATACTAGGAGCAGGCTTAGGGACCCCGGTAATCGTACTCGTCGAACTCGACAAAGAGGTCGACGTGCAACCTAACCCATGCATCAGCCCGCTGAGTTTCTCGCCGGATCTTCTCAGCGGGTCGCGATTCCGATCCGGTAGTAGATTCATTCGCGAAGCAATTGCTCTTGAGTTGTTAGGTCTCCTTCGGAGGCGCTCGGGTAGTTGTTAGCAAATCTCGCCCCTCTTGGCTGAGCCTTTGCTCGCCCACCTGTCCTGGTGAAACTGGAAAGGCCTTCGCGCCACCAGTAAACTTTCAATCATAAAAAAAAAAGACTGCTCTGCCAAGAGCAACCGATTATGATGAGATAGCCTATACTGCTCTGATGAAAAACTTGATTTCTCTAATTTCAATCTTAAATTTAATCATAGTACAAAATTTAACAACGTTATTAAAATCTAAAATGTATTATTCAACGAATCGTGTAATTTAAGCGCACATTAATCTCGTTATTCAATACTATATTTATGTTTTAACTTTAGTAAAAATGCATTTGATTTTAGGTGTATTTCTTTCTGTATTTTTATTTATAGGTATAAATATATATTTTGTTTCATTCTTTAACTTGAAACATTATATAGACTACAAATTATTAATGAATTAGATTTAATAATAGATTGATATTTGTAGATGTTAGATCAGTGGAAGTTATAACGAAAATGCCAGCGGAAGTTGAAAAAATATTTAATGATACTCGGCGGATCATTCACGGAGATCAAGTCACTGAAGGCAGACCTTATATGGTAAGATCGAAACGTTTTCCGTAATGGTAGATAGCCTATATTACCTGCTCTGACGCAAAGCAGTCATTAGATTCAGTTCGTTAAGATCGGTAGCCGCTAGTTTTTTTGAAACTTCGACTTAATCTCCCAAAAAAGACTTATGGCGTTTCCGTATATCATACTAGAAAACCAGGCTGAATACAAGTACATGTGACGTCATTTGGGGTCAAAATCAAATACAAGCTGGCCACAGATAATACACAACACAGCTATAAGTAACATTTAATATGGTCGATGTGTGTGATGTAAAATATAACTAGATGATGACCGAGCTTTTGCTCGTTTTTTTTTTGATAACGCCATCTTGTTGTGTCTTCAAAGCGGTTAGTTCCCCTCAATTAAGAAAAATAGAATTATTATTCGCCAATAGATTGCGGGAAGAGTTGATTATTGAAAACACGAATAAAACAATATATCGAAAATAAATCGTAGCTAGATCGATTTATCGCCCCCGAAATCCCCTGTATACTAAATTTTATGAAAATCGTTGGAGCCGTTTCCGAGATTCAGATTATATATAACTAGTCAGGTCATAAGTATTGTCACACAGTAAAAACTTTTCTTTTAGAATGCTGGCCACAAAAAAGTTTATTGAATTCGAATTTCGAATTGTTCATGAAAATAAAAATGTATACTTTTAGAATTTTACTCATTTTTAAATATGGAGTGGACGCTTAAAGAAGACCGTGTTGCAGTTATTGCGTTGCATCGTTGCGGTTACGCGCCAATTCAAATTTTTAACATACTGAAAAATTTGAATATAACCAAAAGATTCGTTTATCGTACCATCAAACGATACAATGAAGACTCTAGTGTAGATGACAGGTCAAGAAGTGGTCGCCCTCGGTCTGTTAGGACTCCAGCAGTGATAAAAGCTGTGAAGGCGCGAATTCAAAGAAATCCCAAACGTAAGCAGAAACTGTTGGCCCTTCAGATGGGGTTAAGCAGAACCACGGTGAAAAGGGTGTTAAATGAAGACTTAGGGCTTCGGGCATATCGAAGAAAAACAGGACATCGTTTGAATGCTCGTCTAATGGACCTGAGACTGAAGAGATGCCGCGCTTTGTTGAAGCGGTACGCGGGAAAAAAATATCGGGAAATTCTTTTTTCGGATGAAAAAATTTTTACCGTAGAAGAGAGCTACAACAAACAAAATGATAAGGTGTACGCACACAGTAGTGAAGAAGCGAGCAACCGTATTCCGCGTGTCCAACGAGGTCATTTTCCATCCTCGCTCATGGTATGGTTGGGAGTTTCTTATTGGGGCTTAACAGAGGTACATTTTTGTGAGAAAGGTGTAAAAACGAATGCAGTTGTGTATCAAAATACAGTCCTGACGAACCTTGTGGAACCTGTTTCTCATACCATGTTCAATAACAGGCACTGGGTATTCCAACAAGATTCGGCGCCAGCTCATAGAGCGAAGAGCACACAAGACTGGCTGGCGGCGCGTGAAATCGACTTCATCCGGCACGAAGACTGGCCCTCCTCCAGTCCAGATTTGAATCCGTTAGATTACAAGATATGGCAACACTTGGAGGAAAAGGCGTGCTCAAAGCCTCATCCCAATTTGGAGTCACTCAAGACATCCTTGATTAAGGCAGCCGCCGATATTGACATGGACCTCGTTCGTGCTGCGATAGACGACTGGCCGCGCAGATTGAAGGCCTGTATTCAAAATCACGGAGGTCATTTTGAATAAACTTTAGTGTCATAAGAATCTATGTTTTGTTAAGTTCATTTTGGTATATGAATGGTTACATAATGAATAAACTTGTTTCAATTATTTTACATTAAACATGTGACAGAATTTATGACCTGACTAGGTATGTACAAGAATGGCTCGTTTAAAGGTATAAGATGAATAAAATTTATTTATTGATTTCATAAATATGCATCACTAATATTTCAATGATTGAATGCTGATTTTAATTCAATTTGTTTGTTACTCAGTTACCTATTAAATAGGCACCCTGAAAACCATTTACTATTACTTTAAGAATAGTATTTCACGGGAGCATTTAAATTACTACGCGCATGAGTTCGAGTGCCACGTATTCACTGTCGCTCTGTCATTTTCTAGTATGGTAGCGTTAAACGTTTAACGCAACCTTGTTAGAAGTCGCATTAGAAGTTTCACTTCAATAATATTATCCCTCAACTCTCGGCAATTGGATAAAAAAACCTAAAATCTTCGAAAAACATTCCCACAGGTATATTTAAGAATGCCGCGTACAAACAAAAAGCAGTCTAGCTACAGAAGTTGGCTTTGTGGTGGTGTGATCATACATGAAGAATACATTCTTACATCGGCCGCCTGTATTCAAGATGCCGAACACTTTTATATTGTCTCTGGAACTTATAAGTGAGTGTTGTAGTCTTCGTTAATAGCTGGCCGCCATGAGCTTCGAGCAATGATTGCGTAAATCAAATTGTTTGTTTGGAAACGATAGTTAGGATAATAATAAGCCGCTTTAAGCTTCGAGCAGATAATTGGGCAAGTCATATTGATTATTTGAAAACGACAACTAGAAAAATAAATAATCTAATCTGTTTTCTTGATGAGTCTTTGATATCTGTGTTAAGTCTGCTTTAGCTACAGCTTGGGAAGAGAAATCAACTTTTTAACTTTTGTTGTTGTTACTGTGTCAAATTTTAGATATTCAGACGAAGATGACAGATATTCGAATCCATGTATCAAGAACGGAGCAAAAAAAGCAATTTGGAAATGCATACCAAAAAGTAAGTTTTTTTTTTTTTATGATTGAAATATTACTGGTGGCCCGGAGGCCTTTCCAGCTTCATCAGGACAGGTGGGCGAGCAAAGGCTCAGCCAGGAGGGGTGGGATTTGGTAACAACTGCCCAAGTACCTCCGAAGGAGACCTAACAACTCAAGAGCAATTGCTTCGCGTATAAATCTACAACCGGATCGGAATTGCGCGAAAAAGTAAGTGTCTACAAAAGAAGTCAATAGTATTTGTTAAATTGTACAACCTTATTTGTAAAGTATTAGTAACCAGTTTGTGAGATTGATTATCCATGTTTCTCTTATAGTTAATACCCAACAACAATACAACTGAGACTTTGACCTGTTGTCTCAAGGTAGATGTTGTCTTCTTTATGTTTAAAGTAAGAAGGCCATAAGCTCGTGTCAATATTTTCAATTAAGCCCTTATCGCTTTTACAATAATGACTATGAATAAGTTTGTTTTCAATGAAAATTTTCCTAAATTTATAGATTATGTTTTTGACGGTCACGAGAACGACAACATCAGGTGGATGAATAATGACATAGCCATCGTGAAGGTCGAAGACGGGTTCGATTTCTCCAGAAGAATCAGGGGCTGCGATTTCATACCTAAGCCCATTTGTTACAACAATCAGAGTCAGACTTTGGAGAACCCTGGCACTATTGTCAGTATCGCTGGATGGGGTACAACAGCAAAATATAACGACGTGAGTGGCTTTTTCATACCCTGAGGTGGTTGCAGATTTTTCTCAACAAACATCCAGAGGCTCATTAGTGATTGTGGTCAACAAACGACATTTATGAAGTACCTTAATATCTAACTTTGAAAACCACTTCGGAGCTAAAGGTATATCTTTTGGTTGTGTAGCCTTGAATTTCACCACCCGATCTCTTCCATACATCGTTAAAGATGACTAAGGGGCTTACCAGAGATTTTCGCTTAGAAGTAATTATGTATTCTGATCTGAAGGATAAGACAGGTGACTTCATGTCTCAAAACGAGTTGGGCTATTTACGTTTTGATAATTCATAGAGTCCGGTAATAAATACACTAAGAGAAGGAGGTGAACCCACAAAAGCCTACAAAGGTTATGCCTCAATTTATTTTAAATTATGGAATCACAACTCTTAATGTTTTAATTTCATTTAATTCTAGATTTGTTTTTTAGTGGGTAAACAGAAGAAAAGGCAATCAACAGGATCTCTTGGAGTCTCATGTTGAGATAATATCGAAGACCAAATGCAAGAGGCGTTGGGGATCTCGGTACACGAACATCATCGACAATTACATGATCTGTACAAAGGACATCGGTCAAACTATGTCGGAAATATGTAATGTAAGAAATACGAAGATGTTAATAATTATTACTCGAAACTAAATCGAGTTCGTCCATTCTTATTATCAAAAACCGTCACAATGACCATCTTACCTTTGCGAATTGGTCATGCATTTCGATCTCTCATCTCAAAATCGGCGACGGTATTGCTACTGCTATGTCTATGTGCTTCAATTACCTCGAAAAGTTTAACTAGAATCGCATTTCAACTTATTATCATCATTTGATGGACGAGAGAACAGTATTTTACAGTGCCAGTACAATTGTACTCTTTTAAATTACGAATTTATTTTAAACTAGCTGGCCCGGCAAACGTTGTTTTGCCACATAAATTATTTCTAGGAAAGATAAATAACCTAGATACCGACTGCAGCCCCCGGGCTGATATGTGAATCTAAACCATCCAGGGTGCCACCAAAACGCATACAAAAAAATCGTTCAAATCGGTCTAGCCGTTTAGGAGTTCCGTGACAAACACACGCACAAGAAGAAATACATATATGTATAAAGATTAGTATTTTCGTTGATAATTTCGTTTAATAATTAGCTATTTCATCTCGATCTCAAGCTATTCTTGAATAACAAACTGTTAATTCATTTTTTTACATTCACAATTTTTTTGTCTACAACAAAATTAATTATATTAGCTCTAATTTAAATACTAATGGATGATTAGTCCAAATTCGGGTCGGGTAGAAAAAAATAGTCCAACGGGAGAGAGTCCCATTCAATCCCAATCAAATCTCATTATTTACAGGAAAAATACGTGGACTGTCAAGATATAAATTACTCGGACGAGGAAGAAACTCGACGTGAGGCTCAATCTGAGAAAATACCAACGAACCTTGTTATGCACTCGTATTATAATGATACGATTGCCAACAACGTAACTGATGACGGTGCAGGGGCGAGAAGATACGCTCCAATGGCCGACGGGGGATTCTGTGAGGTAAAACAAAAATCAAGAAATACCAAAAGACCCTGGCCAGGTTGAGACACTCCTACACTTTTGAAATTTCTATCCGTAGTATAAGTATATAGTATAAGTACCTTGCTGGACGGTAATGTGAGGGGGAAGATCCTAAAAATACTTGAACGTGTGAAAGAGTTTGTGCGTAAGAAGGATAAGTGCAAAGATGACTTAAGATAGGCTTGAATGGAAAAAAGGACGAGCTGCGTCAACCCCACTTGGGGCAAGAAAAAGAAGAATATTAATACCTCATTTGATTTTCCCACCAATGTAGGTGTCAAAATGTAGTGGATCTCTCTCGTTTTCTCTACGGGTTAATCACAGTGTAGGGACTTCGATTACATTCCGAAAATAGGGCACAGCATTCCCGAACTGCTGCCCAGTGACCGTTTCACATCAGCGCAGCGGCCCGAAAATTCGTCCCCTTTTTTATGCAAGTGAAAAACATGCTACTTGAAAACCATTTTACCTTTCAATGTTTTAATCGATATTTCTAGAACGATCATGGAGGTCCTTTGGTCTACGGCACGGGCGTGAACTCCATCGTTATTGGTATAATATCTGCATGTCTGGTCAAAGAGAGAACTAATAAATGCTACGGACCATTCCTGTACACCAGCATCTTTAAGAATCGTCAGTTTATTTCTTGTGCCATTTACAAGGATGTCGAGTAAGTAGGCCTAGGGAACTTTAATCAGTCTAACGATTTATGTGCGGAAAAAACCTTACCGTTGGTCAAAACTGCATCACTCAACGGCATGCTTATACCTGAAGCAATAAAGGTCGCCCATTCGTTATGATAATTGCCTCATCGTTGCCTCCGCTGACTACCCCCCGACTCCGACTCACGCAGGAGCCAGTTACCGCCAACGCCCTACACATATCCTTACCGATTCTTGCAGTCCACTAACGCTATTATTAGACGCCTGCAACTCTAGCACTAGCAGACTTAGGGACCTTAGTACCCGTACTCGTCGAACTTGGCAAAGAATTTGACGTGCAACCTAACCCATACATCAGCTCGCTAAATTTGCAGCCTTCGAAGACGCTCGGGCAGCTGTTAACAAATCCCACCCCTCCTGTTAGAGCCCACGCTCGCCCATCTGTCCTGGTGAAACTGGAAAGACCTTCGGACCAACAGTAACCCGTTCTTCCTAAAAAAGAAAGAGATCACCGATGATAGAGATGAGTGAGGCAGAATTATGTGAGGCTGACTTAAAAAAAACATTCCAAACCGGACACGACCTTCAGAAACGAAAATACCGATTCTGATATAGAAACAGAATTTATGTGCCTTAAGATGATTATAGAAAATATTTAAACAGGAGGAGAAGCTAAATAAGAGGTCGTCATTATTTTTATTTCAGACCGAAATGTAGACGCCAATTCAGATCCGGAATAACTCACGTTGAACAAGAGATTTCGTGGAAGAATCACGCTGACGGGTAATGAATAAAATATATTGAGCATCTTGGATAACATTACTGATATAGCTGGAAACAAGTGAATCTTCCAAAGTACGATAAAACGTCTCATCTGATTTAAATGGGAGATTTTTATTTTTTATGAAACAGTACAGAAAATCATGTTTGTGTTTATGTTTGACTTTTACGTGTATATGAATTATCTAGCGGAAAAAATGGTAATTGTATGAACACGTCCGGCATCGTCAACCTGTGTGCTTAGTGAGAGTTTTTTAACGTTCTCGGTAACGTAAAAGTTAACTCAAATTTGTATGGAGTTGGAACGTTTGCAGCTCGGGGCGCTGCATATTTATCTTTTTAAACATTCACGCATTGCATTAGTATCCGTATGAAGACTTTCGTTTCGATATACTGAGCCTCCATTAATGTGAGAATGTAAGACAATGAAGAAAATGTGGTGTGTGAATTTCGATAACACTGGACTAAATCGTTTGCCTAAAATCAAAAGTTTTTTTCTTCTTTGTAGCCCTGCAAGAAATGAAATTGAACCAGGTAAAGAGATACTACCCCGAGATCACGATTCACCGGTCAATGCTTCCGAAGACAAAGCCTTCGTAAGCAGCGGGTTCATACTCCGAGCTTTCAATAGCACTACAAAACTGAATGAAACTGTTGCTTAATTTAAAACAATAATAAAATTTATAAAAATAAAATATTTTATTTCTATTATTATCAATTAAGATTTATTTAAGATTTGAAATTTATTTTTTGTGAAAAGTTTCGATGTCAGTGATGCTATGAAATGAGCTGCCGTATCAAATTTTTGTAATAATTTTTATCACAAATATCTATCGTAAACTTGGGCACAATTTAAAGTCTTCCTAAATTTGGAAATGGGCTGAAGGCAATTGTTCTTTAGCCCACTGAGTTTTTCGCCGGATCTTCTCCCACTGTTCGCAATTCTGATCCGGCAATAGATACTGCGAAGTACTGCTCTTGCTAGGGCTAATGTTAGCAAATTCTCACAGGTTGAGCCCGTGGGCTTACCTACCCATTCGGGCGTAGCTAGGATAGCCCCAAGGCTACCAGCGAATAGGTAGGAAAAACAATGTTTTTATTATATATATTTTTTGCAAAATGATACATAGAAATAAATCATCATGATGTCAGTTCATTCGATATCTAACGTCTGTGCATACGATGTATACATAAAAAAACGGTCCGCGTGCAACTTGATGCACATGTATGAAGTGGAACTTCTTTTTCGATGTGTAGTATTGTGGTTTTCTTCATTTTTCATCCTTAAATTAGATTGCTCTTGTAAAAGGGAATGCTGTGTATAAGAGATGCGACATATTCAACATTTATAGTATATATATTATATTGTAAATTATAGATAAAAAAATAAACATATATAATTTTTAAATACTTCATTAAAATATTGGACGCTACTCGTTGCTAACGCTCGCGTTGGCCTGTAACAGGTATACTACGCGCATGCGTTCGAGTACCACGCATTCGCTCTCGCTCTATCTCTTTCTATTCCATGGTAGCGTTAAACGTTTAACGCAACCTTGTTGGAAGTCGCATTAGAAGTTTCACTTCAATAACTGATGTATACTAGCCCAGCGCTCGTGAACTCTTATCCTCAACGTATATAGATATTACATGTTTTAAATCACTTATTCGTTTACATGAGAGACTTATCATAAAAATAATTAAAATAGAAATCAAAATTAAAATTAAATTGTTAAGTGACTTCATCCGGGAGATTTGTTATTGAAAACTAAATGAATCATAACGATTCGTGTGATTGAGCAGAAAATTATTAAATCGATCTGTGATTGGTTTTTTAAAACAATTCGTTTATTCGCTGAGCCGTCTTGGATAGATTTTGTCCAAGATGACACGTATCACACTGTTCCTAGTTCCACTTTCTGTTGTATTAGGTAAGTTTCTATTTTTCCAATTTATTTTATTCTACTTCATGATCACATTTTCAATTAATTAGTAGTGAAACACCCTCACCCTCTGCTGTGAGCCATGGCTAGTTGTGCAAAAACATCGATTTCATTATTTTATTTTATTTTAGTGCCCTTGTAGGCAGACGAGCATACCCACCTGGTGGTGAGTGGTTACCGTCGCCCATGGACTTCAGCAATGCCAGGGGCAGAGCCAAGCCGCTGCCTACCGCTAATTATGTTTTTTTTAATTCTTTAGCTATTCGTGCGTCATTTACGTGGGTGGTGCTATGACGTAGTTAATTCCAGAAGTGCCAACAGCATCAATTTACCATTAACGTATTTCAGAATCATTATAGTTCCGTGTTGTTTGTTTGTTGTCTATGTTCCGGTGAGAAACGAGTATTAATGCAATGCAATTTGTTCGGGAATTACAGAATTAAAATAATATAAATTGGGATAAAAATTATATTTTAACATGTCACGCAGTGCTCAGTTTGCGCGGTAAAAAACAAAACCACAGACTATCTATATTCAGGCGCCTAAACACAATAGGTTTTGATTTTACAATGAACACTAACAGTTTTAAAGAAGATAAGATTTGTTCTAAAGTTGTAAGGTTGATAGGTATAAATTATTGTCGTCTCTGTCGTCTAAATTTTTGGTAAAAGCATGCTCCGCGGGAATGGAGCAGAGATTGTCTCTTTGCACGAAAAATACCATTTATACAATATAAATGAAATAAATAAACATCTGAATTAAGCATATTTTTTAATTTTTTGCTTAGATGTTTAGACGAGCTCACAGCCAACCTGGTGTTAAGTGGTTACTGGAGCCCATAAACATCTACAACGTAAATGCGCCATCCACCTTGAGATATAAGTTCTAAGTTCTCAGTATAGTTACAACGGCTGTCCCACCTTCCAAACCGAAACGCATTACTGCTTCACGGTAGAAATAGGCAGGGTGGTGGTACCTACCCGTGCGGACTCACAAGAGGTCCTACCACCAGTAATTACGCAAATTATAATTTTGCGGTTTTGATTTTTATTACACGATGCTATTCCTTCACCGTGGAAGTCAATCGTGGACATTTGTTAAGTACGTATTTCATTAGAAAAATTGGTACCCGCCTGTGGGAATCGAAAACCAGTGCATCGCTCAACACGAATGCACTGGACGTTTTATCCTTTAGGCCACGACGACTTCATAGAATATGTTCTGTACTACATTGTTTTTTGTACAGTCCTATTTATTTTAATAGGTATGGTTGGATTATTGGGCAAATCTACTTTACGTTGTACATTTAAACATCACAAATAAAAGTGACGGAATAACTTAAAACCTGGTAGTACCTGCCGGGCATCGAGTCTGAAATTTTTTAGTGCTTATACACGAACTCACGGCCAATCTTGTATCGTATTATATTATTATATCCTACTAGCTGACCCGGCAGACTTCGTAGTGCCTCAATCTATAAATAAAATATCTAAGCTTTTGTACGAAATAAACTTAAAACAAACAAAAGGAATCCGTCCGACGGGGGACACATCAAAGGGAATACAAAATTGTTATTTTTATTTAATTCCGAGCATTTTCATATTTATCTACCTTTTGAACCTTCTCTGGATTTCTACAGATAATTCAAGACCAAAATTAGCCAAATCGGTCCAGCCGTTCTCGAGTTTTAGCGAGACTAACGAACAGCGATTAATTTTTATATACTTAAATACTAAGTATATAGGTTATATAGTAATATATTGTATAGATCGCATGTCTCGAGCGGTATTTACGTTCGAATAACATCGTGTAATAAAAATCAAACCCGCAAATTATAATTTGCGTAATTACTGGTGGTAGGACCTCTTGTGAGCCCGCGCGGGTAGGTACCACCACCCTGCCTATTTCTGCCGTGAAGCAATAATGCGTTTCGGTTTGTAGGGTGGGGCAGCCGTTTTAACTATACTTGAGACCTTCGAACTTATATCTCAAGGTGGGTGGTGCTTTTACGTTGTAGATGTCTATGGGCTCCAGTAACCACTTAACATCAGGTGGGCTGTGAGCTCGTCCATCCATCTAAGCAATAAAAAAAAAAAAAACTTTCCAAAAGGGCCTCAAATTCTTGTGTGCGCAAGGGCCCCAGCCTAATTTAAGACGTCCCTGCCTAAAACCCCTAGTTAATTCCACAGGGATAGCACATACGTTACCATCTCAAACAGAACATGCTACGACTGAACTTTCAAAGGCGTCAAACCAGACCACTGCTCGTAACGGCACCAGCAAAGCAAACGAAGACGAAGGCTGGGAGTTCGAAAATACCACCGTTGTAGACACAAGGAGAATTTTGTACAGCAAAGACGTACAAGTAGGAAACAGACCTTATATGGTAAGACAGTGTTTTCCTTTTCTAACGATAAACACATATTGGACCAATTCATCAACGTAGACTCAAAACCGATGAGGATATAGACTTGAAATCTTAAAACATAATTTTTGCTTTAGTTACTCAATATTTGATTTGACTGACTTGGTGGTGCAGTATTTAGCGCCTGACTCATTTCGGATCCTGCCAATCCAGTATCGGTGCTTTTAGTTACCTCAAGCACCAGTTCCTCAGTACCTCAAACACCGTTCTCGTCGTTCCCATCGCTTCCGACAAAAGGTTCGGCAAGTAAATTAACCCATAGACACAGCTCACTCAGTTTCTTGTCGGATCTTCTCCGTGGTTCGCGTTTCCAATCCGGTGATTGATTCTGCGAAGAACTGCTCTTGTTAAGGCCAGTGTTAGCAACGTCACTAGATTAGAGCTCCGTGAGCTCACCTACTCGCCCGGTTACGTTGGCATAGCACCTTAAGTTACCAACTTAGGTAGGAAAAAAAATGCGCCAAGGGTTCGATTCTCACATCCGGCAAACATGCATGTGATGAACAGATTTGTTTGCTCTTTGTCTGGATGTTTATTATCTGTATAAATGTATAGAAGTATCTATGTCGGTCTCTGGTACCCATAACACAGGGAATCCTGAATTGGGACCGGACGTGCGTGATTTGTTATTTTTATTATTAGTTATTATTATACTCCTATAGGTCTATCTCCAACTGACTAAAGAATCAGCGAAAGCCCACAAGTACCGTGGCTGGTTATGCGGGGGTGTCATCGTGGATCAGTACTATGTCCTCACATCGGCAGCTTGTGTCGAAGATGCCGATCGGTTTTACATCGTCTCCGGCACCACTAAATATGTGGATAGCTTCGATTATAAAAAGAACGACTGTGTGTGCAAAAATCGTAGAAGAGTTGTTTGGAAATGTATACCTAAGAGTAAGTTACGAAACATTATACATGAACACGAAATTTTGGTCATAAGCTCCCAGAAATCATGTGCATATCTGTTAAGATAACTCATGTTAATTCCTAAATTTACTGTGGAATACCGGTAGTAGATTCTGCGAAGCACTGCTCTTGCTAGGGCCAGTGTTAGCAACGCCCCGGTTTGAGCCCCGTGAACTCACCTACATGTTAGGGCGAAGCTGAAATAGCCTCTGAAGGCTATTAGCGTAGGTAGGGAAAAAAACTGTGGAATATCGGCAACGGGTTTTACTTCTTAAATAAAATGTCGCGTGTCTTGATCCAGATTACAAATTCGACTTCCAAGACAGCATCAAGTGGTCTTCGAACGACATAGCCATTGTGAAAGTAGACAAACCCTTCAAATTTGGGGTCATGGAGAAAGGATGTGAATTCGCAACGGACCTTATTTGCTACAACAACATCAGTAGGGAACTCGAGAAAGCCGGTACCAAAGGTTGGATTGCGGGATGGGGAAGTATGAATACGTTCAGGGAGGTTAGTTCCATATTTAATACTGTAAGTGTGTGTGTGTGTATTTTTTTTATTGCCCTTGTAGGCAGACGAGCATATAACCCACTTGATGAGTGGCTACCGTCGACGTTAGCAACGGTAGGGGCAGAGCCAAGCCGCTGCTTGCCTACCGTTAACTGTGTGTGCTAAAGCTTCAACATATATTAGTTTCTGAATAGCAATCTCACATTTGCCTTTAATGGACGAGCTCACGGCCGAACTGGTTTTAGGTAGGTAGTTACCAGATCTCAGACAACAAAGTAAATGCTGCTCTACCCATCTTAAGATATAAATTCTAGTTTCAGTTTTTTATAGTCCAACGGCTACCCCCCCCCCCCCCTCCAAACCGAAACGCATTACTGCTTCACTGCAGAAATATGCATACTGGTAATACCTACCCGCGCGCGTTCCCAAAAAGCCATAGCATCATTAATTACGCCTATTAGAGTTTTTTCTCCTTCGATTTTTATTACACGATCCTTCAGTGTACAACTCATTCGTGAACATTTGTTAAGTACGTATTTCATTAGAAAAATTGGCAGTAGTGGGTAAATTAGCACAGTCATATTATTGTCGCATATGCAATTGGTCCAGGAATCGATACGAATGTATCGGGCGCGTTATCTTTTAGGACATGACGTCTTCAAACTGCTAGACAGATATGCCTGTATCAATCAAAGTAACATTTGTAGTTGGCAACGTTATAACTTGAAATGTATCGCTAAAATTTTATTATTTAATTTACTAAATGCCTGCTCTGTATATTTCACCGTATTTCAGGGAGTATACCGGCGTCAAGATGTGCATATACCGGAGAACTCCAAGTGTCTACAAGAAGCTAAAGTTTGCATAATGGACAATGAATCTTGCGCCAAGAAATGGGCTCAGAAATTCCGAAACATTATCACGCAATATATGATCTGCACCAAAGATGTTATGAAGAGACTCAGCGAGATCTGTGATGTGAGTTGAATGAAAAAACGTTAGCACTCAAAATGATTCCAATTATTCCAAAATGACCCAGTACCACATATGACGTAGTATGTACGTTCTTGGGTATTAATTACAAAGGGAAGGTATTTTTTACTTTTTATTGCTTAGATGGGTGAACGAGCTTACAGCCAACCTGGTGTTAATTGCTACTAGAGCCCATATACATCTACAACGCAAATGCGCCACCCACCTTGAGATATAAGTTCTAAGGTCTCAGTATAGTTACAACGGCTGCCCCACCCTTCAAACCGAAACTTATTACTGCTTCACGGTAGAAATAGACAGGGCTGTGGTACCTACCCGAGTGGGCTCGCAAGAGGTCCCACCACCAGTAATAAGGTCTTTCATTAAGTGGGCGAAATTGTTCGTTAGGCCAAGAACTTGCATATGCAAGTATGCATTATGCAAATGCTTGCATATATATGCAAGCTTATCTTGAAAATGTCGCTAATGGAATTCAGGCAATTGTCAAATATTTTGGGTTTTGTCATAGCTGTACCACATATGTACATAGTTACGGCAATAGCAACGTCAATTATTCAAATGGAATTTGATTTATAGAAAAAATACGCCAACTGTACGGACGTAGATACAAGACGAGCGGAGGCTGATGATTGGAATGATGCTGCAGCAGATACATTGAACGTAGATCTGGGCAGGCACCTGAAGGATCCTGATGATTATACGGCGAGGCGTTCTTCGCTTCAGGGTGGCTTTTGCGAGGTTATCTATATATTAATACGTGAAGCAAAAACTTTGTATCCCTTTTTACGAAAATTACGCGGACGGAGGAGTATGAAATTTTCCATACTTATAGAGAATATAGAGAAGAAGTGCACAATGCTAATTTTTTTTTAAATACTGCATAAAAGATACATTAAATCAATAAAGAAAACATTACACACACTGCATACTATGTATTTGACGCACACACGCATGCATACTATTTATTGTCAAACTTTTGTTCTTGACGTCTGTTGTCATTGAGGTTAAATATTGTTTGTCTTTGTTAATATTTTTTATAGTGTAGTCTTGGCGAATTTATGATTATAGAAGTATAAATACAATTATAAAATAGTGTACAAACTTACAATTCCAATTAATTATAGTCGAATTTCGACTATTGCGGGACCTCTAGTCTGAATTATTTTGGGTGTTTATTAAGTGCTTTTTATAATTATTATAATTATTTATGCAGAATGACCACGGTGGGCCGCTGATTGTGAAATACCAAGGCAAGGAACGAGTTATCGGCGTCATATCGGCGTGCAAGATCGATCCTAAGTCCCACAGTTGTCACGGGCCCTTCCTATACACGTCAGTTTTCAAGAATCGTCAATTCCTCTCGTGTGCGATAAACAAGGACGTTGAGTGAGTTTTCTACTTTATAACTTTGAACCCTTTGGGTGATTTATACAGTAAAAGGTCTTACTGTAAAAGGCAAAGGAAGGGTATAAGTTCCGTAAATATGCCGCGAATACAGAAACCGTGTATATGGAATGCTAATTTACATATATAGGATTATAAGGAATACGATCTTAGGTGGCAAAATAAAAAAAAGCAAGTACATACAGGTTATGTGTAACAAAACGAATTTAATTGAAGTTTTTGACCATATTGATTAACGATTAGATACCTGCATTTGGATATTGGAATCCTTTTTATCTTATTTATTCATTTATTAGGCACACGATACACATCACAAGCTAAAAAGATACATAAAAAGTAAAAAGAAACAAAATCTGGCTTGCAACATAAGCTACGTGCACACGACTAAGCAATTTAAAAAGTTTGCGTTTGTTTAAGTTATCGCGTGTGTAAGTGGTCCCTTCTCCCACTTTGCCGACCCCCTTGGGAATCCTTGTTATAGAGGGATGTTCATCAAAAATGGTAACATGGTTTTTGCACATACGCTCTTATCTCGAAACGTTTCAAAAACTGTACACTTCAATACATTTTTATATATGCGTAATTTTAATTTTAGTATTAGCTAAATTAATGTTTTCGAATTTCAAGAAACAACTGCCGGCGTGTTTTCCGTTCGGGTATCACTCACGAAGAGTGGACGGTCAGTTGGGACGGTGTCAAGTAAGTTACATCCATATATTATTTAACTGTAGTAATAGTTGCAAACAAAATTTTAGTAAGAACGTATAACTTATTTTAATGGCGCTGGTCGTCAGATAATTGGACGCCGGTCGAACCCGTCGCTTGAGACGAAGGGCTCGACGAGCGAATTAACCCACAGACACAGCCCACTGAGTTTCTAGCCGGATCTTCTCAGTGGGTCGCGTTTCCGATCCGGTGGTAGATTCGAAGCACGGCTCTTGCTAGGGCTCGTGTTAGCAACGTCAGGTTTGAGCCCCGTGAGCTCACCTACTAGTTCGGTGAATCTAGAATAACCCTATAAGAAGTAGGAAAAATAATTGTGAAAATTGGCGAAACGCATAGTCGTTCTGTCAATTGATGGTAGGGCCTCTTGTATGCAGTAGGTACGGCCACCCTGACTATTTTTGGCTCAAAGCAACAATGCGTTCCGATTTGATGGCTTGGGACATAGTATGATTGAGACTTAAACCTCATGTCTCAAGACGGGTGGCGGCATTCAGTGATGTACATATATAGGCACTGAGTCACTTAGCGGAAAAAAATTGTTCACCTCAGTTTCAAGATGTGTGACGGAATTTGTATTGTTGTAAAAAAAGCTTTGACAAATGCGAGCACAAGATTTTTCCCCGATTATTCATTTAATTGATTATCCTTTTTAATTTTTTTTATTTGACATTTTGAAAGAAAAATTAATGTTTGAAAAACAATATATATTGCATGAAAATAATACATAGTCTTGTGAAGCTGATCATGAAAAACGAGAATTTCTTAAGAAACAGGAGTGAAAGCGGCCCTTTAAATATATATTTTTGCCTATTTTTGTATAGATTTATTTTCTATTTTCAGTGACGATGAAGATAAATTGAGGTATGTAATTTTTTAATTATTTAATTTATTGTTTGAAGAATATAAGAATCTTTAACATCATAATTAAATACACCTACCTGATTTTAATGGAAATAAATTTAACGGAATAACGGTAATTTTCTCATCTCATTTTCTCATCTTATTTTTATTGTTCATTTCGGTCTTGCCTCACATGATTTGATTATTTTTGAATTAAAAAATGCTTTAAGATACGTAACGTTCGTAACGAATCCATTATAAAAATCTAGCGTTTTTTTGAGACGAACTGTAGACATAATTTAAAGGCATATTTACCAACGCGTTTGATCTAATGCCTAAGTAATTAAATTTTAATTATTCATTTTTTTACCTATACAAATTTTAAACGCTCTTAGACGTAGACAAGTCGAAATCGTCCGTGCGTAACTGGAATAGCCCTTTAGGCTACCAGCAAAACGGTAGGGAAAAAATAGAAAAAAAGTACAAGTCCATAATTCGTTAAATTTCTATATAAACCCATAGATATAATTAAAATACGTATATGCTGATTAATCCGTTACATTCTATCATAAAACTGTACTAAGCACAAAACTAGTACTTTTAAATTACCTCTTCATTTTTTATATCTTCTCCGAAATGGTGGTAGTTTATTCCTTTTTGAAAACTTCTGTCGTAATACTACCTACCGTTTGTATTAAATAAAATATATCGTATAAACTATATCGTATGTATAAAATATATATTTGTAATTGTACTTCCAGTGAGCATAAAGACGATGGTGATAATTCAGACAGAAGGTAATTTTCACATGTACACCAACAGTTGCCGTATTAGATAGCGCTAAGAAAATAACGTAAAAGACTGAAAATTTTGATTGGCCGTCAATTGTATTACAACTAGAGGTCGGAGTAGGTAGATTGATTTAAGGTCGTTGACGTCAAACGTAGAGGATAATATGGATATGCCTCCAAAATACCGGAACTTCATATTTATTGTGATATTTGTTCCGGAATTTAGCATGAATCTGTGTTTAAAGTGAAAAACGTGTTAATAATATTAATCTACGCTACCAGTGCTAGCTAATGGTGAAAGAAATCAGTATTTTATTTTATACAAAAATACCTTGGAATAGTTACATAAGGGGGCAATTCTCGAAAACATTAGGGCCTAACAAATGCCTTTGCGTGTACATCATCCGCGGCGCAACCGCTCTGAGTTTTTTAACGTTCTCGACAGCGTAAAATTTACCTCATATTTGTATGGATTGTATGGAATGGAATCGTTTTAACTCTCAGACACAGCCCACTGAGTTTCTCGCCGGATCTTCTCAGTGGGTCGCGTTTCCGATCCGGTGGTAGATTCTGCGAAGCACGGCTCTTGCTAGGGTTCGTGTTAGCAACGTCATCAAGTTTGAGCCCCGTGAGCTCACCTACAAACGTTAGGGTTACGCTGAAATAGCCTCTCAAGGCTCTCAGCTTAGGTAGGAAAAAAAATAAAAAATAAAAATGGGATCGTTTGCGTACGTTTGCCGCTAGGGGCGCTGTTCCAACTGCATACAAAAATGGGTTAACTTTTACGCTATCGAGAACGTTAAGACACTCGCACTAAGCACACAGAATGCTACTCTAGCTAAGTTACAATAAGATCATTTTTGTTACAGCGACATTGACGAACTGAGGAGTGGAAAGATTAAATCGCAAAAACAAAACAAAAACACAGATGCTGCAAACGATAGTGACGAAGAACCGGCTGACAAAAAAGCTAGAGCTGGCAAAACGAAGGAAGATGCCTCCGTGAAGCCGAAGAAAAATAAGACAAAATCAAGTAAACGCAATAAGAAAACTAAGAAATCTAAAGATAAATCAGACGGAAAAGGTAAAAAGGAAGTAATGTATGAATCGACTAAAGAAGATAACGTTAATAATCCCGATGACGAATAGATTTCAATAAAGTTTTAAAAACATTAGTTTCTGGTATCACTAATTTTTTTACCTACCTATGTTGATGATAGCCTTGAGAGGCTATATCAGCTTCTACTTGATGTGTAGGTGAGCTCACGGGGCTCAAACCGGGTGTGTTACTAACACTGGCCCTAGTAAGAGCAGTGCTTCGCAGAATCTACCACCGGATCAGAAACGCGACCCACTGAGAAGATCCGGCGAGAAACTCAGTGGGCTATCACTATCCGTACGAGGACAAACTATGAAAAAAAATACTTAACAGATTAATCATTCCATTTCAACTGACAGCCCTAAATGTAAAGAGCATAAGAACTCCTTGTTGGCTTTGCAGTCGCCCGTTGGGTTTTCATAGATATTCATGGTTGCCACATATAATCCCACGTTGTAGCTATTCAGTGGTATCTCATCAGCATCTAAGACGAAATCGTGAATCGGATAGTCACCCTGAAAATGATTTCATATCATCACTGTTCACTTAGCGATCAGGCATTACCTTTTAAATTGTAGGGCAGCGGGTAATACAACAGAGATCAGACTTCAACTTAATGTTTTAAAGAGGATGGCGATATTCTTGTACCTATATAGGTAAATACAGGCTCCAGTAGCCTTTTATCTAAGGTGGGCCTTCAAATCGTTTACCCATGAATGCAATTAAAAAAGATAATAATATATTCAACTATCCATCGGTGGTTTTATTTAATACCTATTAATGTTCATTAAATGGAAATTTACAAGTAGAGGTTCTCGGGCAAAAGGTCTTAAGACAATTTGAATTTGCGTAACGCACCCATATCGTACTCTGTAGCTAAGTGTATTGGGACGTAGATTAGCCAACATCGAACAGGGATTCTCTCAATAAAGTACATATCGACGCTTGAATGGCAAACATGACTAAGCGACAATGCGTGAACTTTACAGTAGACTAATTTAAAGTTGAAATACCTGACAAAAATTCTATTTTAACGAATCTAGCTGTAGGAATGAAATTATTTTAATAGACCTAGAAATATATTTTTTTTGCGCATCGAATACGGTTATTGCCTATCATTTATGTAGGTACAAAGCAGTTATTGTCGCTTAGTCACGTTTGCCTTTCAAGCGTCGATTATGAATATACCTTCAAGTCACGTTACTAAAGAAACAGAATGTAAAAAATACTTACAGCTCCGAGTGGACAGCGGTCAGCGAAGTCATCATCATCATCATCATCATCATCAGCCTTTATCTGCCCACTGCTGGACATAGGCCTTCTCCAATGCCTTCCACATAATGCGGTCCTCCGCCTTTCGCATCCAACGACTTCCCGCCGTGCGCACTAAGTCGTCAGTCCACCTGGTTGGAGGACGCCCCACGCTCCTTGTACCCATCCGTGGCCTCCATTCGAGGACTTTCCTCCCCCACCTGGCGTCGCTGGAAAGTCGATGTGTTTGAAATATTTGTAATAGTTACTGTCCCGATCAACAAGCTCCTTACACAGATCGCAGATATCGTGAGCAAAAATCATTTCGCGTTTCCCCGACGCTTCTTTCTCCAGTTTAATCTCTAGCTGTAAACAGTAAAATGATATGAAAGTATTTCATTTTGAATGTTCTAAAAAATCGATAAACGGAAAAGGACATTATCGATAGTTTTTTAATTTAGTTGAATCTGTCGACTGTTTTTTAAATGAGATAAATAATTGTGATAATGTTGCTCTCACCTATAAAAGGTCGTTTTTCAGAGTTTCAGTTGAATAGAATAGTGTGCTTAGTGCGAGTTTTTTAACGTTCTCGATAGCGTAAAAGTTAGTTCATATTTGTATGGAATGGGATCGTTTGCCTACGTTTGCCGTTAGGGGCGCTGTTCCAACTGCATACAAAATTGGGTTAACTTTTACGCTATCGAGAACGTTAAAAAACTCGCACTAAGCACACTGAAGTGAACAACTAAACGCTTATTCGTTTAAATAAGCGAAATCTGATTGCAAAACCTAAAGCGCAATCTAAAAGGTAGGTAACTAGCGGATACAAAATACAAGAAACCTGCTGTTACATTACGCGCCACCAAAAAAGTAATAGTTGTATGAAACTTGACTTTGGATAGTGATTTTTAGTGTGACAGGAATCGCCAAACAAGCAGTGTCTGTTTTCGTTTACATTTCAAGTATACTTTGCGCAAAGACTCGTCTAGCCGTACGGATCATGGAATCATAAGTGCTAAAGTTTAATACGGGTGGTAGGACCTCTTGTCAGTCCGAACCGGTAGGTACCACCACCCCGCCTATTTCTGCCGTGAAGCAGGAATGCGTTTCGGTTTGAAGGGCGGGGCGGCCGTTGTAACTATACTAAGACCTTAGAACTTATATCTTAAGGTGGGTGGCGCATTTACATTGTATATGTCTACGGGCTCCGGTAACCACTTAACACCAGGTGGGCTGTGAGCTTGTCTACCCATATACACAATAATTGATAAAATATTAATAATTGATTGATAAAAATTGCGTGGCTAAGCTACGCTGCTCCAGTGCGCTACTGCTATTAGTTTCTAACCTACGGGCGCAGCTAATAAGTGGTGTGGCGAGCTTAACTCGCGCCTGGGAAACAATACCTTTGAAGCGCCCCTATTTAGACTATTAGTGTCCTTTTTTTACTTTTTATTTACAAATTAACATGTATTATATTGAACTGGCACTAAATTTTAATCATATTTTCCAGATATCAATTATAATTAGAATAAAAAAAAACACGTGTGGCACTCGGGGACTGCCGCGCTAAAGCTATTGCATAGCATTTTTTATCAACTTATGCAATTATAACTAGATAATAATAATTTAATATTAAAACTATAATAAAATAAGACCACGCTATATTTATAAACATGAACAAAAGCAAAACATTAGCTGTCCCCTTCACACTAGATCGCGCGAGAGAGAGACGGGCAGACTTTTCATAATGCGCATGCAGTGCGACGTCACGCCGCGCGCTTATTCACAAACACTACACAAGCGCAACGTGTGAATGTGTTGAACGCGAGCTACACGGTAGGTGGAGTGGGGTGTTCGATTTTATTTTCGTTACGGAATTTCTTGATTCGGTCGCCGCGCTCGACGCCCGCGATAAAAGCTATGCAATAGCTTAATAGTCCAGCATTGCTTAGCGGACTATTTGGGGCCCCTTTGTGAGTAGCATTGCATAGCACGCCGGTTTTCATTATTTTTATTTTATCTTACCATTGTATTCTCTTTGAAGCCCTAAGAAGCTTGCAAGTACCGTGTAGATAAGCAGTCGTTTCATTTAGCCACTCCATCATAATACCGGATGTGTCCATAAACTCTTTGCTTTTTTCATCGTCAGACACTACCACGTCCGTATTGAAATACAGCATGTATTTCTGTCAAATATTTAGAGAAAGATATTACGTTATAGATGACTATTTGTTACGTATATATACAAGCGTAAATATATATAAGATTATTAGGTAATGTTATTTTATTAAAATAAAACTTCAATGTGTTGCTCTGAAAGAACGAAGAAACGATATTTAGTTTATTTTATAATCTTGTAACTATCCAAATAGAAATTATTTTTTATAAAATTTTACACAATAGCATATTGTTTATCTGTCAAGGCTTTTCGACTTTACAACACATGCGCGGACGTTCCGGCACATGTTGACAGCGCAGGCGTGACATCATTCAAATTATATAATCAAATTAAAGAAAGGAATAACTTTCTTTACATATATTTCAAAATCATGATCCCTGCATCAGACCCAAGTGGTTTGGTTAGATACCTATACTACGCGAATCTTGACGTGAATGACGTAGACTTCAAAAAGATTTAGTCTTCAACATTACGCAATAAAACTGAACTACCGTACAGTATGCAATAGAAAGAATTATATTTAAGAAGTGGAATCTTATGAGCTTTTTTTTATTTATTGCCCTGTAGGCAGACGAGCATACGGCCCACCTGATGGTGAGTGGTTACCGTCGCCCATGGACTTCAGCAATGCCAGGGGCAGAGCCAAACTGCTGCCTACCGCTATGATAATTTCAAATGCCTCTAATATCATAAATACTTACAGGAGCCGAACCGCCCTCATTAAATCGGATTAACAAACAAACACAATAACTAACATAAAATTTAGTCAGCATCGTGATTGTGGAGATACAACTAAACTATTTCCTTGTTGTAGTTTTGTTTTTAAAGCAGCAGGTAAATTGCATGATGCATCTGATAATACTGAACGTGTTCGAAAACGCTATACATTTATATCAGAAACAATGCTACACATAATTGTATCTCATGTTATAACTAAACGACACAGGAACGAAGCCAAAGTACTTAATTTAGCTTATGGGTTTGGAAACACAGCACTTTTTCTTGCCTATCTTTTTTGGTAGTAACCTCGAGGGGAAGATTCACAGAACGTTTAGGTGAGCTCATGGGGCTCTGCCTGAGAAACTTTACTCACATGTACCCTTACAAAATAAGTGCTACTGAATCTACCACAGGATCGGAATCGCGACTCATTGAGATTTGGCGAGATTTTTTTTATGAATGATGCATTACAGATGGCCCAGAGGCCTTTCTAGTTTCACTAGGACAGGTGGGCGAGCACGGGCTCAGCCAGGAGGGGTGGGATTTGCTAACACCTACCCAAGCGCCTCCAAAGGAAACCTAACAACTCAAGAGCACTGCTTCGCGAATGAATCTACGAGCAGATCGGAATCGCGACCCGCTGCGAAAATCCGGCGAAAAACTCAGCCGGCTGATGTATGGGTTAGGTCAGCGAGCTATGTCTGTAGGTAGTTGGTTGCACAGGGAGTGGATCGGAAGGATTCCAAATGACGCATTTAGGGCGACGACGACTGTTTATAGTTTGTACAGTAATATTAACCTATAATTAGTATTAAAAAAGTCGTAGTCTCCCTGTCTGTTTCTCCACTTACTTCTCCTAAACGACGCGATCAATTTTGATGTTTTCACTAATCGAATTAGCGATAGACACGAATAAGGTTAGTTAGTGTATTTAATTTGTATGTATTTTTGGCACAGTCGCTGAATTATGATCGTTGTCAAAACAAAATTTTCTTACTTCTACTTTAACAAAACTGGAAAACAAATTACTTACCGATTTGGTATTATTTTAGTGTTGTTGTCTGAGAAGTGAAGAAGTCATGGCCTAAAGTGTAATGCGTCCGGTTTACTTATATCAAACGATGCGACATCTAAGTACATAATAATAAATACGCGGGAGAGTGTTCTTGCTCTATGGCATAGATTCTATGCAAAGCGTCAGTTCATTTTTTCATCTTCCCTAGTTGACATGACATACGCCATCTTTGTGTCAAAAAATGTTAGACGTCAAGTATCCTAAACTACAAAATGTTGAAACGCAAAATAAAACATCAATCCACTAGAAAAATAGAATTTAATTTTACTCTCAACCTCTAAGAAATTTACAATCACAACGCTAAGTTTTAGGAAAAATAAACCAATTTCCCACACACAATCCGTTTTCGCGAGGAACAACAAAAAAATAAATAAAGAAAAATAAATACTTTAATAAATTTATTAAAAAAATACAAAAACGAAAAAAAAAAGTCGCTCATCCGTGCCTGCTGTACCAACGTTACAATAAAATAGCGTGTTAACAAATTATATACATTAAAAAAAAAACAGTGCTTAAAATCGCAAATAATATTTATTTCGACGCTACGTGTGCGTGTACAATCGTGCTCACAAAGCAAAATCAAAAGCCAACATGCTTAGCAATTAAAACAAACTTAAATGTTTAAATGTTCACTCCAATAATAATTAAAAAAAAACTACACTAAAAAGAGACCAATTAAAGATCAGTTTCCAACAAACCGTTCCATACCATAGAACAGGGAAAATAAGTTTTTTTTTTTTAAACACATCATTATTACGTTATCATAATATATTACTTTTCCGAGTCTTAAATTGAAAAATAACCTAATACTGAAGAAGTAAACTTTCGAAATATTACAACAGCGTAAAAATATTTATACCAACTCGCTCAATACGATATGTTCTGATAATTTAATTACAAAACAAAGAGATAAACACGATAACCTCAAAAAAAATCCAAGGCAAAATCGACATATATTTTTTTTTTAATCTTTAAATTTCTAAATATTTCTTCTCGCTAGTTTTAAGCTAAAATTGAGATTCTAACATGAAATTTATTTATTTTCATTTTACGACAAGTTAGTTACATTAATATTGTAAATAAGCCATCTACGGGCATTTAAGACACCCAAGTAAGTATCCATCATACATTTACTAATAGAAAAGTTATAATTAAAATACACATACATCTTTTTCATCAGTTAAAAAATATATATTTTTTTTTTTTTTCGTTGGACGAAATTCTTAAGGAACAGTAATTATAATAATACAATTATTATGAAGTGAAACGTAAAATAATAAACTCATTTCTCATCCAAGTTGGCACAAATATACAGAAAAAAAACTCAAACATGGCCCCAAACGATTATTTATATTCAAAAAATAAATAACTCTATCTCTAATATTAAAAAAAAAACAAACAAACAAAATACCTCTTTCCAACGAATACCAAATTTGGGGCTCTGTTTTTTTATTTATTTATATGTTTTTCAAGCACCTTATACATATATATGAATCATTAACTTCAAACACTAAAAAATATAGCATCTTTTCAAATGGAAGAGTATTCGAAGGCTTAAAACTATTAAAAGTAAATACTGTAAAAAACCTTTTAAATCCTTGACGTCTTTTAATTGATTTAAGCCCCGAAATAATCGAGAGAGAAACAATAAAATCTTTACGTGCTAACATTAGACTAGACAACAACTAAACGTTCATATAAAGATCTTTCGTTAAGTTACGTAAATACATGTTCACACTTCTATGATAAAAAGAAGACACCGGCCCTTTATTGAAAAAAAAAAACACATCTTATTTATCAAATACTAATTTCAAGCACAGTTTTTTTAACCAAGTCTGAGATCGTCTTCTCGCATTAAAACTGTATAATCTCAAAACTTACTAATTTTACAGGAGAGTGTTTTAAAGGTTTTTATTAACATGTAATATTTTTTATATTATTCATCTTGGCAACTTTATTTTTTTTATTTTTTTGCCAGTTAACTGTCTTTTAAAGTAAGATAAAATTATGTATTATTTAGTTAATAGTAGTCAAAACAAAGGTAAACTAAAAAAATAAAATAAAATAAAAACTACACTCTTTTGACAGTATTTATGAGAAAAATATTGATGATACCAAATGATTCCACATATTAACTCAATTTCGAATATTTTTGGAAATTGTACACTTTTAATGCGAAAAGACGAGATGTTAATAATCAAACGATATTGCCAATTTTGTGGCATTCAAAGTATTCTGTAGCAGCTACATTAAAAAAATTAAAGCGTTTTACTGGTATGTTATGTATATGGGCCGGCCCCACAGGAAAATGAACCTTAAATTCTAATCGATAAGTGTCGGAATGCGACAGGAGACCCGTCCGTCCGCGTGCAACCAAGCGAGCAACGTTATGCGTGTTTGTTAATGAAATTCGTTAAAATGGTTTTCAACATTTGCTTTGTCTCCGGCTCGATCGAGTCATTGGACCTGAAATCGAATAATTTTCATTGTTATGCTGTGAATATAATAGTGATGTTACTATGCACTTATTTTATGGATTACTTATAGATAATCTGTGTCTGTTTAATATTCTTTACGCTATTGTACCATACATATAAAACATAGATTAATAAGGAAATAAAAAGTTATGTCTCAATATTTTTTAAATTTTTTTTTTTTTATATTTAACTGGGTGGACTAGCTCACAGCCAAGTTCTAAGGTCTCAGTATAGTTACAGCAGCTGCCTTGCTCTTCAAACCGAAACGCGTTACTGCTTCACGGCAGAAATAGGCGGGGTGGTGGTACCTACCCGCGTAGACTCACAAAAGGTCTTACCACTAGTAAAACAAATCGAAACTATTCCAAAAGGTTGATGTGTTGTAAAGCGTTAATTAACGCAGTTTTTTTTCCTACCTAAGCTGATAGCCTTGAGAGGCTATATCAGCGTCGCCTTTACTAGTAGGCGAGTTCACGGGGCTCAAACCTGATGACGTCGCTAACACGAACCCTAGCAAGAGCAGTGTTTCACAGAATCTACCACCGGATCGGAAACGCGACCCACTGAGAAGATCCGACGAGAAACTCAGTGGGCTGTATCTGTGGGTTAATATACTCGTCGAGCCTACGCGACGCACGACGAAGAGCAAGGGACGGGTTCGACGAGAACGATGACCGGTTTAACGCAGTACAGCGGCATCGCTACCTCGAGCCCACCGAGTTTCTCGCCTGATCTTCTCGGTGGGTCGCGTTTTTGATCCCGTGGTAGATTCTGCGAAGCACGGCCCTTGCTACCCTACGTCTGGAGCTAATTAAAGCGTATTAAAAAAAAGCTACCTCGGCGGCGGGTGCAGGTGCGGGGGTGGGTGCGGCGCGCTCGGCGTGCGGCTGGCGGGGCGGCGCGGGCTCCACGGCGAGCAGCCGCGGCTTGTCCTCGGCGTCGCCGTCCCCGGACCCGCCCAGGGACATCTGCGCCAACGCGGACAGCACGCCCTCCATGCTCACGGCGCCGACGCCGCTATCGCCTTCGCCCTGAGTACAATAACGACATTCGACACTTATATAACATCGAAAACTCATCTGTCATGTTTCCATTTGTTTTTATTTCTCAGATGGGTGGACGAGCTCACAGCCCACCTGGTGTTAAGCCTTGAGATATAAGTTCTAAAATCTCAGTATAGCTACAACGGCTGCCCCACCCTTCAAACCGAAACGCATTACTGCTTCACGGCCGAAATAGGCAGGGAAGTGGTACCTACCTGTGCGGACTCACAAGAGGTCCTACCACCAATGATGATAAATGATTTGTTTTATTTTGTCTATTTAGTGTTTCTTCAGGTTTAAATGTGTAATAACGATGGTTTATTAACTGTTTAATATCTGTGAAACTGCACAAATGTGGGAAAACGAAACAAAGCCGCGGACAAAACTTCTCGGGATCCTCCATAAAGTCCACCGAATTTTTTTCAAAAAATGACGACAATTTTATTGAGATTACATTTCATCCCATATCATCTTAATTCATTTAATTTCATCCCAGTTGATTAATGTCTCAAATTAATCATCTTCATTTCATTTTCCCCCAATATTATCATTTGTCATAAGAATAAATATATAAATTAAAATAAGACATGATTTAAAGGCCTTACCAGGCCTAACCAGGTTATAAAAGCCCTTAATAAAAATTAGTAGTTTTTACGGATGTTCCGTTATAACTACTGAACCATGCATCCGATTGACTTGAAACTTGTTATCCATGTAGAAAATAAATGTACTTAATGGATAGGCTAATATTTATATGAGTGTTGGACTCCCTAATAATAATGTTAATTTTAAATGCACAGCGAAGCGGGCGAGTACGGCTAGTATACACATGTTTTCTAAGCACCAAACTATAAACTTACTAATTTTCGATTACCTTTCAAATACAAACATATCGTTTATTCTCTTATTATGCTAATAAAAATAGGAGACATTTACCTAGTAGAAATAGAGTTATAAATATGATTTATTATTGTACCCCTGTTTTTTAACAAATTACAAATTAGACAGACATTCGAATTAAAAGAATGTCAAATTCGTGCATTCATTCCTGTTTACAATAAAAGTTAAAAAACCAACCTACGTAATTAAATCTGGTGAGTAATGCAATAGTAAAATAGTAAGTGAATGCGTAACTATAAATACCTTTTGAGGTCCTGGTTTGAAGAAGTGCAAGTAACAAAATCCACGGAAACCCTGCAAATAACATTTTATTTTTGAGAACCTTCACAGATATTATTGCTTCACAAAAAAACTACAATAATGATAGATTCTGAATATTATTTTATGCAAGACAACAATAACGGACATAAAATTATATTTATTTAAAATAGCTTTGTGGGATTGCAACAGAGCATACTTAATCTTATTGAAACATTATACTATTACTTCAATAAAATTACGATTTTAAATTGTAAAATGTTTATATAAAATTTTATACATTTACTAGTTGGCTCGGCAGACTTCGTAGTACCTCAATCGATAAATAAAAGACCTAAACTTTTGCATAAAATAAACTTAAAAACAAACAAAAGGAATCCGTCCGACAGGGGACACATCATCGGAAAAACAATTTTTTTATTTAATTCCAAGCATTTTCATATTTATCTACCTTTTAAACCTTCTCTGGACTTCCACAAATAATTCAAGACCAAAATTATCCAAATCCGTCCAGCCGTTCTCGAGTTTTAGCGAGACCAACGAACAGCAATTCATTTTTATATATGAGTCGACTATTATCAAAGCCGGCAATCTGACTTTTGGATAATTATTGGTAAATCAGAAAAACGAATTATTGACTTTGTATTCCATTGGCAGTCACAAAACTCTTCTGAACGACATCTTAGATAAATAACAGGTTAAGTGTTAACCTTTATTTAATGCAGGTTTTGAACCGTATTCTTTGAAGGAGACGATTATATTCAAATCAATCTGTATTGACATATCAATAACATTTTTTTGTCCAAATGCACAGATTGCCACCTTTGATAATAGACGACTCATATAGAGAAGATTGAACACATCAGTCAATTACCCAATTGAAATACAAATAAGAGATAAGAAGAAGATAAAAATAAAAGTGAAATATTGTAAACTCACTTTCCACACCATTATCTGAGGTTTGACGCCGCGCTCGGAGAGAGCTTGTTTCAAGTCACGCACTCTAGTGTTTGGGCTTATATTGGAGATCTGAAAGATTAAAATGAATATTAAATAACTCCGTTTTCTTTCACATATTTAGGATTGTCAACAGAATATCGCACATACAGAACTATAAATGTCACTTATGCGATTCTTGTTACAACTGAACTAAGTTTGAGAAAATCCATTTTTTTATTGTTATTAGTGAGATGTTTGCTTTTAATAATAACGTTTAAAGTTGTAATTTAAATACTATCATTTTATTTCTTTGGTCAAACTAACTGCTTCAAAGACACGATAACACTAAAGCTATTTCAGCAGATGACGTTGTTAAGCCACTTATAAAAAAAAAAACGTCATCGTCTAGTATATAATTATATTAAGATATTGAATTTTCAATGCTTCTCCTGAAAAAGTACATAATTTGCATAAGTGATGATATAGCACCGTAAGTGCGGTATATAGAAAAAAATTAAACTGTTTCATTACTGGTTGATCATTAAAACGATTTACATTGCGGTTTGTGATAGCGCGACAAACAGCCGAGAGCACAGCTGATAGTCTAAACCAGTGTTTCCCAGCGTGGGACCGACGCCCCACAAGGGGGAAATCCCACTAAATTCATATAGAAAATCTCTATTAAAATTATTTTGAATTTGAATTGCAGTTTTTATTAAATGTTTTGAATTATTACTGTGTTTTCATAGAAAAATTATAGTGATTTCTTGCTAAAACCTATCATTTATGTTTCTTTAATGAACAAATCAATTTTTTAATGTTAAAAATTATGTATAGGGGGCATAAAAAATTTTAGAAATGTACAGTGGGGCATGACACCAAAAGATTGAGAAACACTGGTCTAAGCCGTAGCGTGACAGCGATAACATTTCTGACAGATAGATTGTAGGCGATGAATATAAAATGACCTTAACGGAGAAGTCGATGACGGGACGTTGTCGTTTCGGGCGTCTAGGTTTAGCGTCGCCCTCGCGCGGCTCCTTCCCGGCCGACTTGGTGCTGTTGCGGCGGTTCCGGTTCGAACGACGGGGCTTCCCGGGCTTGCCATCTTCGCCTTCCGTTGTGTTGCCCTACGAGAAAAACAATTGAATGAAACTCTTAAGATAAGGTGGCCGATAATCTAATTTTATTGGGAGTTTTTTATTTTATTGCTTAGATGGGTGAACGAGCTCGCAACCCACCTGGTGTGAAGAGGTTACTGGAGCCCATAGAAATTTTTTTTTGGGACAGTTTTTCCTTGTTAGGAAAGGCAAGGGGCCCATACAGCCTTGTCTGCTCTACCCATAGACATCTACAACGTAAATGTGCCACCCACCTTTAGATATAAGTTCTAAGGTCTCAGTAGTTACAACGGCTGCCCCACCCTTCAAACCGAAACGCATTACTGTTTCACGGCAGAAATAGGCTGGCCGGTGGTGCCTACCCGTGCGGACTCACGAAAGGCCTACCCGTGCGGACTCACGAAAGGTCCTACTACTAGTAAAAAGTAGTTCGAGCTCATGTCATTCAAGTTGGAGATTACTGGTGGCCTTTCCAGTTTTACCAGGGCAGGTAGGCGAGCAAGGACTCAGCCAGGAGGGGTGGGATTTGCTAACACCTACCCGAGCGCCTCCAAAGGAGACCTAACAACTTAAGAGTAGGCTTGCCCGCTGAGAAGATCCGGTGAGTAACTCAGCAGACTGATGTTTAGGTTAGGTTGCACGTCCAACTCTTTGCAGAGTTCAACGATGACGGTTAAGGTCAAACATTAAGTATACCTCCCCCTCGCTGTGACTCTTCCGTTCCCGCGTACGTCGCCGCACCCTCCTCGGACGCTGCACGGTGCGTTCCTCTACGTCCGTATCCACCTCCTTCAGGGTGCAAGCGCGACCGGCTCTGGTACAAACTCATTCATAAATATCACAAAGATAACAGTAATTTTTAAGTTTAGATATTATTATTTTTCCTTTTTTTCTAAACAGTACATCAAATAATAGATAATTATAATCATATTTTTTCTCCTACCTACGCCGAAAGTTCGGTTTTCGTCCCGCTGTACAGGGAAGAACGTTTGCGGGAAGTCTACGTCTACTCAAGCACCTAAAATTCTCCAAACTTGCTCATCAACAAATCACACACTTACTGCATAGACTGATATAAGTTTCAATATAATCAAATATAGATTATATGGCTATAGATAGTAATATGACAAAGCAAAACTGTTCGTCACACAAATGCGTTTTCAACGTGGTAATCTGACCCACAACTCTCAGTCTAACAGTCAGGTTCACTTTTTTTTTTACCTAATCTGATAGCCTTGAGAGGATACATCAGCGTCGCCTTAACTAGTAGGTGAGCTCACGGGGCTCAAGCCTGATGACGATGCTAACACGAACCCTAGCAAGAGCCGTGCTTCGCAGAATCTACCACCATGCGACCCACTGAGAAGATCCGGCGAGAAACTCAGTGGGCTGTGTCTGTGGGTTAATTTACTCGACGAGAACGGTGACCGGTACTTGAGGTACCTAAAAGCACATTTTAGTGGATCGGGAGGATCCGAAATGACGTTGAGGTTAACTAACTACTGCTCAACGCAATCATCCAAAATATTAAGCAATTTGTACTAATTTATAATGATTCTAAATTCCTTTCCAAAACACTGTTGTTACTGGTGTCACTGTTGTCTAAAGCCCTAAGCCATTATTTAAGCAATTAAAAACGTTTCCATCGATCATTTGTTCCCTTTATACTCGGTTTTAGAAAGAAGAAAAATAAAAAAGTGTGTGTGTCCGCTCCGACGCACGACTGGAGTTTACTGGATATAAATATAAATTTGTGTCAGTTGAATACAGTAAAATATGGAAGTTACGTATTCTAGTGAGAATGATCCGGGAGTTGCGGAACACGTGGATGCGGTAATTAAGTAAGTCTATATAATTCACTTTTACAATTAATATATAAGTTGTCCATTCACTGATAGAAGGAATTGTTTATATTTAATAAGCTTTATTAATAAATGATTTGTAGCGGGTTATATTCGGGTATCAACCCACTAACAGTTGATACGTTCAGGAATCGAACCCGAACGGCGTCCGGCCACAAGCAAAACGATGTCGGTAAATTAAACGAAACAATACGAGAAATAGTTCTATATTACGACAACACGATACACTACAGATTATTAACAAATTAACGAGACACAAAACAAACGACTAACAAATATATGAAAATACAATAATGAGAGAAACGCGCGATCAGTACGAGGCTTTGTGGCGGACTGCCGGCGCAGCAGCCCGGCGTCACCTGCGATAACGCGGCCGCGCGTTGGCTCCTGATTGGCGCGCGCACGCATCACGCAATCAGGAGCCAATCAGGCGCATAACGCATTTCGTGTGACATGCTATACTCTCTAGTACGATTTTGGTCCCCATAATTTTCATACCCCGGGCCTATATATGTAAATCGATTCTTAAGGAGTAAACTCCAATTAGCTTACAGCATTTCGATATCTCTGAGCTGTCCAAGTATCGGCATGAGCTGCAGGCGCCGGTTGGAGAGCAGGTGCCACAAAATACCAGTGGGTCTTTGGCTCATACGCTGCGTCTCTATAACCTATATTAATAAGGTTCAAATTGTTATATACCATTATAATAAATCTCGTGCTCGATGGGAGATAGTGATAGGACCTCTTGTGAGTCCGCGCGGGTAGGTACCAGCCTATTTCTGCCGTGAAGCAGTAATGCGTTTCGGTTTGAAGGGTGGGGCAGCCATTGTAACTATACTTGAGACCATCTACGTTGTAGATGTCTATGGGCTCCAGTAACAACTTAACACCAGGTGGGCTGTGAGATCGTCCACTCATCTAAGCAATAAAAAAATTAAAAAAAGATTGATGTCGAGGATCACACGCAGTGGAGTGCAATTGGAGAGGCCTATGTCTAGCCGTGGAATGCTATGATGATAATGATGTAATAAATTTTATCGACAATTTAACCGTTAATTGATTTAATCGGAAAAAGTACTTTTAATAATACGTTTAGGAATAACAATATACCTGTGTGGGCGTCACTATGATGTCGATAGGAACGTCGTGTGGTCCAAACAACTCAGCCGGCAGTGTATCAAACACCTAAAATATTAAATAATATTTAACATTAATGCAGTTTGGTCCCCATTTTAGTATACTGCTGTCCTTTTTTTTAATTAATTTTATGACGTGGTAACTAAGACCTTTAGGTCATGTTATATTTTAATTTATATTCTTATTTTTATGAAAAATGATAATATGGAGTGAAATGAAATGAAGTTGTTTAATTTGAGCACTTTAATCAACTGGGATGAAATAAAATGAAATGATATGGGATGAAATATAATCTCAGTAAAATGGTGGTCATTTACTCAGATTTCTTCAGTGTACTTTTTGGAGGATATCAAGAAGTTACGTCCAACGGCTTTGTTTAATTTTCCTACATTTGTGCACTTTCACTGATATTAAAGAGTTAATAAACCACAGTTATTACACATTTAAACCTGAAGAAACACTAAATAGACAAAACAAATCACACAACTTTACTCCTCGCGTTCCCGCCAAAATGTCTACTCACTGCTGTCCATTCTCTGATCTCAAACCAAACTTTCACTATCAAGTATTGTTATTGACTGATCAAATTCAAGTTATTCAAGTTAACTAAGACATAATATGTTCATAAAACAGCATCGCACTAGTAGTCTGGTATAATTACTCTTTGTAAAAGCAATATTTAATTATGAACAATTATTATGATTGTTAACTGTATATTTACCTGGCAATCGTGTACGGTGGTCACTACGACAGTGTCCGGCTTGATAGCTTTCATGTGCATCATCAGTCCAAACTCAAGGTCACCGTACCCTAAAATTTAGCAAAGTATAAATACATTACCAATAGAAAGGAATAGAAAAGACAAATTTATCGTTAAGGCGAGGTACATTAAAAAAAGGCATTATATTAAAAAAATTGCTCGTCCCTATATTGAAAGTATATCAATGTTGGCCTATTATCAATTTCTTTCAATTTAATATTATTCAATATTTTCAAAACATCATTTTACAAACTGAAAAACCTGAATCGCACTAACGATACTTTTTATTTAATTTTGAGTCTATATTTATTAATTTATAAAAAAAAAGTTGATACTAATACCAAATAGAAGGGACCTTTAATTACAAAGTTTTTTTTTTTTTTTATTGCATTAATGGGTGGACGAGCTCGCAGGCCACCTGGTGTTAGGCTCTTGGCCACATCGATTTCACTGTCCATCTTAAATAATAAAACAGATTTGAAGTCTCAATTGAAGCAGTACAAAGAATTTTACCTCGTCCTTTCCCGATACGATATCCTTCCTTAGACACGGCGACTGATCCCATCACGACCAGGTCCAACGAAACGGTGTCTTCTATGCCTGTACATACAAAATACATTTTTTATTTTTAAGTTGTAATACAATACGTATTGTTTTTTAGACGTTGGTTCTATCTATTATATTCTATTAATCAAGAAAAAAATTTACGTCGAGAAATTAATGAGCCAAGAGAATGTAAAGGACATTCTATTCGCCGCGGGCTTTCTACCAGAGGGGGGGGACAGAGGGAGAGATAGGGAGGGAGAGAGAGAGGGAGAGAGAAAGGGAGAGAGAGAGATCACAGGGCTCCTCAAGCGCAGGAGTATAATACCTATAGGTTTTCCATAAGTCTCCATTCCGTTACGCGAAACGGCCTTCCTAATGGCAGCCGGTCCAGTTTCACCTTCGGGCAGCTCCAGGCGGTTCAGGAAGCCGGTCTGGAGCCGTGGCACCGGAACGTACAAAGTCTTCTGCTGTTCGAGGCATATCACCCTGTTGAAATGTAAGATCGGTTGAGTACTGGAAGTTATATACATTTTAGCTAGCATTTTTACATAAGCTATCCGTCGGAATTTAGTTGTAACGTTTTTTGAACTATCGGTTACATTGTAAGGAGATTATTTTTTCTTCCTCGAATTAGATCCAATTCCTATTTACGTATTAATTAAAATCTTGTTATTTCGACCAATGGGTAAAGTTTAAAGTATTAAAAGTATTCTAATCATACCGCAGCATAGCCTACCCAACCTTTTTTGTGACCGGATTTTCTCTTTGGCTCAGCGGTTGCTAATAAGAGTAACAGTCTTCTAATTACTTCAAAAATAGTACTCCCTTGAGACCTGCTGTGTTTCGGGCGTAATTAAAACTTTCCTTGTCTAAAAAAATACTTTTTCAGGTTTTTTTTAATAATTTTCGAGGTGTGCTTTATCAGATTTTGTCTTAGATTAGCATTTTTTCCTACCTACGCTGATTGTCTAGAGACCATGTCAGCGTCGCCGGGCTAATAGGTGAGCTCACGGGGCTCATACCTAACGATGTTGCTAACACGAACTCTAGCAACAGCCGTGCTTTGCAGAATCTACCACCAGATCGGAAACGCGACCCACTGAGAAGATCCGGCGAGAAAATCAGTGGGCTGTATAATTTACTCACCGAGCCCTTCGTCGCAAGCGACGGGTTCGACGAGAACGATGACCGGTGCTTGGGGTGAGATTTGGATAAGAACATGTCATAGCGCTAGGTAAAGACCACGGACTGAAGTTGATACCATAATGAACTCTCAAGCTCCAATTTAAAACGACTTTCAGTTTATTCAACTTTGATGCGCCATTTTGAGAAGGCGGCACGACATGAGAACCCTCTCATCGTAGCCGCTGGAAACAACATACCCGACCCAGTAGACCGAATGGTATACCGTCGCCGTCGCCCAAAGCACGTCATTACGGATCCTCCTGATCCATTAACGGTGCTTTTAGGCACCACAAGCACCGGTCACCGTCCTCGTCGAACCTGTCGCTTGCGACGAAGGGCTCGACGAGCGAACTAACCCATAGACACAGGCCACTGAGTTTCTCGCCGGATCTTCTCAGTGGGTCGCGTTTCCGATCCGGTGGTAGATTCTGCGAAGTACTGCTCTTGCTAGGGTCAGTGTTAGCAACTCTCCGGTTGAGCCCCCGTGAGCTCACCTACAAACGTTAGGGCGAAGCTGAAGTAGCCTCTCAAGGCTATCAGCATAGGTAGGAAAAAAAAATCAACTTTATTAATCTTCAACTCTTGTGTTTCTGCGGAAAGATGATTTTTCACTATCAACTCCGTAGCAATGGTCTTAGCAAAGTGCTTTTATTGAGTACACGCATTAACCGTGTCCTTGTTACATAATTGCAAACTTAAAAATATATTTTTTATTATATAATTATGCAGTTGATATTCGTCGTTATGAGCTCGAGTTATCATATAGAGCATTGGGTCAATTTACATAATATGCGATATCAGCTTTATTACAAAAACGTTATTTATTATGTATTCATCAGAATGTGTTACCACCGAGTATATGTATTTGAATACCTCATGACATTAAAATGCTTAACTTAGTTTATTACCTGATAAGAAACGAGCCTTCACAGACATTGTCATGTAAACATAGCAATGGTACCGTCAGCAATGCAAACATTTAATAGTTTGCTATTGCTTTGAATATTTGTTTTTTAGCTTATCGCTAATAGATGAGCCGCGCAATTTAAATATAATTGTATTTGATGTCCAATTTAAATAATCCGATACATTGCTTAGAAAACAAAATGTGTTCAGGTAAGCAACTAAGAAAGACTAGAAACTGATTAGTTCCTAGTCTTCCCAGATTTCTCTTAACATTGACATACACATAAAACTATCGAACCAAGAATTGAGTTTTAAGAGTATTACTGGAATATCGATTACCGGTTGTAAAGCCAGAAGACCGAGATCGCACGGGTAAGTATTACAGTCCTCTTTTTCTAGGCAACGACATTAATGTTTTGCAATTCATGGATTTCAGCCGTATAATTGCACACTCGTATTTAGAGCTAGGCATTTATACCGTGTCATGTACATTGAATTTTAACTGTGAACTTCAAAGCTAAAGGACTTTTTCAAAACGCTCGAAAGCCAAAAAAGTATATTTTAATACAGTCAATTAACAAGTAATAAAAAAGATTTTAAAAAATGAATTAAGTATGTTTCTTTTTTTTAACCTATGCTGATAGCCTTGAGAGGCTATTTCAGCTGCGCCCTAACAGGTAGGTGAGCTCACGGGGCTCAAACCGGAGTGTTGCTAAGAGCAGTGCTTCGCAGAATCTACCACCGGATCGGAAACGCGACCCACTGAGAAGATTCGGCGAGAAACTCAGTGGGCTGTGTCTGTGGGTTATATGTTTCCAGGATTATTGAAATTTATTGCGACTACTTATTTTTATTAAATCGATGTAGTTAAGCGATCCAGTTCGCCGCACCCTGTCCTTTAATACGTTGGCTGCCACATAGGTCACCGGTGCCCTACGCGGCGTACTGAAGTAATAATGACGATTTCTCTCTTCAATCTACATACTAAAGCGCCAGAATGTCTAGTAGACTCTGGGAATGACGAATCAGCAGATACTAACAATAATATACATTTTTTAAAACCTAAAAGTCTAAAACATACATTAACAAATAAAAGAAGGCAAACTTAGGTAATCCAGGCGCCTAGTAACAGAAATCGATGTAATTACTTCAGTGCGCCGCGTAGGGCACCGCTGACCTACACGGCAGAACGCATGACTGCTTCTCGGCAAGTGTTATGAGTACACGCAGCTTACAACATGTTACAAATATATGAATGTTGATTATATTTCGAGGACGGAGAGGGTTATGTTTAAAACACCGAGCCAATCATCTTGTATCTTTGTAGATAACATTTTTTATTTTGTTTTATATAAAACACTATATGAATTTCATTAATAAAACATCTGAGGTTTATTGAAGAATCTATATATTAATACGTAAAGCAAAAACTTTGTACCCCTTTTTACGAAAATTGGGCGGACGGAGGAGTATGAAATTTCCCACACTTATCACTACGTAGTATAAAAGAAAGTCGCTTTCTCTGTCCCTATATCCCTATGTATGCTTAAATCTTTAAAACTACGCAACGGATTTTGATGCGGTTTTTTTAATAGATATAGTGATTGAAGAGGAAGGTTTATATGTATAATAACATCCATTAAATAGTGGAGAAATCAATAATGAATTACAGTTTCCGAAGCGAAGCGAGGGCGGGTCGCGAGTATAGAATATAGAGGAGTGCATTGTTAATATTTTTTTTAAATTATGCATAAAACATACATTAAATCAATAAATAAACAAAACATTACACACACTACCATGTATTTGACACGCACACACGCATGTATACGATTTGTTTATTGTCAAACTTTTCTTATTGCAATGTCTGTGGTCAAATTGAGAATAGATTAAAATTATTGTTTGTCTTTATTAATATTTGTCTAAAGTGTAGTCTTGGCGAGAGTTGTGATTATAGAAGTATAATAATAGTCTTTGACAATAGAATCCTAATAGTGTACAAACTTATAATTTCAATTGATTATAGTCGAATTTCGACTACCGGGTGTGGTCCCCTAATGAAATTCACATACACATAGCAACAACCCGACAAAGTGCACATACATACGTAGACATTTCCTTGTTGTAAACGTGAAAATCTCGGCATGCATGTATATATTATAATGTAATCAGTTAAATAAACGTAACGATTCTAATACATCGTATTATAAAAGTGCATGGAAAGCGGCCGGCGCGATATCGGTCACGGCTCGAGTAACGCAATGCAATCGTTCTCGAATATTATAAGGCGGATTCGACTGACGATGATTCTATAATTTAGTCTAGTCATTCTGTAATGTTAAAAGTGAACACAGAAATAACTGGGAACAAATTACAATTCTTTTTTTTTATTGCTTAATTGTGTGGACGAGCTCACAGTAAGCCTGGTCGTTAAGTAGTTACTGTAGCCCATAGACATCTACAACGTAAATGCACCACCCACCTTGAGGTATAAGTTCTACGGTCTAAGTATAATTACAACGGCTGCCCGACCCTTCAAACCGAAACGCATTACTGCTTCACGGCAGATATAGGCCCGGTACCTACCCGTGTGAACACACAGGAGGTCCTACCACCAGTAAACAAGAGGTCCTAGCACCAGTAAATAACCCTGTTATATGGATACCAGAGACTGTCATACTGAACAGCAGAGTTTATCCATATTATCTGGTACCGCTGCGTTCATCGACAGTGCGTTTCCAACTTTTCCAAAGATCTTTTCCGCCACGTACCATCCGGCTTTGGAGGAAACTCCCCTCTACAGTGTTTCACGATCGCTTTGACATGTCCTTCTTCAAACGAGGCTTGCGGAGAGTACTTAATGGTAGGCAGCGGCTTGGCTCTGCCCCTGGCATTGCTGACGTCCATGAGCGACGGTAGCCACTTACCATCAGGTGGGCCGTATGCTCCTCTGCCTACAAAGGCAATAAAAAAAACTGACTATATAAAAAATAAACACCCAGACAGTTGGTGGGTAGCGCATTTACATTGTAGATGTCTATGGACTCCAATAACCACTTAGCACCAGGTGGGCTGTGAGCTCGTCCATCCATCTAAGCAATAAAAAAACAAAGATCAAACAAACCTGTTCATTACACGAATGTTTGCCCGATGTGGGAATCGAACCCACGACCCTCGGCGCAACAGTGGAGGTCACGACTACTGATCCACAGAAACAGTCGCAATATCAAAGGCAGTTTTTTAACTCTAACTACAATCAGTAGATGGTTTTATAAATATGATATTATCTTCGATTGAACGCAGTGATGATTTAATTCACGATCGCCTCACCTGATACCTTCGTGTTACTGTTGTGATCGAAATACTAAATAGGCCATTGAAGGTTAGAGAAAAATGATAAAAATATAATATCCTATACCTACACATACATAGTGCAAGGGTAAAACTATTTTCTTTATTGTTTGGGAGCATTGCCGAGCTTAAATGTTATCAATCAATAAAAACGTTTTTGAAACTGATCCCTTTGCGAGTTTATTTTTCAAAAGCAAAAATAAAAAGATATTTTACCTAATACATAAAATTAATAAATGAAAATAGATCTTGAGGTGTTAATGGTTATGGTCGAAATTTGAGCACTAGTAACAAATAAATAAATTAATTAGTGGATACGGTACATATGCGAATATTGACCTTAAATTACGCATACTTTCCTGTCGTTTGTCCGCAGAGACTTTGTTCTCGTCTGGTTAGTCTGAGTTACTTCTATTTAAGGACTAGAGCTAGGGTAGAACAAATACCCCAATTAACCACCTACTTCTGTCGCGAATCCCAATTTTGTTTCAAATACTCAGCGGTATTCACGATGTTGTGTGATTCATTTTATTTTTGGGTTAGCCAATAAAAATGCCTTACAAGGCCCGAGCTTAAATCTATAGTACGGTTTTTTGGTTTAATTTTTCTTTTACAACGCTAGTACACACATTCGTCTCACGATTAACATCAGATTGTCATGACATGTATTAATTAATTCCATGGTATATAAACCAGCTTCGGAAATAAACAATCGATTAATGATGATGATAATGAATATAATATTGAGTAATCCAATAAAATAAAGAAGCTAGTTAAAACGTATTGCATAAAACTGTGTTTGTAAAAAAAATCAGTTTCCGAAAATAGTTCATCTGTTGATGTGTTCTGGATCATGTCACGTTGCACGCACGCAACGGACCCGACGAAAATCAGGTGAATACGCGCGACATACATACAACAACAACAAAAATACATACATAATTACTTTGCTAATAATAATGATAGGCATTTGACAAACCGCTAACTAGACCAGTGATTGTCAAAGTTTTTTATATTTTTTATTGCTTAAATGGGTGGACGAGCTCACATCTCACCTGGTGTTAAGTGGAGCCCATAGACATCTACAACGCAAATGCGCCACCCACCTTGAGATATAAGTTCAAAGGTCTCAAGTATAGTTACAGCGACTACCCCACACTTCAAACTAAAACGCACTAGTGCTTCACGGCAGAAATAGGCAAGGCGGTGGTACCTACCCATGCGGACTCGCCATACGTCCTACCACTAGTAATTACGCAAATTATAATTTTGCGGGTTTGCTTTTTATTACACGATGTTATTCCTTCACCGTGGAAGTCAATCGCGAACATTTGTTAAGAACGTATTTCATTACAAAAATTGGTACGTGCCGGCGGGATTCGAACACTGATCCATCGCTACATACGAATGCACCGGACGTCTTATCCTTTAGGCCACGATGACACGTAAAGATACTAAAATGCAAGTGCGTGGAGGCTAAGATATCGGTAAACGTCAATCTCAAATTAACGCTGCATTCAATTTGGCAATTTCGACAATAAGGACTATTCATATGGCAGAAAATTAGGATAATAGAAAAGACTAAATGATCTGAAATGTAAATATACTGACGTAGAATTTTATTTGTTTTTATATTATTATGTATACATATTCGTTTATTTAAACATTATAAAAAACATAATTTTAATGGTAAAATAACTGATCAATTTTATAGCTATCTTCCCTTCCGTTAACCCTATTATTTACACGATGAGATTAACCTCGTTTAACGCTGTTTCATATTACATTCTATGAACTTTGACGGAACATATGTCCCGCCGCGTTAAGCGGGTTTTTACTGTAATCATTACTGTAATTCATGATTAAAAGCGCAAGATTAAACCACAACAGTAGTTTTCATTAAGCATAAGTTATGAAAGAGCACTAATTTTGTTGTTGTTACATTTTAATATTAACATTATATTATAATTATAGGAATCAACAAAAACAAAAATATGAACAGTTATTGTCTATACACGACCTTACCCATGAAATAAATTTTATTATATTAGCACGTTCACTTTTGTCACAAGATACAAACATATATGCACTAAAATAATGGATGCTGTTCCCTGCTTCAAACCGGAAGGTATTCCTGCTTACGACAGTAGATGCTTGTTGGGTACATTGGAAAGTGAGTGCCCTTATTTTTTTCCTACCTGCTACTGCTAGAAACCTCATAAGGTTATACTAGCTTCACCGTATTTGTAGACGACCTCGCGGGGCTCAAACTGCGAGACTACTAACATCTGCCCTAGCAAGAGAAGTGCTTCGCTAAGTTTACTACCGGATCGCGACCCATCGAGAAACTTAGTGGGCTGTGTCTGTGGGTTAAATTGCACGACGAACCCTTCGTTGCATTCGGCGGTTTCAACCGATGCATGGAATGCCTAAAAGCACCCAGTCGATCGGGACGATCCGAAATGACGTGATGAGTGCTCACAATAACGAATAGTCAATAAAATTTGTATAATCTGTCGGATTTTTTTTTTGTTTACAAACTCACCTAACAGGCTCCTGCGGTTTATCCGGGTTAACTTTCACGGTGTTCGCATTCTTGAATACGTCCAGCTCGGCTAGTTTAGCGGCCGCCTCCTGAGCCCCTTTGAAGTTCGGAATTCTGTTGTATACGGGGCGCGGGAACACTGCCAGCCCGTTCGTCTCGAGGTGACGCCATACTTTGACGCGATACGATTGCTTGGTTACCTCTTCGGGCAGTGGCTTTTTGGCTAGAAGAGAAATTTTAACTTTACAAGAAATAAAATTTGAAATACTATCGACGGGGCGCCCATGAACCTCAGCAATGCCATGGGCAGAGCCAAGCCGCTGCCTAGCGCTTAATACTCTCCACAAGGCTCTTTTAAAGAAGGACATGACAGCGCTCGGGAAACACCGAGATGTGAGGTAGTCATATACTCAATCGAAGCACAATCATTCAAAACTACTACGAATAACTAAAACAGCTATTGAATTAAATAATTACTGATGAAACAGTCTAGCAGCTGCCTGTTGAAAATGGCACAGCGAAGGAGGCTCATTCAGAATGAACAACGTATTTATATTACGCATGTCCGATATTGCAATATCAGTTATTTTATTGCATGAGTTTTAACCGACTTCAAAAAGGGGAATTCTTTATTCGGCGACCTTTAATGTGCGTCACCTCAAAGGTTGATCACGTGACCAAAAAGACTCAGGGTATGAAAGTAAACTGTAAAGCCACTTTCGGACTACGCTATAATATAATAGCATATAGTATATAGCTCATAGCACAATCGCACACCATACATTGTTATGGACACGTTCACACTGTACTGTACTATATATTATCAGCTAGGTATAGGCTGCTTGCTATACTATATGGCACTATAGTATACCGTAGTCTGAAAGCAGCTTTATGTGAGGAGGGAGCGTCCTACAAAGAGTTGCAGTAGTGAAATTGCATTCTGAAACAGTGGTAAAGTCATGACGATTTATAAGTGGACGCAACGGCATATTTTTAAAAAAAGAACCTGATTTTGATTATACGGGACAGAATAGACTAATTTACAACGATTTACCATATATAGAATCGTGGTGGGTTATTGGCTTAGATTAAAGTATAATTAAAGACTAAATAAAAATAATAATAATGGTTGGTTCGAAGTAAGTATCAGTTGAATGGAATATTTTAAATGTATTCAATTGATAATTATTTTTAATAAATGTATATTTTTATTTGATTGGTTTTGGTACACAAAGGGACTTGATGTTGTTGTCTGAAATAAAATAAATAATTCATTCATTCATTCATTCATAATATAACATAACGTAAATAACGTAGGGATTATTTCATGATTCTAATGAATGAAGACAATTCGAGGTGTTTTATTTGGCATTAACATCAACAGTTCGATGTTTTTAATTAAACTCCAATGAAGTCTATTCCGTTCAAATAGCTGAAAAGTTTTTTTGTTATTATATGTTTTCCAAATTTTAAACTTTAAGTGGCTCTCCTGTATAGTTGCAAAAATGTCCATTAAAATAAATTTGACTTTCACCTCTCGATATAATACTTTTTTTTTTCATTGCAAACACCGGTGAATGAACTCACAGCACACCTGACGTTCAATGAATCTCACAAACATCACAATGAGAATGTCGCCACCCACATTGAGACATTAGTTCAAAATTTCAGTTCTATTGTACAACTACCCTACTTTTTTATTTTGGTTATTGCTTAGATGAATGGACGAGCCCACGGCCCACCTAGTGGTAACCGAAGCACTGCTGCCGCCCATCTTGGGACATGGATTTTAAGACCTCCGCCGAACCTCAGAGTTATCGACTGCTCTCCCTCTCTTCGGACATTAGATAAGCCCAGAATGTCCCACGGTAACTTGCTCAATTCTTCCTCGAGATCCACAATCTTCTCATCGGTCCGCAGTGTTCACGAGTTATATGTTGCCAGGTCCAGTCGTCGTTGTTTATAGTATTCTTTGCCGGAGATTCTTAGCACCCCCTGCCCCGCCGTTACCTTGACCGCTACCGTAGCCAGGAATAGCGTCACTAGTCGCCTCTTACGACACCCACGGAAGGAGAAGGGGAGGGGGGAGGTGTTATTCTTATTTGACACCACACGGCACGTGATAATAAATATCACTACAATGTCAGTAACATAACTGTATTTGTGGCATTTGAAAAAAGAAATGAAAAAAAACTTGACTGTTAAATTGATATACACAAACAGGCCCGTCAACTTCAGTAACATTAAATTTTATTTGAAGTATAAAACAAAGAGCACACTAACCTGAATATACTTCAAACGTTCAAGGCAAGGTGAAGTTGATTTTATACACATATATGTAAACTCACCTGTGTACATATACACAAACAACATATCTGTATTAATTTAGTAGATAACGTGAGTTAAATGTGGCAATTCAAGTTATGTAATTAAAAAAATATTTGTCTCATAATTTTTGATGTTTCATCTCTTTCCTCTAGTCCTCAATCCAAAAAGTGATTATCCCACATCATATTCTCCATTACAGGAGACAAAAACATGGATCCTCTAAGGATATACTATTTATTGCTATAATGATTTTTAATTCCAATTTTAAGCACAGTTTGTTATGAAGAATTTCTAATAAGGAAGGTGGAATAATAGTGCTACATTTTACAAACTATTCCTGTTACTATCCACGTGTGCATCACATTGGGCTCAAGACTTTTTTTAAACCAATTTAAAGACCAATTTTTTTAACACATGATTATACAATTAGATTTGTCTTTAGATCATAGATATCAAGAAAAAGATTCTGACTCATCCCTTGCCCTATTGTATCTATGCTTATACATTGTTAGAGAATCAAATCTGGTAGTATCACACCAGGTTAGCTTAATATATACCAATAGAAAAAGGCACTAAATTAAACTGAATTAATACAACTATCGTTTTAAAAACATACAGGTGCCTTTACAAGAATTATGTGGGTGTCTTGTAAGTATTGGCATAAGAGCCATGACATATGTCTTTTCATTCATTTCACCCACTCAGCTATTAACATTATAAGATGACTTTAAGAAGTAATAATAAAATTAATGTATATAAATCCAGCCAATGGCCATAGTAAAATTGTTAATAATGCTTTTTTCAATTATAATATTGTCATCACTCATTTTTTTGTGTTTCAATTTTTATGTTAATTTGACGTCTTGAAGTTAGTAATTTTTTTGTTGAAATAAAGATATTGTTTAGAAGATATATGTGAAGCAAATAAAAGTATTAAAAAGAAACAAGATGTTTATTGGGAAGAGAAATTTATTTTATGATAAAACAAAAATTGATATAAATGAGGCAATGGATGGAACGGGCATAGGATGTTGAACTTAAATTTCAATACATTTTATTAATTTCAAATATAAGAAGATAATTTATACAGCCTACTACTATATGCAATGTTTTATGAATATAAACATTTATTTCAATTGATATTTTTAGTCCATAATCACGGGCTGTACTGAATTTATATCTTAACATCTGAATAAAGTCAATCAGATAAAGAAGAACAATAAAGAAATTTTATGTAACTGGAAAAGTATATATTTAAATTTAGTTGACTGAGGTTTTTTTGCCAAAAATCGAGCCACAAGCCAGTCGAACCATACGAACCAGCTTATTGCGAGTGATCACTGTTGCTCATGGTTTTGAGCAATTACAGAGACACAGATGAACCACAGCATACTGTAATTATCAACCAGTTTTAGAAATGCATCATTTATACGTCACTGAATTACCTACTTTTTAAAAACATTCTAAAAGCCCTTTTTCAGTTGTTCTGGGCATTTCATTGATGTAAATATTTTTCTCAAAAGTAGTAGTAGTAGTAACCATCGCATATTTCATTCAATTTCCTTTTAGAATTATTTTAAGAAGTTCGATATTGTTAAGACTTGAGAGGGTAGAATGAAAATAAGAAAAATAATGAAGAAATTAATACATATTATTTCAACATTTACTTAGACTGTAGACCTTCAAATGATGATTCAATGCACATAGAAAATATTATGATCTCATACCTAACATTTAAGTCACATCAAGGTTGTTAAAATTAACATGAAAAAAATGCTTTCTTAAATATGTCGACCAAATATTTTTACTAGCCATAAATAATTTGTTACAATTGCCTAATAAATGAATTTTTTTGTTGTGTATAGGCGGGCTAATACATGAGTCATTTTTCACACTCCAATTAATCTACCCACAGTATCAATAATTCCGAGCAAAGGAAACTTATCAAATCGCAACAAACGATGCATGAAACTCTTAACAAAGTGAAAATACTACAGTTCGCAATTAATTACAAATGTTTTTCCGAAAGCCGCTTATGGCTTTATCATCTATTTTTAATTCAGATTTCGTGTGGGTATTTAGAAATACACGTGCACGATTAAAATAAAGTAACGGATGCAATATTCTATGAAAATGTCAAGCCGATTTTTCCTACACTTCCTAAAGAAAAAAGCTAAAAACAATATTGTTTCTATTATTTATTGGTAACAAATATGGAACTTACTGTTATCCACGGCTGTCGGCGTACCGTCTCCGTTCTGCATTTTAGCTATTTCGGCCATTTAGAGGTGCAAGATTTAATTTCAATGATCTAAATGAAAATCATCAAAATTATTTAGAAAATAGAATCTTTGCCGGACAGTCCCGTCACACACAAAAATAGAACGCGAATAAAAAACAAATGTCGACAACTTAAAGATATGAAAATAGAGATGCTATAACGCTATTCGATACTATTAAATGAAAATCGCACACCTAGTTGTCAAATTAATTTGCATTTTACTATTGAATTGTTTAATCGTACGGTAAAATGTCTAAAAATGAACAATCGTTAGAGAAATTTCTAATACTTTCGTTGAAAGGTTTTAAAAACAGAAAATTAACTACTTTCTTGACTAATCGACTAAAGCTATTAATCCCGCGAGTTGCCAACATTTAGATAGTACTTTGTGCAAATAATAAAACACAATATTGGCGGCTTCCTTTAAAACTACCTAATGAGAAAGTATATTTTATTTAGAGTAGATCAGACGACAAAATTTTTTGCATTTTGTTTCGATATATTTTAGGGGTATTTGAATTTCGTAAGAATTTTGTTTTGATCGAAGTTAAAATAGACAATACTTGTCACACATTTTCGTTATAGGATCATCATTATAGGTCATGACTAGGATCGGTTATGGCCATTGCATTTCTGACGTGCTGAGGTGATGGTAATCACTCATAATCAGATGGGCCATATGCTCATATCCATCGTCTACAGCAGATACGGTTTGAATAATAATCGGTTTCGTTCAATAATAATTTCCAGTTGGCGGGTTATAAATGAAACAATATTACAAGACGTTTGAAACTAGGGACTATTTTATTAATTAAGGACTTTAGTTGTGTGAGAGACGCCTAATGAAAACTCCAGGTACATAGACATTTACGGTTATTATTCTGTAAAATGACATAATATAAATCGCTAAAACATGTGGTCATCGAATAAAATAAGTTTGCGGAACGTTTAGCTCACGGTAGTTTGTGATTATTACTCTTGAGCATCTACGATGCAAGTGTCACAATTTAATATCATGAAAATAGTCTTTAATTATATAGTTGTCTTATTTTAATTTATCGCGATATACTATAGCTTTTTTTTACTAGCCTGTGTAGCGTTATTTACCGAACCAAATAAGTTCACACTGGTTTTTAACACTCCTCCTACATCATAATACGTCCAGACTTCCCGGATAACTAACTCCACTAGTAAAAATATCGAACTCCGTTTCTTTCGGTACACAAATATTGAAGCAAGACTTACCACATGCAAAAGCAATCCCTTGAAACAAGATCTATTATTGAAGTGAAAATTTCTAACCGATTTTTTTAATGTACGAGTGATAAGGCATGTTGAACTACTTTCTCATTTTTTCTTTCAGTGCCTACGAGATATTTTTTTTGTAATGCCATTGTTACATCAGACTTTATAAAATATTCTATTCTATTCTATTATAAATAAAACTTTATTTTATTACATAAAAAATGAAATTAAGTGAAAAGAAATTAAGTCAACCTATCTGCATTTGTAATCATTAGGAATAATATATATATATATATAAATGAATTGCTGTTCGTTAGTCTCGCTAAAACTCGAGAACGACTGGACCGATTTGGCTAATTTTGGTCTTGAATTATTTGTGGAAGTCCAGAGAAGGTTTAAAAGGTAGATAAATATGAAAAATGCTCCGAGTTAAATAAAAATAACAATTTTGTTTTTCCTTTGATGTGTCCCTTGTCGGACGGATTACTTTTGTTTGTTTTAAGTTTATTTTATACAAAAGTTTAGGTATTTTATTTATCGATTGAGGCACTACGAAGTCTGCTGGGTCAGCTAGTTATAACTCCTCAGTTAAATGGTGGCTATTTACAGAGACTAGTGTTTTTTTTTTTGGAAAAGCCGCGTTTACTGATTTTGTTTGATTTTGATAAACTTGTGTATTTTCATAAATTATGTCAAACGGTTAATAAGGCACAGCTATTAAACTCGTGTACCTGAAGAAACACTGCGACTTACTGCGTTAATAAATAGAATAATTCACGTAGCTTTCTCTCCGCGTTCAGAATTAATGTAAGAAATGAATTATTAATATAAGGTTATGACAAAAAAACGCAATTGTTTTTTATAATTTTAATAAAGCGTAATATTCATTATGCTGTTTTTTAAACATAGCATACACTTGTTTGTTACTGTACTGTTTTTTAATAAAAAAGTCATCTAACAGTTTGGGACATGTGTAGTGGAGTTAGCATTAGTTCGAAAGCCGCGTCTTTTAGGTTGGCACCACGTAGATTAGCTTCATGGAGGTCACTGCCCGACAGATCGCAACACTGAAATAAAATCTAATTTTAATCGGGTCAATCTAAAATTATTTTCTAAATACACATACACTATACTTACAAACTTTTTTTTAAATTGTTACACATTCTAACATTATTTTTATTTATGAAAACTTACGAATTTGGGGTATAATATAGAAATTGCGATTGCATTCCGTAGAACTTTGGAAATTTAGTCTATTCAGGTATTTTGCATCAGATTGTCAGGTACCTAAAAATTCTCTCAGTGAATTGTACATACAGTTCGCAGATAAATTTATAATTGTGCTTGGGTTATGGGCATTGGTGCGTACGTAATAAGGACAAAACAGACCTTATATTCCATTTTTAGGGGTTTGCGTTTATCGCTTGGAATTATCTTACAGAATCCATTTTAAATTACTCGTCACCATTCTACCAAAGATCCCTTACTACCTTTCTCACTTTATCATTAATTATTTATTAAGCCGCATACGTACAAGTTGATAAAGTCGTTACGAGTTTTTCATTAGATTTAACAATTTTATTTCGTTGTCAACTGGCGCAATAGTCGGTCTTGTCAGTAAATTAGATACAGCCAGACAATGATAATTCCGGATTACCCATGTTTCATTCGAACAACGAATTCATCATCATCATCATCATCAGCCTTTATCTGCCCACTGCTGGACATAGGCCTTCCCCAATGCCTTCCACATAATGCGGTCCTCCGCCTTCCGCATCCAACGACTTCCCGCCGTGCGCACTAAGTCGTCAGTCCACCTGGTTGGAGGACGCCCCACGCTCCTTATACCCATCCGTGGCCTCCATTCGAGGACTTTCCTCCCCCACCTGGCGTCGCTGGCTCGACAGATGTGACCGGCCCATTGCCACTTCAGCCTGCTAACATTGAGAGCTATGTCGTCGACTTTGGTTCTCCGTCGAATTTCTTCGTTCCGGATTTTGTCCCTTAGAGAAATACCTAGCATAGCTCTCTCCATCGCCCGCTGTGCGACTCTTAACTTATGGGCCAGCCCTGCCGTCAGTGTCCAGGTTTCCGCGCCGTAGGTCATAGCGAGGAGAATGCACTGGTTAAAGACTTTTGTCTTCAGGCATTGAGGAATTTGTGAGGTGAGGATTGCACGGAACAAGCAAGTTGATAAAGTCGTTACGAGTTTTTCATTAGATTTAACAATTTTATTTCGTTATCAACTGGCGCAATAGTCGGTCTTGTCAGTAAATCAGATACAGCCAGACAATGATAATTCCGGGTTATCCATGTTTCATTCGAACAACGAATTAAATAATAGAAAAATTCAAATCCCGGAATATCATCAAAAATAAATAAATTAATGAGTACTTTAGTAACTGTGAAAGAATAATAACAAAATGACGAATCGTAAAACTTATCTTATCATATCATAAACAATCTTAGATGCTTCCTACATCTTGTATTAATTAAGATAAGCAATAAAAAAGGCAGTGCTGAATATTTAAAAAAAAAAAAGTCGTATGGTATGGAAATGTTTGCCTTCGTCATTATGGTAAGAGGAAAAAGAACAATACGTATGTACGTACGGACAAAACGAAACCCGTGTTTCCTTATATTGGTTTCAATAACATTCAACTCGACACGGCAGACTAGCTAACGACGTTTTTTTTATTTTTGTCTTCGTTGTGTGGGAAAAATACAAGTACTATAAAAATTCAGGTCATGGATTTTCTTTTAATCTTAGTTTCCCAAAATAGACTTATTGGAGAAGCTAGTTCACTATTTTGCATCACGAAATATCGGTAGCGTGGCCGAGCGGTCTAAGGCGCTGGTTTAAGGCACCAGTCTCTTCGGAGGCGTGGGTTCGAATCCCACCGCTGCCAATATTTTTTTATTTGCCCCAAAATATTACATAAATATTACTCAATCTAACTATACTGTTGTATTTTAAAAATATATATGCTTATTCGCAAGGCTGCTCAAGATAAATAAATTGTTTATTACATAAGTTGACCTTTTCCATGGAGTTCTCGGAACGCCTTGTGGTGACCGGTAAAATCGAGGGAAAAAGGCCAAGGGGTAGAGATCCCAATCGATGGTCGGACCAAATAGTGGAGGAACTAAAAATACCTATCAGCGACGCACTCCATTAAGCTACAGAACGGGATCGATGGAGACAGCTAGTTGACGGAATCAAACGGAGTCACGATCCTCAGCAATGAGCGACCGATTGAAGAGAGTATAGAAGTACAATTATTACATTACAGGTACAAAAATAAATAAATTAAAACATTCATTAATTTGGAATTATTGTTACTCTTCTTTTTGAAGATCAGAAAATCTTTTAACATCACATATTCACATTCTTCTTACTAGTTTTTGCTCTGGATAGGTGAACTCATGGCTTATCTAATATTAAGGGGCCTTGGAAGCCCATGAACCTCGCTACGTGAATGCTGCCATCCTCTTTGAGACACGGGGCGGTAGTCTCAAGCCGAAACGGAGGACTGCTTAACAACAGAAATATGATGGAACAAAAAGTACCTCCAGGTCTGCACCGGCGAGCACAGCCGTCCTCAGATCGCAGTTCTGTAAGTTGGCGTTCTTTAGTGTTGCCACTCTCAAATTAACCCCCGACATATTACTGCCTTCTAGATTTGCTCCTGAAAATTATTTTCTCTTTTAACCAACCAATTTGGATCACTTAATTGGTTGTTAGTGACCCAAAATACTGTACTAGCATTGCGCATTCAATTAGAGAAGATTTTTGTTACACTACTATTGAGGACTTCACTCATACTTTGTTTGGAGAAAGACAAGTCAAAGCGCTCAAGAAACACAGAGTTCATTCCAAAGTACGTTGGTACGTGTCAAATTGATCTCTGTGGATCATCACAAATAATTTATCCCAGATCCTCTAATTTTTGGTTAAATAAAATATAGACTCACAATTCAAATACAATGCAACAAAGACGATACGCTTTCGTAACATTTTCCATCTTATTGTAAAGAATTGGAGTGCTACCAAAGAAATAATATTGTACCTACATGTTTTTTTTTTTAATTAATACTATTTTGTTAGTTATTTGGTACTAGTGATGGTTATTCAACGTAAATATGATGTCTTGGTTGCTCTTTCCCTCAAAACAAGACTTCTATTCACCAATATATTATTATTAATTTCATAGCTATCAAATAATAGCCATTATCTATATTAGTATTGGCTTAGCTAAATACCAATGTGGCCACTGGCATGCCACTGTATGGCAATACAGTGTATAAATGCACATACCACTCTAATTAGAATTGAATGTACCTTTAAGATTAACGCCTTCCATCAGTGCTTTGTTACCGTGAGGATCATCCATATTGCAACCTTTTAAATTAGCACCTGTAAATAAGCTCAAATATCTCATTAAAAATTTTATACTAATATTAAACAGAATGTGACTATGGAATTGTGGGAAATTTTGGAAGAAACTTGCCTAATGTTTTCTGAGTGCTATGACATTTTCTCCATTAAATGAGGTTTAAGTACTCAGCGGTAGGCAGTGGCTTTGTCCCAAGTTTTGCTTAAGTCCATGAGTGTCAGTGATCACTCGACATCAGGCAGGCTGCCTGTGTACAGTACATTTTAGGTTTTATTTATTTATTGTAACTATGTATTATTATACGCCTTTTTTCTGTATCTTCATGTATTTAGGTACTATACTTTCGTTTAAATCTTTCTCCATGTCTTTAGGTTTTGTATTGTAAATTTGTTCTTTTTATACATACCTTCCATGTTAGCACATAAAGCTTTAACGCCAAGAAGCTGGGCACCTTCTAAGTTGGCATGCGACAAGTCTGCCCTTTCCAGGCAGCAGTAAGACAGGTTAGCACCACTCAAATTGCAACGAGATAAGAAGGCATACTGAAAAAAAAAAATTACACTATTTTCAATTGAGTTTATTTTTCGCATACAAGCATACTCGATGGTGAGTCACGTCACTCATACATGGTCTTCTCGCGTTAAAACTGTATAATCTCAAAACTTACCAATTTTACAGGAGTGCTTTAAAGATTTAATATGTAATATTTTAAAATTAATTGTAATTGCCACATTTATTTTTTATTTTTGACCAGTTACATTATCTGTCTTTTAAAGTAAGATAAAATTATATATAAATTTTGTTAATAGTAGTCAAAACATAGGTAAACTAAAAAAATAATAAACTAAAATTAAATTACGCTCTTTAACAGTTTTGATGAGAAAAATACCAGTGATACCAAATATTTACGCATTTTGGAAATTGTACACTTTTAATGCGAAAAGGCGACACGTCAGCAACGTCAGAGATACAGCCAACCTGCTAATTACTGTTTTTTCAATCTAGGAATATTAGACGTCCATAAATATTAAGTTAATTGGTTAACTAACTGGTTAACTCAAGTTAAGTAACTGGCCTTACCTTAAAATTAATAAATCTCAAATCTAATCTATTCAGGTCAGCTCCGGCTAAGTTCACTCCTTGAAACCTCAGCTCAATAGATGTGGATGTTTTTATCAGAGCTCGGACAACATCCATTCTTGTTAGGGCATGATTACTATCGTATGATTTAGAATCTTCTATAATCTTTTGAATATGAGGAATCATTGAATCTATACCTGGAAAAATCAGATTAGATTTTTATTATTGACTAGCTTTTACTCGCGACTTCGTTTGCGTGGAATAGTAACTTTGGCATAACGCTAAATTTTACCAGCCACTTCATTTATGTAGAAAATGAAAATATTTTTGAATAATAGAATTTTAAGGAGCTATTTAAGGTAAGGTTTTTACTTATCTCTTATCTTATCTTAGCATGATATTATATGCCTAAGCCATCCTCAATAAATGAGCTATCTAACACTGAAATAATTTTTTCAAATCAGACCAGTAGTTCCCGAGATTAGCGCGCTCAAACAAACAAACTCTTCAGCTTTATAATATTAGTATAATATATAATTCTTAATTTATACCAATCTTATTTATTATTAATTTTTAAAATTTACTAAATTCTTGGACAATAGTAAAATATTAGGCTTTGGTTTTGCTAACCATTATTTTGCACAAAGACCAACCAGAGTGAAATAAGTATTTCAAAAAGCTACTAGTTTTTTAGAGATAGTCTAAATATTTTTTTATGACAGTGATCAGAACACAATCTCACTGCTCATCTAAGGGAAGTGGTTTCCAGATTTCATATATATATCACAAGCATAAGCAATTGACATAGTTTCAATTTTATCGTAAAAAATAATTGTACTACAATCAATCTCAGTTTGCTTTTTTTTTTTTTTGCTTAGATGGTTGGACGAGCTCACAGCCCCCCTGGTGTTAAGTGGTTACTGGAGCCCATAGACATCTACAAGGTAGCCGCGCCACCCACCTTGATTGCTTGACAACTTTACTTGTTTTTTGAGTTGCAAAGATCTTTTTGGTCCAGAGATCTTGCTAATCAGATGGGATGAACATGGGTGAACTAGAGGGCTCAGCTAGGATATGTCAATGCTCTTATCACAGGCTTTAATCAGATAGTAATCATGACCCACTAAGATCCTGTAGAAACTTAGCAGACAGATGTTATGGCATCTGCTTCTCTACAGAGATTGGCAAGGATTGCAAGAGGGTGCTTATAGTGTAACAAAAATATATGTGTATATAATGTAACTATGTAATTATATTTGAAACCATTGTATTGTTTGAAATTAGTCTCTTTGAGTATTAGTTTACCATAAAATACAGCCTCTTCTAGAACACCTCTAGGGTTTACATATTTATCTATTATAACTTCTCCATGTCTCAAATAGTTTAGAATAGGTTCAAAATACTCTGGGCTTCTATCTATTAAGTATGCTCCCCTCGAGTCTGTGGCACTTGGGTTCATTAAATACATATTATTATCATCAGCAAACATTCTAGCCAGCATCGAAAGTGGCTCTTTAGACTGTAATGTTGAGCGAGAAGTAGTAAAATAACGTCCCCCCACATTTAGTGTTATCCAATCCGATACTTCGGAACACCTATTCAATGATAATTTTGCCAAGGAACTTTCAATAGTATCACAGCTTTTGCTATCGCCGCAGTTGACATACAGCTTCTCGTCGTCTCTTATAACTCGAACGTCAACAATCTCACAACCATTTTCAGTGAATAATCGAAAATCTCCGCCTATTTCAAAAACATTTGATATTTCCAATTTAAAGGCTTCAAGCGTGTCTTCCACAACCAAAACTTTGCCATTCTGTTTCTTATGACTTAAGTAGACGAATGCACGTTTCATAATTACTTGAACGTTTTTTTATTGCGTTAATTAAAACGATTACAGTAAAATCAATATTTTGTCACATATTTTTTTCCAATATTTACTTGTCACAGGTGTCTTTCAAGTTATCAAAATACCTTTATGTCAAATGAGAAATGGTAACAAGAGTAAACTCCAAGCAATCGACTAAATTTTGAAATAAAATTAGTATTAGTCTTGTGTGTCCTATTTAAATATACCACGTTCAAAGAATCTTATATAAATTATTGGCATTTAAACTATGTACACTTCATGTTTTTACATATATTCCTCTAAATTTAAAGTATACATTTGTGGATTGTGACATAGTTACTGCCACCTGCTGGCATAGCAAATAACTATTAAGCTCTTTTCGTTTTCATCATATTTCGATAGATGACTCTAATGATCAGGTACTTTATGACAAAACAGTTACACTCGCACTCGTGAACAACTCAAACATGACTACAATAATAGGTAGGTTACCTACCTAACGTAATTTTTTACCGATTGGAGTGCTGGGGACATCGATATATTACCACTAGATAACGCATCACATACAAAAACCAAACACAAAAATGGCATCGACTAACTGATCTGACTACACCATCAAGTGGAGAAAAACGATGTATAATATAATAATTGTAACGTAAACTATGCCTTTTCCCCAAGCAGTAAAGTGCAGTTTAGATTATTTTAACATTCACTTACGACCTTACGCCATGAATGACAGAAAAAGATAGTTTTTTACAATAACTTTTATTCCAAATTTAACCTTATCTCCTTAAAAATAAAGCAAAAATTTACACGCATAGCATTTTACTTACGCCCTTTTAAACTTACGATATTAAGACTTTACTGCTCCGAACAGAGTATTACGGAGTCGCACTTTATACTTTTTTTGTAAGAATATTTTGAGTAATTTATTTTTTATTATGTTTTTTTAATTCATATTCATTCAATTTTTTCAATTTTTTCAATTTAATTCCATATGATTAACAACAAATATTGTATAACTATAGATAATTATACCTGAGTTAGCTATATTGTACCTTGCACATCGGTGGGGAAAATAGATAAGAGCTTTTTAAATCACAAAAACATAATCCCCATCAAATTGTTTTATTTATTAAATACATGTCAGATTCGGTAAAATGGTCTGCACAAACCACACTGGAGCAATTAGGTTTGAAATAATTGTTGCTTCTTTTTTCTTTTATTACTCTGTTATTAAATCTGTAAAAATGTAAAAACAAATTCCAGTTTACAGATTTCACTTCGCCGTCCATTGTACAGACGTCTGTTGCATTCGTATCTGATCTAGCGATACACGGGGTGTTCGAATCCCAGGCGGGTACCAATTTTTCTAATGAAATACGTACTTAACAAATGTTCACAATTGACTTCCACGGTGAACGAATAACATCGTGTAATAAAAATCAAACCCGCAAAATAATTTGCGTAATTACTGGTTGTAGGACCTCTTGTGAGTCCGCACGAGTAGGTACCACCACCCCACCTATTTCTGCCGTGAAGCAGTAATGCGTTTCGGTTTGAAGGGTGGGGCAGCCGTTGTAACTATACTTGAGACCTTAGAAGTTATATCTCAAGGTGGGTGGCGCAAATGCGCAAATGGCAGCGTAAATACGCTGTAGATGTCTATGGGCTCCAGTATAACCACTTAACTCCAGGTGGGCTGTGAGCTCGTCCACCCATCTAAGCAATAAAAAATAATAAAAAAATAAAAAATTATGTGACTCCACTACACTTGTTCTGAAATAGCCCTATTTCATCCTTGTCTTGCATGTAACCGTTATTATGTGTGCGAAAGAAATAACTGCGAAGCAAAATAATAGGATTTAATTTCTTGAAGTACTAATTTGGTAAGAATAACTGATTTATTTCAAATATTTATCACTATCTGTTAATAAAAATTATAAAACTTACTAAAAATACTAAATTTCATGTTGTTTTCTCTTTATAAGCGTGTTTTTTACATATTTTTATAGCGCATTTTAGGATCGTTCCACTCGACGGTCGGCGTGACACTGACGGCAAAACAGTGCTTAATATGAATCTAAGCACTGTTTTGTTTGGTTACTTTTGACGCCTTTACGCGGGATCTAGTGGTAATATATCGATGGCTGGGGACCTCAGATACACGAGGGCGCTGCTGCTTCTGCAAAAAAAGCTAACACTAGAATTAATTTCAATTATTGATGATAGATTTATTGGAATATTTCAAGATGATTCCGTCATATATTTTTACACTTGCACTTACCACCAGATTACCTTTACCTTACCTATTTATTTTATATTTATTTATTACCTATTACCTTATTTTCTTCATCTCTGAAACATTAAAAACGTCAGGAACCGTCAAGAAACGTCAGGAGGAAATTCTACCTTTTCGGTGGCGCTGTATCGAATCAGAAATACCATCCATGTAACTTACGGCTCTCGAAAGTCTCTCCTCCACGTTTGTCCGCGCTAAGACATCTCTTTAAATGATATTTTAAAAGGAGCCTCAACTACAAGCAGCAGCTTGGTAATGCCCTAGTACGCTGAAATCCACGACCTATAGCAATAAACGAAATTCGAAATAAATAAGTAGCAAATAACACTGCCTCTTTGGTACCTAGGTACTCCTAACACGCCCAGGTCATTGACAGTTTGACGCATCTCCTCAAAATGTGTACCTACAGTCTGACTTCCGCTATTTCCATTCGTGTTTTTAAATTAATAATTAATCAAATAATCATTTATGTATTTCAAAAATGTTCTTATCTCCAATTTAAGAACTAACTTCTCTCACCCGTGTTTTATGTCACCAATCTTTGCAAAAATATCACAACAAGAATAATTATTATTCTCTTCCTTCATTCCATATTTTACACAGAAGATCTCACGTCTCTAGTACACGTCTCTCTGTACATGAGGAGATCAATAACTATTAATAGGCCAATAAACAGGTAGTTAATTTGATCGCGTACCTACTAAATCACAGATGGCCATCGTAAAATATAAAACACACGCCTGGTCATTACTTAGACGTGTACTTACGTACTGAGTAATATCGGTGACTGTTTTACCGGGAAATGTGATTTTCGCGATGACTTCTTCTTTTTTTTCAGTATACAATCACTGTCACCAAGCATTTCGGTTTAAATAATTCGATATAATTCGTATAAACAAATGAAATCTCGGTCAACTCTATCAAGACAATATTCTATGGTGTCTGTAGGTGCGCTTTTGAAAGTAAATCGTGAATTTACTGCTCATGTACCTACCTACATAAAAATTTAGATTCGTCGTGGCCTAAAGGATAATACTTCCGGTGCATTCGTATCTACCACCAATTTTTCTAATGAAATACGTACTAACAAATGTTCACGATTGACTTTCACCGTGAAGGAATAACATGGTGTAGTAAAAATCAAACCAGCAAAATTATAATTAGCATAATTACTGGTGGTAGGAACTGATGTGAGTCCGAGCGGGTAGGTACCACCACCCCGCCTATTTCTGCCGTGAAGCAGTAATGCGTTTCGATTTGAAGAGTGGGATAGCTGTTGTAACTATACTGAGACCTCAGGACTTATATCTCAAGGTGGTTGGCGCATTTACGTTGTAGATGTATATGGGCTCCAGTAACCACTTAACACCAGGTGGGCTGTGAGTTCGTCCACCCATCTAAGCAATAAAAAAAAGTATTTTTGAGAATTAAAATTCTTCAATTATATTTCCGTGAAAAGCGTAGCATGTAAAAAGGACGTTGGCTTCCGAACTGATTCGGTCCCGTGCTCCTTTCGAAAACGAGAATCATCATCTGCTATGACTCATCGTTTACGTTTTAAAGCGTCATAAAAGTATTTTTTTATTTTGTGAACAACTTTACACGTTCAGAGAAACTGTCATAGTCGCTTACACGTTTACCTACCTATGTTTTCGTATTTATTTAGTTTTAACAAAAACTTTGTACCCCTTTTTACGAAAATTGTGCAGACGGAGGCGTATGAAATTTCCCACACATATAGAGAATATAGAGAAGGAGTGTAGAATGTCAATATTTTTATTTAAATTATGCATAAAAAATACATTAAATCAACAAAAAAAAACATTACACACACTATCACGTATTTGACACACACACGCATTTATACTATTTGTTTATTGTCAAACTTTCCTTATTGCTTAAAGTCAGTGGTCAAATTGAGAATCGATTAATTATTGTTTGTCTTTATTAATATTTGTCTATAGGTAGTCTTGGCGAAATCTGTGATTATAGAAGTAAAATAAATAGTCTTTGATAATAGAACCCTAATAATGTTCAAACTTATAATTTTAATTAATTATTGTCGAATTTCGACTACTACGGGTGCATTAGTCTACATAAGTATTTAGCCCACCCGATAATGAATTGTCGCCATCTTTCGTGGACATCAGATGCATGCCAGGGGCACAATGAATCTGCTGCATAGCACACGTGGTTTTTTTGTAATTTTACTGAAAGTCTCATTTAAAATGCATTATTGACCAGCGTGTGGAACTTCGGAGACAAAGACCAATATCGAATGATTATATAAATAAATAATAAATAAATAAGCCTTTTATTTCTTAAAAGTGACATAAAAACAAAAATTAATGCAATGCTTAACTAATAAATAATATATCTGTTGAATAATATTAGGTATTATTTCCCACTTGCAAGAACCCCTCCTCGGGTAAAGGCCTCCTCCAAGGATAGCCAATCTTCTCTGGATTGCGCAATTTTACGAATGATTATATAAGAGTCACTATTAAATGTTGTTGCCATAATTTACTGAATACCTTTGGTTATTTATCATCGAACAAGAATATTAGAAGAATTACCGATATCTGACCTTCTTCTTAAATATCGTTAGTTCCTTGTGACCTTATTCAGAATTGTTATGTGTGAAAACGGTTTTCTGGAAGAAATCGCTTTAGCGTATAGACTGTTTATTGTACAAATCAACATGGCTATTGACTGATTTTCTATATAAATTTTGTATTTGTGTGCAATAAAGTATATTGTCTCTCTCTTCACGGATTTTTCATAGAACAATAACAAACTAAAACTATACTAATAGATAGGAATAATAAACCATAGGTCATAGTCCGGTCAATTTAGACCAAAAAATGAGAGTGAAGTTACATAAAGTCCCAACAAGCTGAATTTCAGTGAAATTGTTCAAAATATAATTATAAACAATTTCTAGAAGTTCCCCATCATTCCCCTGAAAGGAAAAAAAAATATTCAAGGTCAAAGGTGAAAAAAATGAGTTTTTCGCGATTTTCAGCAAAACGGTAAGTTTTATCATAAAAGTACCTCAGACAAAAATTGTAGATCATAAAATTATCTATAAAAAATGTATCAGTACTTTTTTTCTTACGAGCCACCGTTTCTGAGATATAACGATTCAAAAAGTTATAAAAGTTGTTATCGTCATAATATGCACACGTTTCCACATCACCTATGAGGTAGTGTACTTAGCGCGTTTTTTTAACGTGGTTTCCTCAGTAGGCCTACTCCACGGGACAGTTGTGATCCTGTTTAATGTAAAACTATTGCATTATAACGGAAATTTTCAAAGATTGGGAAAGATAAAAGCGATGTAAATTAAAAAAAAGTGTTGAAGTTTATTTGTCTTATTCGTAAGTTTCAAATTCTTGTTCTTCTTCTTGTTCTTCTTCTTCATCTTCATTTTGGATACAAGTAAATTGCGTCAATAGCGATGTATCGCATGATACTTCGTCGGAGTCAAACGAATCCTCCATTGTTTGTGATTCAATATTAGAGCACGACCGGCCTTGACAATTTGTGCATGCCAAAGAACAAGACAGTCCGACTTTTTTGCAACCACATTTAGCACTGCATCCCTTTTTGCAGTTGCAAAAAATAGTGTTCAGCAGTTTTTCCGGCGCAGGTGGAAGTAAAGTTTAAACTTGAGTAAGTTTGAACGGTGGCTCGTAAGAAAAAAAGTATTGATACATTTTTATAGATAATTTTATGATCTATAATTTTTGTCTGAGGTACTTTTATGATAAAACTTACCGTTTTGCTGAAAATCGCGAAAAACTCATTTTTTTCACCTATGACCTTGAATATTTTTTTTTCCTTTCAGGGGAATGATGGGGAACTTCTAGACATTGTTTATAATTATATTTTGAACAATTTCACTGAAAATCAGCTTGTTGGGACTTTATGTAACTTCGAATGTCTAAATTGACCGGACTATCATGATAGTAACTGATATGATGACAAACATATTTATGTGCTCCTAAAATGCTATTAAACAAACTGAGTTTGGAAGTGTTGTACTATTATTTTTGGACAGAAATAAAATGAATTTATTCTTTCAACGTTGTTTTTTAAATGTCACTTATCGGTAAGATCAACTCGACTTCTGACTCTGTTGGCGTGCACGAACTATGGGAGTCTGCCTACTAGCTACGATCAAGTGAACTGTAGGCTAGTCTACATATGCAATACGCCTATTACATGTGAATATTTCGTAAGTTCGTATCTCATTACAAGCACTGGTATCCGCTGGCAGGATTCGAATACCGGGAGAGTCACAGCGCACGATACGAATGCACTGGGCGTCTTATTCTTTAGACTACGACGGCTTAAAAAAATCTTATAATTAGGCACAGTTGGTTAACTTTACTGATAAGTTACTCCCGCTTACGATGAATGTGAAAATAAAATATTCTAAATCTAAGCTTTTCAGTGCTTCGTAAATATTAGTTATCGCACTATTATTATTGCTGTTTATTTAATGCCCATTTATACGGCTTATAGCGTGCATGACTGACAGACATAACGACTGAGTTAGCGACTTAGAATATTGCAAATATTATTCTGACACACTGAACTGGGCGCTAGAGAAAACACGTTTTTCGGCGTTAACGTCAGACTCGAGTTTCACGGTTCGTTCGCCGTGATTTATGTACTTCTTTCGCGGAGTTGGGAGCATCATCGCGCTTCGGGTGTCTTCACGGAAAACGAATTGGCAGAGCGGCAAGCCGAAGTTACTGGTAACGCACAGACGAACCGATGACACAACGGGATGTTCTCTTACGTCTTTATTTATAAAACCGATGCGACCAACGGTAGCCGCGCGCTTATCCCGAGCTCCCGCAAATATTATTGTCAACGTAACTAGTATCGAATAGGAGTATTTCAGCGCCGGCGCTTACTTCAAATAGTGTCGTACGCAGCGGCCATCTGTTTCGTGAATAAACAAATCGTTGTGATAAAAGCGTGTTAAACAGCGAACATGGACAGTTTAGACGTGCCGCCCAAGTATCCGCCGCCACCGCCTCCCCAGAGGCCGGTCAGGCCAAAGATCACCCTTCAGATGCCCGATTCGATAATACCAATAACACCGATGACGGCGCGAAGCCAGGGAACGGGATCCGTGTACTGGGACCCCAAGTTTCATGTGAAGCCCCCCGGAACGCCAGGGTCCCACATTTCGGATCCGCACGGACACTTCAATCCTTTCATGCACATGTATCACAATAAGGCTTCGGAGTTCATGTTCAAACAGTTCGAAGGTTTTAAAGACTTTACGATGAACACGGCTAAAAGTGGTTTGAGCGCCGGTGAAAAGACAGCCTTCTGGGTGTACAATAAACTGAAGTTGCTCTCGAGGAGATGGTTCACGCATCTGTTCCTATCGATGTGTTTGGCGTTGTACAGTGTTATGGGTGCAGCGATATTTGTCACACTAGAAAGTAAGTAATTGAAATGAGTGTTTTTTTTTACATTTCTCAATTTTTTATTCAATTGTTTTAGTTTTATTTTAGTATTTTCTTCAGAGTTTGCGAGTCGTAAAAACATCTAAATTACTTTTATGGCTTAATCTCGTGATTTTTGTCGATATCATATTGTTTCCTACGCCACAAATAATTATAAGTAAGTAGTTTAATTTTGTGCTGTTTTATTGTAGTAGCTTCCATCTTCTATAAAGTATGTTCTATCGATTTTGGATTGCTGAAAAAAAAAACAATGTTTAGTTATCTTTATTAAATTACACCTATTTAGTCGATTTTTTCTAAAGATTATGAACATAAAAAGATAATAAACAAACATAGGAAATGCATCACAAAAACTGCTTACATAGGAATAAACGGTTTCCAATTATTTTTTTATTCGATTGAAGAGAAATTCTTGAAGTTCGGTGAAATGTTCACTTTTCTTTCAGAAAGTGTTGTCACTCATTATATCATCCAGTCACGTCAATGTGTTACAATATGCAAGTAGTGAAGTACTTAATGTTACGTAGCAGCATTATAATATTACTAGCTGTACCCGACCGCTTTGCTGGACATTTAAAATTAATTTATTATTCGTCACCCCCATAAACATTCTCATCATTAACGCCCCCGCAACTGGTGTAGGGAGTCCAAGACTCATATAGATATTAGCCTATCCATTAAGTACATGTATTTTCTACATGGATACTAAGTTTCAAGTCAATCGGATGCATGGTTCAGTAGTTATAACGGAACATCCGTAAAAACCACTGTAGATTTATACATTAGTATAGATAGTACATACATAATATTACGTAGGACTCCATAAGGGAGATGCTTCACGTTTCAGTAGTTACCAAGGTCCAGAGACACTCTACCCAATGCATCAGCCCGCTGAGTTTCTAGCTGGATCTTCTTAGCGGGTCGCGATTCCGATCTGGTAGTAGATTTATTCGTGAAGCATCTGCCTTTGTGTTGTTAGGTCTCCTTTGGAGGCGCTCGGACAGCTATTGCAAATCCTATCCCTCCCTTCTCTTGGTGAAATTGGATAGGCCACCAGGCCACCAGTAATCCCTCATTCATAAACAAAAAAAGGTTCAGAGACATCAAGCATTCGTGAATTCCACCGACCAGTTTGAGACATGAGGTCTAGTTCTCAATCGATATCACGCACGTTGTTACTATCTATTATCCTAAATTATCAATTTTGATATTCGTTTTTTTTTCTTCTGAAATAGCGAAAATTGTATTTTTTCTAGAAACAGAACACGTAATATATTTTCTTTCAATTAAAATTAGGTTAGCGAAAGTATTTACTACGTATGGCTAATAGATTCCAAATTTTTTTTTTAATTGCTTATATGGTTGGTCGAGCTCACAGCCCACCTGGTGTTAAATGGTTACTGAAGCACATAGACATCTACGACGTAAATGCGCCACCCACCTTGAGAAATAAGTTCTAAGGTCTCAAGTATATTTTTTGGGTACGTATTTCATTCTTATAGAAAAATTGGTACCCCCCTGAGGTTCGAACACCGGTGCATCGCTCAACACGAATACACCGGACGTCTTATCCTTTAGGCCACGACGACTTCATAAAAATCTCTAAGATGTTTTGACAATCTGAGATATCTTTGGTTTCAGCTAATTACATTCCATTTATTTCAGAAATACGATAAATTTTTTTGAATCAAATACTAGTTCCGCATCTGAATGATATCTCGTGTCTTGACAATTCTTATGATCTAATATATATAATACATAATAATACATTTTATAGTTATTTCCTCCTATTTTGTAATTGTTTTGATTTATAATTGTGTTAAAACAGCGTGAATCGTTTTCCCTAACACTAGAATTCCATTTTCCCCAAAATATAGTGAATAGTATACTGTAGTAGTATTTTGTGATACGTATTAGGCTTTTGAGCGGATGGACCTGTTAAAATTAAATATGGTCGCCTTTAAAACATAAAATAAAACGGGGATACCTATATCTTTCTTTTTCTCCACCTTCATAATATTTCATTGATGTTGATAGATAGTTAGAAGAATATACAAAATATGTTTTATTTATTAATTCATCTGTAAGAAACTGAGCAAGAACCATTTCCACGGAAGCCGTCGAAGATCTGAGGAATTGTTTGACATGATCCCATCATCTCGTTTTTACCACCGCACCGCCCGCAATAGAGTTCATTCATACTACCTGGAGCCACTGCGTTCATCCACAATGCGTTTCCAGAGATCTTTTTTGCCACGTACCATCCGGCTTTGGAATTAGCTGCTCCTCCACGGTGTTTCTCGAGCGCTACATCTCCTTTTTCAAACGAGGCTTATAGAGAGTACTCAACGTTAGACATCGGCTTGGCTCTGCCCCTTGCATTATTGAAGTCCATGGGCGACTCTGGGTGGGCTGAATGCTCGTACGCCTACAAGGGCTTTAAAGTAAAAAAAAATGATTCGAAATATTTACTTTAAAAAAAATACAGTCTAAAAACTTAATTATAATAACCCTAATTACAGTCAATGTTGATAAACATTTTTGAAATCTCATTAAACACAACCACCGTATGGTATTGTACTAGTTCACTTATAAGTATACTTAAGTGAACATATTGATTAGAAAATCTGAGGTTTTTAAATCCCTTTAATGCCCACCACAGCTGACTGTCTCGACGAAAGCATTAAAGTTTTGAAGTAAGTTTTATATTCTTTGTTAAATTGCCCCGTCATGACCTATGCAAGTGTAGTGTTCGCTCACGCGGCCCGCATACACTTAAAATCCTTTCAAATTATTCAATCCCGTTTTTGCAGGATAGCCGTCGGAGCCCCGTGGTTCGTCAGGAACGTCGACCTCCATGACGACCTGGACTTAGAGTCCATCAGTAAGTATCTTCAGTCGGCGTCCATGCGCCACTTCGATAAAGCGGCACGACACGAGAACCCTCTCATCGTGGCCGCCGGTAACTACATTCCCGATCCTGCGGACAGAATGGAAAGCAGTCGACGTCGCCCTAAACACGTCATCTCGGATCCTCCTGATCCACTAACGGTGCTTTTAGGTACTTCAAGCACCGGTCACCGTTCTCGTCGAACCCGTCGCTTGCGACGAAGGGCTCGACGAGTAAATTAACTCTCAGACACAGCCCACTGAGTTTCTCGCCGGATCTTCTCAGTGGGTCGCGTTTCCGATCCGGTGGTAGATTCTGCGAAGCACGACTCTTGCTAGGGTTCGTGTTAGCAACATCGTCAGGTTTGAGCCCCGTGAGCTCACCTACTAAAGTTA